GAGCTACCACACCCATAAAATGCTTGTTAAATAAAATAAATTTGCTTGTAAGGGTCTTCTGATTATAATAACTATCGCTGTCAGTTTAACCATCCCCCAGACAAGCTGGGATGGCGGGGAAGAAAGACTCCTGCATTGCATGTGTACTTCAGTGATTGCAAGCTACAACATGTCCATCCTAGGCTCAAGAAAATAGGACATTCCCCCCATTATGTAGATGAGGAAAGAAGTGGCCCAGAGAGGTGAGGCAGCATGGGAAAGGTCACACAGCAGGTGAGCTGGAGGGCCTCGGGGAAATGCACCTGTCTGAAACACTTCATTTCCTGAAGAAGTCACATCCCACCTTTCTTCATTAAGGCCGGAGCCAAGGTCTGTATAAGACCAACTGGTGACCTGCTTCCACATATACATAGGCTGAGCAAATTGTCCCCATGGGGAACTTTGTGGCTAGGCTGAGGAAAAAACCCAAAAAGATTTTCTCAAGTTCAAATCCTGTTTTGTGATCTTGGGCAACTTAAGCAACTTCTTCGAACTTCAATTTCATCTGAAAAGCCAGGGTTACAACATGTGTCCCACAAGATTGTGCATGAGATGAAAACATGGGATCACATGCACGAGATCGCACCTAGCATGCCGCCTAGTGTGCCGTCCGTGCACAAGAAATTGTAGCCATTATTATTCTGAATGGTGCTATTTTTGGGTTGAACCATATGAAACTGGGTTTTACAGGTCCAAAAGCAATTGGATATTATTTATTTCATACAAGTCACTCTACTGTTATTGAACAATAGTCCTTTTTGCGGCTGGCAAGAAAGGCAGAGCATATCGGCCCCATTTTGCAGAGAGAGAAACTGAGGCCTAAAGAGAAAGAATGACCTACCCAGGGCCATGTCCCAGTCAGGAACTGGAATCTGCCTGCAAGCCTCTCCTTTTCTTGCTCTTCTTTTCTTCACTGTCTCAATCCTGGGCTGCTGGCCATCATAGGTTGTGACCATAGCTAGGGTTTGATTCATTGTGAACAGGGCAAACACAGGCTGGCCTGGGCTTTCCCCTGGAGCTGGCCCAGCCTGGGAAGTTCACCTGGCTGTTTGCTAACACTCAGTTGTGCAACAGGAGATTGGGAACTGTGGGTACTGCCAGTTTAGGAAGAGTTTCCTTCTGTCCCCGACAACCTCCTATCTGCCCCTGCTGGGAATGAGCTGGCCCAGCTCCAGCATCCTCACTGGCCCTCCTGGGATTGGAGACCAGGCCGAGAGTCGTGAGCATCACAGTTCTAACATGGCTCCTCTTGCTTTCCCTCTCTGGCCCTTCTTGCTGGCTTTTTCAATCTCTACCCATGTCTTCCAGGCCTAGCAGATGCTGCTGATGCCCACAGAGCTCTGAGTGTAGTGCAGACCTCTCTCCTTTCCTCACAGCGCAGGCAGCTGCCTCCTGGAGGGATGGCTCTGCTCCAGGGCCCCATGGCAGTCAAACCCAACTTGCCAACTCAGACCTCTGCTCATCTGTGCAAACCTGTGACTTGTCATGTTCCCAGCTCCATACCACAGGCCTCCTCACCCTTTCCTGTAGCGTGGGACCACTTACCATTCCCAAATGCACAGGGTTACCTTTACCTCTGGGCCTTGGCAGGCACTGTTCCCTCTCCCCCAAGTACCCTTCCCCATCTGGCTCACTTCTATTACTCCTCAGCTTGAGGAGTGTGATGGTTAATTTTATGTATCACCTTGACTGGGCCACAGGGTGCCCAGATATTTGGCCAAACACTATTCGGGTGTGTCTGTGAAGGTGTTTTTAGATGGGATTAACATTTGGGTAATCCCATGGGTAGACTGAGTAAAGCAGATGGCCCTTCCCAACATGGGTGGGCTTCATCCAATCAGTTGAAGGCCTGAATAGAACAAACAGGCTGAGTACGAGTGAATTCCTTCTGCCTGACTGCCTTCAAGCAGGGACAGGTTTTTTCCCGGCCTTTTGGACTCAAACTGAACCATCAGGTTTTCCTGGGTCTCAAGGCTGCCAGCAGCCAATCTTAAGGTTTGTCAGCTTCCGTAATTGCATGAGCCAATTTTGTATAATAAATCCCTTAATATAGCCTATTGGTTCTGTTTCTCTGGAGAACCCTAACACAGGGGGTCACCTCCTATCTTCCTCCTGCTTTCATAAACTATACCCCCCACTTTTCCCCCTCTCAGGCACATGGCTTCCCCATCTCCAAGCCCCTAATCACACATGGCCCAACCCCTCCAGCTGCATCCACAGGACTCAGAGCTACTCAGACATGCTGCCAGATCCGTGCCTGTACCTCCAGTGCCCACACACAACTGGGCATGGGGAAGGTGCTCTACAAACTCATGTGGAGGAAATAAAGATAAGAGTTCCTGAAGGCAACTGTTTAACAAGTGTGAGTACTGAAAGTACTCCGTAGCTGCAGCAGAGAACAAGGTGTGTTCCTTGCTCTCACAGAGCTTGCTATTTATTTATTTACTTATTTAGAGACAGAGTCTCACTCTGTTATCCAGGCTGGAGTGCAAAGGCACAATCTCGGCTCACTGAAACCTCCGCCTCCCAGATTCAAGCAGTTCTCCTGCCTCAGCTTCCTGAGTAGCTGGGATTACAGGCGCACGCTGCCATGTCCGGCTAATATTTCGTATTTTAGTAGAGATGGGATTTCACCGTGTTGCCCAGACTGGTCTCAAACTCTTGAGCTCAGACAATCCACCCGCCTTAGCCTCCCAAAGTGCTGGGATTACAGGCATCAGCCACCGTGCCTGGCCTCTCGCAGAGCTTTCTATGGGGGAAAACAGACATTGCAGTGACAACTTTCCCATCTACAAAATGGGAAGCATTCTTGAACAGCTAGGGGTGACAATGTATGCCAGACCTCATGAATGGGCCATTCTGACTCAATTCTATTTCTGATTGTCAGGCAAAGAAATAAAAAGAACATTCGTATTGCCCCTGCTTCCCAAGTTTTTGAAACTATTTTCCAGCCTTAGGAAGCAGTGCAGTGCAGTAGTTCTTGGGACTTTAGCACGCACCAGAATCTATAGGGGGCTTGTGGAAAACGGATTGCTGATCCCATCCTTGGAGGTTGTGATTCAGTAGGTTTGGGATGAGGCCAAGAATTTGCATTTCAAAGGAGCTCTCAGGTCTGCTAGCTCTAGGGTCTGATGCATGTAACAGTGCTGTTAGCAGTCATGGGTTTGAATTACAGCTTTGCCTTTCTCCTTTTTTTTTTTTTTTTTTTTTTTGAGATGGAGTCTGGCTCCCTCCCCCAGGCTGGATGCAATGGCACGGTCTGGGCTCACTGCAATCTCTGCCTCCCAGCTTCAAGCGATTCTCCTGCTTCAGCCCCCCAAGTAAGTGAGACTACAGGTGTGTGCCACTATGATTGGCTAATTTTTGCATTTTTTTTTTTTTAGTAGAGATGGGGTTTCACCATGTTGGCCAGGCTGGTCTCAAGTTCCTGACCTCAGGTGATCCACCCACCTCCACCTCCCAAAGTGCTGGGATTACAGGCATGAGCCACTGTGCCTAGCCTGAATCACAGCTTTGCCTTGGCCTCACCTGTGATCACGGGCCCTTCCTTGGGCTTCGGTTGCCCTCTATGTAAAATGGGAGGGTGGGCACCAGGCCAGGATACTCAGATATGTATACATTTCAGATAAACAACAAATAAAAAAGATTTTTAGCATAAGCATATCCTCAAAATTGCATGAAGCATACTTGTACTAAAAAGTAGCTATTGTTTATCTGAAATTCAAATTCATCTGGGCATCCTCTATTTTTATTTTTTAAGTCTGGCAACCCCATCTCCCAGACTCATACCCACTGACTTCTTCTGTGGCAGGTACTATTGTGACCTCTCAAGAATATGACAGGCAGGGATCACTCCTTTTGAAGCATTATTCACAATAGCAAAGGTAGAAACAGCCCAAATGTCCACCAATTTGGCTCAAATGTCCATCAGCTTATGAGTAGGTAAACAAAATGTGGTTTATCCATACAATGGAGTATATTCAACCATAAAAAGAATGAAGTACTGATACACGTTACGACACAGATGAATCTTGAAAGCATCAAGCTGAGTGAAAGAGGCCAGGGTCACAAAAGGCCACATACTGTATGATTCCACTCGTATTAGGTTGGTGCCAAAGCCATTGCGGTTTTTGCCATTTAGAAGTAATGACAAAAAACCGCAATGACTTTGGCACGAGTGTAATATAAAATGTCTGGAGCAGGAAGAGCCGTGGACACAGAAAGCAGCCTGGTGGTTTCCAGGGGTTGGGGAGGGTGTGACTGCTAAAATGGGTACAGGTTTCCTTTAGGGTGATGAAAATAACACGAAATTAGATCATGGTGACGTTGCACACCATTGTGAATGCACCGTCAGGAGTGGCAAATTTTATGTTATGTGTAATTAACCACAATCATAAAAAAACAAATTGCTCATGTTAACCTCAGTGTACCTCCTCCCTGTGTATTAGGAGTTGAATTGTGTCCCCTCAAAAGATATGTTGAAGTCCTAGCCCCCTGCACCAGTGAATGTGACCTCATTTGGAGATAAGGCCTTTGCAGATGAAAGTAAGTTAAGGTGGGATCATGAGGGTGGGCTCTAATCCAATACGACTGGGGTCCTCAGAAAGAGAAGATGGAGCAGAGAGACACATCAGAACACATGGGACCACCGAGGCGCAGACCGAAGTACTGCAGCTAAAAGCCAAGGAATGACTGGGGCTACCAGAAGCGGGAAGAGACAAGGAAAGATCCTCCCCTTGAGGCTTTGGAGGGAGCATGGCCCTGCCAACACTTTGCTTGTGTGAACTTCTGGCCTCCAGAACTGCGAGAGAGACTGTTCTGTGTTGTTTGAAGCCACCAAGTTTGTGGTATTGGTTACAGCATAAGGAGGGCATCCTCTGAGCATCTCCTCCCACTCCCTGTCCCAGCCCAGCCAGAAACTTCCCCCCTGAGCTTTGAGAAGAAGCACAGGACCACAGGTGTGTCATTCCATTGCCTCAGTTTTAAATATTTATTTAAAATCCAGAGGGGAAAAGGAGAAACGGAACCCATTGGGGTTTTAATACACTGACATGTGGACAGACGTAAACGAGGACAGCAGGAAAACCCAAGAATGAAACAGAGGCCACTGGATTCTGGCGGCAGGAGGGATCCGAGCACTGAGATGAGGCCCGAGCTGCTAGAAACATGCACTTCCACGCAGAGTGTCCAGGCTGGGGCGGGGGGCGAGGATACAGAAGGGGGGACGGGAGAGGGGACGGGCCAGAGTGAGGTATTAAATAATAAAGATCAAATCCAATTCCCAAAGAGACACAACTTTAGGAGAGAAATACACAAACAGAGCCTTTCACATACATTTTCCCCTTCTATAAAAATAATTCCATGGTTAAATAACCTCAATTCCAAGGTTAAAATAACCTCAAAATCCAATTCAAGCGCCGACTTGTTGGCTGATGTAGCACAATTCAGAGGACGCTGAATGTCACTATGGTGTCGAACTCTGAGATTCCCATTATTATTCTGTCTCCTTGACCCAAATTTACACTTGGAGCTAATGACAATGGGTTTCTACAGAATTTAATGACAACGAAAAAGCAGGAACGATGATTGCATCTTGCAAGGACAGGCTCCTGGAAGTGAGGGCCTTGGAAGAGTTGATGCGGCTTCCTGAGATGGTTCCATGTTGATGCTTCACCTCCAAGGCTAGCCCTGACCCAACGCCGCTTTTGTGATTGGTTTCTTCAAGGTCAAGTCTTCACCCAAGACCTCTCCAGGGCACACTTTCCAAGGCCAGCCTCACCTCCCTCCAGGACCGTGAAGGGCCAAGCCAACATGCTTCACACCCAGGCCTCCCTGCTGCCTTAAAAGGGCAGACATTTCAAAGTCCATAAGTTATAAGGTGAATCTCTCTACTTCTGGTTTCTGGTAGGGTTTTTTTGTTTTGTTTTGTTTTGCTTTTTTTTTTTTTCCTTTTTTCTTTTCTTTTTTCCTCCTTAGCAGATTACCTGATGAGCACAAGGGCGATGCTAAGAAAATTGAAAAATTCCCCAAACTTTGTCATTTGGAGGAGAGAGAAAGATGCGGATGATACGCTCCACCCAAAAGTTTCTCCAAAGTCTGTGGCAAAATAATGGTAGCACCTTCAGAATCTTAAATAGGGTTGTTTCTTTTTTTTTCTTAAAAAAAATCACATACACTATGAGAGACGATTGCGAGCACCAGCGATTTCACAGTGGGAGGTAGCAAACATGGGCACCCCCAGCCCGAGGATCTCGCCGCTTCCCACACCTGGCTGCTCCTTCCCATCCTCTCACCTCTTTCCCGGGTGAAAAAAAATAGTAACGCGCCTTCTTTTTGTTTGTTTAAATAATATATATATATACTTCTGTCTTTCCTTTTCTCCTTTTTTCATGTCTCCTGTCTAATATTGCACATCAATAGCTCCCTAGCAGGGACCAGCTGACGAGATGCCCCCTTCCCTCAAGTTGGCTTGAATGTGGGGCTCTTTGGGCAGGAAGCTGGGGAGGGAAGGGGGTGGCCGCAGAGCTGAGAGGCCATGGGGCTCAGGCGGGTTGCAGGTCCAGCTTGCTCTGGCTGGCTCTTTGGTTGGTCTTTGGGGCTAAGCTGGGATCCATTGTTCCCAAAGATACCCTATCCCCTCCTACCCCCACCCACTTCTACCGGGCAGACAACAGCTGGGGTCTGCCCAAGGACCCTTGGGCAGGGGAGCTGCCTCTCCTGGAGCTATCTGCCCCTCAGTACCCTCCCCTTGCCTCTTCCTCTTCCCTCCTCCATGAGGCCTAGAGGGGCCAAGAGGTCAGAGGTCAGAGGAAGCACGCAGGTCCAACTTCCAGGCGGTACTGCTTCCCTGATGAGGCAGGAGGGAGGTTGTCCACACTGACGATGGGCAGCTGTTGGGGGTCTTGGGTCCGGAAGGTGAAGAGTGTCTGATGCCAGCGGCCATCTTGGACCTGAAAGCGGAAGGAAAAGTGCACACGTACATCCATTGTGGTTCTCATCATACATCATGAGCATTTTCCCTTCCATCTTCCCTCACAATTTTTAATGGCTATACCATATTTCACTGTAGAAATGACTTATATGGCACATTTAGATTGCTTCCACTTTTTTTATTCTTAAAAGTAACGCTGTCATGAACATCACTGTAACTAAACCTTTGTGCACATTCTTAATTATTTCCCTAGAACAAACTCCAGAAGGATTGTTCTAAAATTGTTAGACCAAAAAACAAGTACATCTCATATATATATATATATATTTCTTCAATAAGTTTTTGGGGAACAGGTGGTGTTTGGTTACATGAATAAGGTCTTTAGTGTACACGGTACCCAATGTGTAGTCTTTTATCCCTCACCCCTCTCCCACCCTTTTCCCCAAGTCCCCAAATTCTGTTGTACCATTCTTATGCCTTTGTGTCTTCATAGCTTAGCTCCCCCCAAAATAAGTACCTTTCTAAGGTTTTGGATATATATTAGAGCTGCTATCCAGAAAGCCTCTACCAATTTATTTTTTTCCAATAGCTTCATGCAAGATTGTCGGTTTCCCCACATCCTCACGAACACTGTGTAGTATTATTAGTTTTGTTTAGTCCTATAAAACTGATTTTTGTCTCCTCTAACCTTTCTGTCTTCCCTTCCCCTGACAACCCACCCTGTTCAGGGCATTTGAAAATGACCAAAACATACATTGAGAAGAAATTAGCCTGACTAGGGTGGGAGCAGGGAGAAGAAACATATCTTCTTTGAAAGAGCCTTGCAAGTAAGCATAACATCTACCAGCCCGAAGAATTTTTACCAGTCCAGACCTCCCCTCAGAGCTTCCCAGAGAGGAAAGTGAATAAAAGCAGTTTTAGAAAACTGTTATATTACACAAAGATAAAATTATACCTATCACATTAGTATATTATAGTATAAAATGTTAGATATGATCTTATAATAGAAACACATTTTTCCAAACAGTTGTTTTTCCAGTTGTCCCCACATGAGGGGTCTAGGAGGGGCTCTGAGAGTTACCTTGCAGCCATCCATGGACACCTCGGGCCGGAACTGACCCCCAGCTTCAAAAATCTGTCCGTTCCAGGCCCGGAAGCGCACGGCCTGCTTGGCTGGGGTCTGCCCAGTGCCCTCCTGCCACACAGTCATGTTAAGGCAGTGGATGGTGATATGCTGGGTCACCTCAGAGCTTAGCAGGTGCAGGAAATTCATCTGGACCCGGCTGATGGCAAACTCGACCTGTAGAGAAGCAATGGCAGTGAGCGGCTCAGACTGCCCACCCCCTGCAACACACACACCAAGAGTTCCCTGCTTCTCTAATGAGGGAACAGGGATAGGCCCCTTCCGGGCAAGCATTTCCTGATATGCTCCCAGACATGTGCCCCCTTGATAGACAGGGAAACTAAGGTCTGCATGAGCTGGTCTCACAGATCCTTGGCTGTGTAAGCAGGAAGGGCCTGCCTGAGTCCAGAGCCAGAGCTTCAAAGGTCTTGATGTCATCTGATCCACTCCCCTACTGTATCGGGGGTCTTTGGGCTGAGCCAGGATCCAGGGGCTCAGCGAGGGAGAGGGTTTTGCCCAAGACTGAGAGGCTCATGGAGTGCAGAGGAAATAAGAGGTGCTTTCTAGACCTTTCCTAAGTCCCAAGACCCCTGTGAGGTGGGGTGGGGTGCTGCCGGAAATGGCAGACCTGAGAACAAACAACAGGGCAGGATTTACGGCTTCAGCGCTTTCCCACACAGAGCCAGGGCCTCTCACTGTCATTGTTTCTGATGGGGAAGGCGACCCAGTTGGCCATTCATGGCCAACCCCAGCCTCACCCCTCTGCTAGGCAGGTTTGCTGCGTGACCCCAAAACCTTCGAGTCACCAGGGAAGAGAGCCTGTGGAGGCCACCAAGTCCCTGCTGGACAGTGAGCTCTGGTCAAACGGGCAGTTTCAAGTCTGACTTCCCTGTCCTGGCTGAGGGCCTGGCACATGATAGGGACCCAGCAAAGACCTGGCAACTGGTTGGCTGCCTCTCCTAGAGATTCTCAAACTGCCAGTCTGACCCAGTCAGCACAAGGCATCTCCCAGGGGGTGTGGCTGATGAAATGGGAGGATTCCTTTCCCCTGAAGCCAGAGCAGCTTCTCACTGTGGCATAAATTGCCCCCAAATTCAGAAGGCTTAGTGGAACTACAGACCCACAATCCACTGAGGACCCCTGCGCGAGGGAGCTGTCAGGTCCCATGTGCCACCTGCCTTGCTGTGTTGTTCAGTGACCCTCTACCACCTAAAATGCTCAGCCCAGAAACAGGCACGTGGCATGCAGGCACTGAACATGCGTTAAGTATTTGCATACACAATTCATGCAACATGCTTCAGCTAAACATCACGCTAGTTTTCTCTGTTATTTCACGCGGATGATTCATGGTTCCCCAAGCCAGGCCAGCTTGGCCAACTGCTCTGCTTTAGACATTGGGCAGAAGATTCTATTTGAAGAAAGAATCATCAGCATCATATGACTCGAAAGGGTTTGGAAACCACAGATTAGTCTGACTCACTCCCAATTTATAGATAAGGAAACTGAGTCTCGGAAGGAGGAGAAAACTTTCCCAAGGGCATGCAGTAAGACAGGCACAGCTCGGAACAGAACCTGGGTTGGTTGTGGCCAGGGCAGGCTGGGGATAGAGAGAGACAGCCTGAGGGGCAGTGCGAGAGCTGATGGGTACCTTGGAGGCCGTGATGGGTTTGAGACACGTCTGTCCACCATGCGTGAAGTTGCAGGAGACTTCAATGGTGTCGGATGAGCAGCCAAGGTTTGGATCCACCCAGTAGGTACCTGCAGGCAGTGTGGGATGGAGGTGATGTACGTATCTGGGGATGAGCCCAGACCTTGGTTCTGCAGATGGACCCTGCATCTTGTGACCTGCTGAGCCCCAGGTGAGCAAGAAGTCAGGGTGGGTGGGCAGAAAAGGGATTCCTCCAACCAAGAGATCGAAGGAAACCTTCTGGGCAGAGCTCAGAGCTGGCAGAGCCCCAAGAGGGGGGTCATAGGGCTAAGTACTTGCCTATATTGCTACTGGGAGGTATCCATTTTACAGAGGAAACAACTGACATTGAGAGAGGCTGGGCCACTTGCACAAGGGACTGGGGATCATCTAGTCGAATGGATTCTTCAGGCCTAGGGCTCCTCCTAGGGCCGGCCAGGGGAGGGTAGGAGTCAGGGCTCCCACCCCATCGGGCAGCGCTGCTGCTCACATATGGCTCCCCAGTGGCCTTCACAGGAAGCCAAAGGCTTTGCAGCTCAAGAGTGGAACAACCGGCCATCTAGACCCAGCCGCTTGTACAGAGGAGGTAAGGGCGGCCATGGCTTGCCCCAGCTCACAGACCCAGTTTGAGGCAGGACTGACATTGGAACTCAGGTCTGTCTGGCTCAGCTTGTCCTTCATAGCACATCAGCTCACACATGAGAGAGGAGAGTCCTCATGCTCAGAAAGGGGGAAAATCCTGGCTCGCCCAGGAGCCTGTGACAGGATGGGCCCCGGGGGTGAGGACTCTTGCAGCCTCGGGCTTTTTCTGCTAGAGCTCTTGTCTCTTTGCACTGAAATGGTCATTCCCAGCATGTGGATCTGGGGGCTCTGGAAGGGTGGGACCACTCCTCTGTATTCCCCCCACCCCAGGAAGCACAAAGTTTGGTATATTGTGAGGCTCTGTGACTGTTGAGTGAATAAATGACTGCCAGTGTGTCTGTCTCGCGGAGGACAAAAACTCAGCCAGAATGAGGCGGAAATCAAATACTCCACCTGCCCGAGCTCCCCGACGCCAGGTGCTCCCACCCCCGGCAGGAAGCTTTCTCACCATCCACCATCTTCTGCTCACAGTCCATGAGGTCCCTGCAGACCCGGGCGGGGTTCTCTTTGGTGCCCAGGGGCGTCTTAATGCTCTGGATGAGGTTGCTGAGGTAGTGTAAGGTTTTAAAGATCTCTCCTCCCTGGTCAAGCACCAGCCGATCCGGATAGCTGTAACCCTGTCATGAGGAGAGGGTGACCACTGGGACCTTAGGGTCCTGGTCCAGCCTGGGGTCCAAGCCTCCACAGCCCCAGGTTCTCATGACCTGGGAGATATCTCGGTTCCACGGTCATGGCTAGAGCAGGGGTTGGGCTTCTCTCTATTTTGCAGTTAAGAAAATGGGCCAGGGACAAAGTGCAGGAGGAGGGGCTATCACGATGGCTCAGAGGCTTGAAAAGAGCTCAGGGTCAGACCATGTTCTCTGATACGGGACAGGCAGAGCCCTGTGAATAAGGCAGGCGAGGGTGCATGGAACACTCAGCAGCGGCCCCCAATCTCTATCTGCAAAGCGACCCCCAATCTCTATCTGTGGAGGAAGGTGAGGTGCTGGGGGCAGCTTACTTGGGGGGCACACAGCCCCCACTGGGCTCCCCTAGGGTGGGAGCCAGGGTCTCTGTGAGGCACCAGGAGACGGGACTGGGGCCAGCAGGCACAAGCGCTGGGAGGACTTCAGCTCAGAGAAGGAGCAGTTCTCCACTAGGGGGCAGGAGTGGACAACAGATGCTAAAGAGCCGGCCATTCAGGGTTACCCTGGCCAGAATTCTCCCTTAAGCCTCAGCTTCCAGAGCTACAAATCAGAGCTAAATAAACCCTTCTTCCACTGGGGGTGGCAGAGGTCACGTGTGTGTGTGCATGTGTGTGCACGCATGTGTGGACGTGTGTCAGAAACCAGCAGCCGCTCACCCAATCCATTTCTTCTGCCTGGACAGACGACATCTCCAGCCTTATTTGTACTCTAGCCAACGGGATGGAAGTGGAGCGATGCCAGCCCCATAGAGGTCTGGCCCAGAGACCCTCCTGCACAATTCTCTACACTCTTTTTCCCTGGTGGTGCCTCCCCCTGGTGTGGAGTGACCTTGGGGGCCATGAGTGGGAGAGGAAGCGGGCAGAGCCCCTGGCAGGTAGCCGAGGTCTCTCATCAACACGCCAATTAACTTTTATGTGCATGAGAAATAGCCTCTATTCTACCGCCAATGCAGAGTGGGTAGGAGATGCTTGATAAATGGAGCCCCTTTCCTTCATCTTGTTAAGGATGTTGCAGGTCAGCGCTCTCCTGTGCGGCATCACTGGCCTCTAGAGATGGAAGGAAATGCTTCCCTTCTCCAGCCGCACTGGATCCTGGGCATCCCCCTCTCCACAGGAAAGAGTGGACCTCCCCAGATAGATGGTAAGGGGCTCATCCACGCTGTCCTCCACCCTAGACTGTGAACCCTCTGAAAGTCAAGGCTGTGACTGGCCATCCATCTGTCTCAGCATCCAGCACAAGGAACAAACAGAAATGTTCGTAGGCGGTCTGAGCTGGGGGCAAGTTCCCCATCATGTGGAGAAGGCAAGGCCGCAAAGGGGGCTCCAGACCAAGGCTGGACTAGAGGACATAGGAGTCCCTTCTCAGTCTGGAGTCTTGGAGCTGAGCTGACCACAGGCCAGGGTCTTAGCAGAGCCCCATGGGCTAACCATGAGCTTCTTGATCCTGAAGAAACGTGGGGGTGAGCCCTGGCAAGCTGCTGTGGACTGTGGGCAAGATTCTCTGCCTGACTCCAGCCAGCAAGAACTCGGAGACTCTGAGAGGCCTCCGGGGAAAGCTCAAGGGCTCAGGGCCTCTTTCTGGCCTTGCTCTGCCTGCACTGGCCATGGGACCTTGGACTCACTGCCCACTCTGAGCCTCAGTACCAACCCCCATTTGTGGATGTGAGATGCCACAAAGACCAGGACTCTGAAATGCTCCATGCAGGCCACGTGGAGGGCACTGACCACACATGGGGCCATTATCTATTTCTGTTTCTCCCAGGAAGGGATCCCATGTGGGGAGAGCCCCTGGAGATACCTCTGGTCTGAGTGCTCCACTGGTGTCCATCCACGTCTGGAAAGCTACCCCAAGATCATCTTGTTGCTGGGCAGGGAAAAGACAGGGTATGCATCGTGGCCCCCCAGGGTTCTCCACACCCATCAGGCGGGAGCCCCAGGGCCACATTCCCTGCAGGATCTTAGCCAAGTCGTATGTCCTCTTCAGAACTCTCGGTCTTTCCTCTCTTTGCAGATAGTCAAAGCTGACCCTGCCATTCCCTTTCCCCACATACTAACAGCTCCCCATTGCTCTCAAGATTAAGTTCAAACTCCTCAACATGGTTATAAGACCCAGTTTGAACACTGTGGCCTTGAGCCATGTATGTCTCTTTCCCCTCCCTCATACGTGCTCTGGCACCAGCCGCACTATAGTACTTCTAAGTTCCTAAATACCATGCTCCATCTGGCCATGGGGTCTTTGCACATGCTGTTCTCATTGCCTGGAGGACTTCTCCCTCCCTTCAATGCACCATCTGGCTATCTCCTCTACCAGTGGTTCTCAAGGAGAGGCCATGATGCCCCCCCAGGGGATATTTGGCAATATCTGGAGACAGTTTGGTTGTTCAAGCTGGGGGAGGGGGTACTACTTGCATCTCATGGTTAGAGTCCAGGAATTCTGCTAAACATCCTCCAGGACAGTCACTCACAGCAAAGAATTATGCAAATGTCAGCTGCACTGTGTCTCAGAAAACCTGCCCTAGACTCATCCTACAGATGTCAGTTGTGATGGGAAGCCTCTCCCGAAGCTTCTGACTCCAGGCTAAGAAGAGGGAGGCCCCCTTTCTCTATGCCCCCGTCCCCATGTTTCTCCTTTGGCTCGCACTATAATGGTCTAATATAACTTTGCACCCCCAGTTGGCCCTACCACCGGGCTTGGCAGAGACATAGCTGTGGTCTTGCCATGAAAACAGCAAAAGCCCAGGCCTGGGGTCCAGAACCGGGGACTCTGGAGCTACTCCTCAGGGTCACATCCCAGACCTGACACTTACTAACTGCGTAATCTGGGGAAAGCTACTTAACTCCTTTCCTCAGTTCTTTCATCTTGAAAATGGACCTGATAATAAAACTCCCTCACAAGAACTGCTGAAAGGGACACATGAGTGAATACATGAAAAGCACCTGTAACCCGGGCGCGGTGGCTCACGCCTGTAATCCCAGCACTTTGGGAGGCCGAGGTGGGCAGATGGCTTGAGGTTAGGAGTTCAAGACCAACCTGGCCAACATGGTGAAACCCCGTCTCTACCAAAATACAAAAATTAGCTGGGCGTGGTGGTGCTTGCCTATAATCCCAGCTGCAGGAGAGGTTGAGGCAGGCGAATTGCTTGAACCCGGGAGGAGGAGGTTGCAGTGAGACGAGATCATGCCACTGCACTCCCGCCTGGGTGACACATCAAGACTGCGTCTCAAAAAAGAAAAAGCACTTCTAATGGTGTCTGGCATTGAGCAAGCACTCAATCAGTATTAGTACTGATTATTCAAAAAAAAAAAAAAAATGCAAACTCCTCTAATTTTCTGTTTTTCCTGGATCTTTTCACTTTCCTTTCCTTGCCTTTCTTACTGATGAGAAGGACAAGGGAAGGCTGCAGAGGAGAGGCCAGGGCTGTCACTCTGTCTTTCAGGACGGTGCAGAGGGAGGGGCAGTGAGAGCAGGCATGAGAAGAGCAGAGCTTCTGACTGACACATGGCTCAAGGGCTCCTGGCCCATTCAGTCTTTCTTCGAGGCCATGCCCTGGGACGCTCTCAGGGCCTGATGGTAATAGTCGTCTAGCTACCGTGCAATAGTAAAATGTGGATGGACTTGTCACAGGGCTTGGGAGGTGTCATGCTCTCAGGCAGTGCCACAGTGGCCACCAGGGAGGAACGCAGGGGCCCCCATCCGCCCCCTGGCCCAACTCTCTTTGTTTTTTGTTTTTTTGTTTTTTGTTTCTTTTTGAGATGGAGTTTTGGTCTGTTGCCCAGGCTGGAGTGCAGTGGCTCGATCTTGAGTCACTACAGCCTCCTCCTCCTCCTGGGTCCAAGCGATTCTCCTGCTTCAGCCTCTCCTGTAGCTGGGATTACAGGTGCCACCCACCATGCCTGACTAATTATGTATTTTTAGTAGAGATGGGGTTTCACCATGTTGGCCAGGCTGATCTCGAACTCCTGACCTCAGGTGATCTGCTTGCCTCGGCCTCCCAAAGTGCTGGGATTACAGGCATGAGGCACCATGCCTGGCCCCAACTCTCTTCGGATTCACAATCTGGGATGTACGCACCCTTGCAATCAGCCTACGTGTACGGAGTACACAGGTAGGGCCACGAACCCAGTGGCTGGAGCATCTTCCCAGATTCAGTCAGGGGCATGTCAAAAACTTAGGTTTCCTGCCTCCTGGCCCAGGGCTCTTTCTGTTGCTTCCAGGTCCAAGTCTCCAGTATGAAGTGACAAAAGGACCCGGGCATCCCTAGACCCAGCTTAGGGCTCTAGCCACCAGGGCCAGAGAGGGCCAGCGACTTCTTCCCCCGAACCCCTCAGGCCTTACCCCAACTAGGCAAAAGAGAATGTTTCCAACTTACCAATTGGATAGGACCCCCTGGAGGACCCTGCAAAAGAAGACAGCGGGTCAGTCAAATGACAGGGACAGTGTGCTGCAATCTGGAAGTGTGTCAGGAGACCGGGGAGGCCATCAAAGCATGCAGGACCTGCCAAGCTGGCCTCTGCTCTTCCAGAGGCCTGGTGGGCCCCACTGGGCTGGTCTATGCTTTTCTGGAGGCCTGGCCCCTAGGCGTTACCCCACATAGGCAAAAGTGAATGTTTGGGGGATGTCCTATACTCTCCTAGGAGTCTGTGGGCTACAAGAAGCATGTGAACCCTGTGAGGTTCAGGGTCAAGGCTTAGTCTGCTGGTGAAGCCTTGAGTCTCCTTCAAAGGAACACCCCAGGAGTCCAAGATGCACCCAGCACTCAGTTACCTACCGGGGGGCCGGGCCGCCCTCTGGGGCCGGGAGGACCCTGGGGGAACAAGAGAAGAGGAGTGAGCCCTGGTCCACAGGGTCTTCATCTCTCCCCATCCCAGTCCCTCCTCAAGCAGACCTGGGACCCTGGGACAATGGTTCCTCTGGCACAGACGGGATGACGGAGGTCCGGAGGGAGAGAATGTGCCACCGGGAGGAGAACGCAGGCTGCCCACCCTGTGCCCTGCCCCACAGCCCTCATGCCCAGCCCACTCACCCTCGGACCTTGCAATCCCTGGAGGGAGACAGAAGCAGGGGAGAGAGTTAGGGAACGTGGCTGAGCCATGGCCCCACCCCGGTAGCCCACCCCTCCCCCACCCCTGCAGTGCTGCGCCCCTCAGCCCCAGCCCATCCACTTACCCAGTCCCCACGGCTGCCTTTGTCACCCTTCGGACCCTGCAACAAACCACGGCCCAGTGAGACAGGGCCCAGAGGGGAAGCCCCATTTCCAGATGGGGAAACTGAAGCTCAGACTGGCACTGAGTCACACAGTCAATCTGGAGCCAGGAAGGCAAGGGGACCTAGGAGTCTTCCTGCCCAACCCCTGCACATACCGGGAGTCCCGAAGGTCCCAGGATTCCGAGCGGCCCGATGATGCCTTCCTTTCCCTAAAGGAGACAGAAAGGCTCATGTGTCCTTGTTCCAGGGCCTGGGGAACAGACACTGGGAAGCGTGTGGAGAGCTGCCTGAGCATTGCAAGGGAGTGGAAGGGAGACCAGGCCATGCATCTCCTGAGCCCCTCCTGTATGCCTAAGGGTGGGCTTCAAGAGTGGAAGGAGGGAAGGATGGGGCCAAGCTGGCGGGAATGGCAGGAGTGAAGGTGGGAACCAAGCCTGTGGGCAGAGAGGACTCAAGAATCGAGGAGGATGAAGATTGGGCCTAGAACAATCATCTCTGCTGCGACAGCAGCGAGGGGACTCACCATCAAACCAGGTGGCCCCCGAGGACCCTGGATGCCTTTGAAACCGATGTCTCCAGGGGGGCCCTGTGGGAAGCGGAGAAAGGGCTGTCTGTACTTGGCAGCCGCTGGGTAAAGGGCTCCCACAGCTCCCTCACTCCTAGGGTCTGCCAACCTCTGCCCTCCCTGTCAAGAGAGGCCTTACGTGAGAGGCCCCAGAAGGAGTAAGAAACACCTACAATTATTCAGCAGGTACCAGCAGTGTACTGGCTCAGTGCTGTGTGGCATATGCCTCTGGTCTTTATTTTTGCAAGTCTTCTACTGTCATTGCTCCCATTTTACAGATGAGGAAACCAAGGCTTAGAGAGACTAAGTGACTTGCACAAGGCACAGAGCAGGTAATCGTGTAACTGGGCTTGGAACTTAGATCTGCTGGACTACTGGGGGATGAGGGTGTTCGTGCCTGATTCTGGTTGTGTCCCAGCCAATGTTTTCAGTGCTCCATAAATACTTGTTGAATGAATAAATGAATGAATGGGGTGGATGGATAGGACCCCACAGGAACAGTGAGCAGTGGGAGTCCGTACCTTAGGTCCGAAGAGACCTGCCATTCCTGGGAAGCCCATCTCGCCAGAGTCGCCCTGCGGGGAGAACAGGAAGTGATGGAGCAAGTGAGGTCATGGCGAGCGTGTCCCGCCAGCCACCCAGGGCCTCAGGGCCTGCCTTTTCCCTCCCAGCCTCTCCAGGGATATTGGTGACTCCTCTGTGAAGCAATCAAGTGAGTGTGAACAGCCCACAGAATAGCTGCCAGTCCACCTGTGCTCCGAGGGGAGCCTGTGATCTCCGTCAGATGAGAAAGCAGAGCCCAGCTCAGGGGTTCCACAGGGGAGGCTCTGCCATGCTCAGGAGCTCCTGTCCCAGGTCTTCAAGGGACAGAATAACAGGACCCGCAGCCTACTCCCACGGCCCTGAAAAGCTCTGTTAAGGAAGGATCCCCTAAAAATAACCCAGTTCGCTGAGGGCCTGTTATGTGCTGGATGTTTTGCCTGTACCGCCACAGTTCCATGCTCCCACATCGACCCAGGGACACACCATATCCCCTATTCACAGATGAGGAAGCAGGCTCAGAGAGGGCAGGAACTTGCTGAAAGTCACACAGACACCATGTTGTGGACTGCGCTAGATTCAAATCCAGTGTGAACAATTTCAGGAACCTTTGGCCTCCTCTCCTGACCTCTGCTCCCAATCTTGCAAAGGGTTAAGAAAGCAATTGGCAAGGGGGGATGCTGGGGCCTGAGCCAAGAAGGGAGGGCTGGGGCCCCCTGGGGACAGAGGAGCCTGTCATTATTGCACATTCTTGGGACTTGGCCTTCAAGCTCATGAGCAGAAAGCCATCAGTTAGAACCTCCTAGCCTTATATTATAAGATCAAGAGCAAGTCACCTCCCTTTACTGAGTCTCAGTTTCCTCATCTGTAAAATAGGATACTATGTCATCTCCCTCCCAAAGGGGCTGGAAGGATGCAATGAGACCAGGCAGGTCAAGACTCAGTGCTGAAGGAAGTAGGCTGAGGGGTCAGGCTTCGAGAGGGTCCCATTTAATCTAAATTCTACCTGTTCATTTTTAAAAGATAATAGCTTTATTGAGCTATTGGTGGTTCTCTTGGTGGTTTTGATTTGTCTTATAAATGCTTATTGGACATTTGTGTATCTCCTTTGGGAAAAAATGTCTACTTGAATACTTTGTCCACTGTAAATTCGGATTGTCTTTTTATTCTTGAGTTTAAGGGTTCTTTATATATTAGAGATACATGTTCCTTATCAGATATATGATTTGTAAATACTTTCTCCCCTACTGTGAGTTTTTTCACTTTCTTGATGGTGCCTTTTGAAGCACAAAGGTTTTTGATTTTGATGAAATCCAATCTCTGTACTTTGCTTTTGTTGCTTGTGTTTTTGGTGTCATAGCTAAGAAACTATTACCTAATACAAGTTTATAAAAATGTGTTTTTATGTTTTCTAATAGTTGTACAGTTTTAGCCTTTACATTGGTCTAATTCATTTTTAGTTAATTTTTGCCTGTGGTGTGAAGCAGAGGTCCAACTTACTTCTTTGGTATGTGATATGTGACTGTGTGATTGTCTCAGCACTGTTTACTGAAAAAAATTCTTTTCCCATTCAACTGCCCTAGTACTGTTTTTGAAAACAATGGACATAAATGTGAGGTTTTATTCCTCTCTTGATTACTATACTTTTGTAATAAGTTTTGAAACTGGGAAGTGTGAGTTGTCCAACTTTGATCTTCTTTAAAGATCAAAATTTGGGTATTCTGGGCCACTTGCATTTCCATATGAATTTTAGGATCAATTTGTCAGATTTTGTGAAAAAGTCAGCTTGGATTTTGATAGGGATTGTATTTAATCTGTAGCTCTGTTTGTGGTAAGTACAGCCATCTCAACCATACTAAGTCTTCTGATCTATGAATATGGGATGTCTTTGCATTTATTTGGGTTTTCCTTTATTTCATCAACATTTTGAATTTTTCAGTGAACATGTCTTGCACTTTCTTTTTTTTTAAGATGGGGTCTTGAACTGTTGCCCAGGCTGGACTTGAACTCCTGGGCTCAAGAGATCCTCCCATCTCAGCCTCCTGAGAAGCTGGGACTATAGGCACATGCCACCATGCCCAGCTTCTTTCACTTCTTTTGTTAGATTTATTCCTATTTCATTCTCTTTGATGCCATTATAAATGGAAATGTTTTATTAATTTCATTTTTGAATTGTTCATTGCTAGTGTATAGAAATATAATTGATGTTTGTATGTTATATATGTAAACAATATTTTTTGTGTATTGATCTTATATCCTGCAAACTTTGGTTTATTAGTTCTAATCATTTTGTTCAGTACCTGTGGGATTTTCATAGATATTCTTCATCAGGTTAAGGATGCTCCCTCCTGTTCCTAGATTGTTGTGTTTTTTTAATCACGAAAGGGTGTTGGATTTTGTCAAATGCTTTTTCTGCATCTATTGAGATGACTGTATAATATTTGTCCTTTATTTTATTAATAGTGTATTACATTGATTTCCAACAGTTGAACCAGCTTTGCATTTCTAGGATAAATCTCACTTTGTCATGGTGTAGAATCCTTTAGGCATATTGCTGAATTTGGTTTTCTTAGTATTTTATTAAGGATTTTTGTATCTGTATTCATAAGGCATGTTTGTCTGTTGATTTCTTTCTTGTGACACCTTTTTCTGGTTGGGGTATCAGGATAATACCGGTTTCACAGACCAGTTGCGAGATGTCCTAACTGTTCATTTTTGCACTCTGATGGCTGTCTCCTATACACCCATCAGGTGCAAAGAAGGGGTAATTTTAAAAACAATCTTACTAAAGTAAAACTGAAGATGATAACTGTACTATTTAAATTGTATAATCTGATTTGTTTTGACATTCTGTATACACGCTTATAATTGTCACAGCCAAGACAATAACATCCCATAGCCCCAAAGTTTCCTCACACCCTTTTATAATCTTTCTTTCCTGCCTACCCTCCCATCTCCAAGAACCACTGATCTATTTTCTTTCCATGCAGATTAGTTTGCATTTTCTATAATTTTATATAAATGAACCACACAGTCTATACTATTTTTTATCTGAGGTCTTTCACTCAGCCTAATTATTCTGAGAATCATCTATGTTGTTGCATATATTAATAGTTGACCCACTTACTGATGAATTGTATTTAATTGTATAAATATACCACACTTTATCTATTCACCTGCTGATACACATTTGAGGTTTTTTCCAGTTTGGGGCTATTATAAATAACGTTGCTAAGCCCCTTCAAGTATACTCTTTGTGTGGCCGAATGTCCTTATTTATGTAGGGTAAATATATATGAGTGGAATGATTGGATTACACAGTAGGGATATGCTTAACTTTCAAAGAAGTGGCCCAACTGATTCCATAGTGATTGTACCACTTTAAATTCCCATTATCAGAGTGTGAAAGTTTCAGTTGCTCCATGTCTTTGCCAACACTTGGTATGGTTAGTCTTTTAAAACTCTTCGCAGTTCTGATAGGTGTGCCGTAGCATCTTATTGCGGTTTGAATGAGCATTTGTCTAATGACTAATGATATTAATCTTTTTCTCATGTGCTTATTTGCTATCAGTATACTTTTTTTGAAGTGTCTATTCAAATCTTCTGCTCGTTTTTAAAAATTGGGCTGCTTATTTTTATTATTGAATTTTGAGAGTTCTTTATAGGTTCTGGATACAAATCCTTAATCAGATATATGATTCAGAAATATTTTCTCCCAGTATGTGACTTGTCTTTTCATTCTTTTAATAGTGTCCTTTGAAGAGCAAAAGTTTTAAATGTTATTGAAATCTGATTTGTCACATTTTCTTTTATGGGTCATGTTTTTGGTATCATATCTAAGAAATCTTTGTTTTATCAAGTTCTTAGAGATGTCCTTCTATGTTCTAGAAGTGTTTTAATTTTCAGTTTTACATTTAGATGTATGATCCAGGTTGAGTTAATTTTTGTACATGTTATGAGGCATCACTTGTCTGGCACCATTTGTTAGGAAAGGCTATTTTGTACTTGCTGAATCGTCTTTGAGCTTTTGTTAAAAATCAGTTGTCCAGGCCAGGCGTGGTGGCTGATGCCTGTAATCCCAGCACTTCGGGAGGCCGAGGTGGGTGGATCACCTGAGGTCGGAAATTCGAGACCAGCCTGACTAACATAGAGAAACTCTGTTTCTACTAAAAATACAAAATTAGCTGGGCATGGTGGTGCACACCTGTAATCCCAGCTACTTGGGAGGCTGAAGCAGGAGAATCGCTTGAACCCAGGAGGCGAAGGTTGCAGTGAGCCAAGATCGTGCCATCGCACTCCAGCTTGGGCAACAAGAGTGAAACTCCATCTCAAAAAACAAAACAAAACAAAACAGTTGTTCATATATGTATGGTATATGTCTGGGCCTTTTATTCCGTTCCTTTGATCTATTAGTTCATTTATGGCAATACCACAGTTTCGTGATGACTGCAGATTTGTAATAAGTCTTGAAATCAAGTGCCATTAGTCTGCCAACTTTGCTCTTCTTTTTCAATGTTGTTTCAGTTATTCTAGGTCCTTTATATTTCATATGTATATTAGGATCAGCTTGTCATTTTCTACATGAAAACCTGATAAGCTTTAGATTGGAATTGTGTTGAATCTATACACCAATTTGAATAAATGTGATATCTTAATATTGAGTCTTTTTACATATGCCCACAGTATATATCTCCATTTAGTTAAATCTCCCTCAATTTCTCTTGCCAGTGTTCTATAGTTCTCAGTGTACATATGTTGCACATCTAATGTCAGATGTATCTCTAAGTATTTCATGTTTTTATGCTATTATAAATAGTATTGCTTTTTAGATTTCCATTTCTTATCATTTGTTGCTAGTGTACAGAAATGCAATTCATTTGTGCACATTGATTAGTGTATAGAAATGCAATTCATTTATGTGTATTGCTTAGTTTATACAATCACAATTCATTTGTGCATATTGATCAGGTGTCCTGTGATTTTGTTAAACTCACTTATTCTAGTAGCTTTGTTGTAGATGCCAATGGTTATTCTACATAGACAATCATTTCTTCTACAAATGAAACATTTTAACTCTTCCTTTTTGATATGAATGCCTCTTATTTGTTTTTCTTGTCCTATTGCACTGGCAAGAATTGCCAGTACAATGTTGAAAAGAAGTGGTAAGGACAGATATCCTTGACTTGTTTCTGCTCTGCTCCTTGGAAAAAAGCATTCGGTCAATCACTATCAAGTATGATGTTGACTAGGTTTTTCATGGATGTCCTTTATCAAGCTGAGGAACTTCTATACCTAGTCTATTGAGAGTTTTTATCAGAAGTGGAGTTAGATTTTTGTCAAATGCATTTCCTGCAACTACTGAGATGATCAAATGGGTTTTCTTTTTGAATTTGTTAATATAGTGAATTATATTGATTTATTTTCAAATGTTATACTATCCTTGTGTTTCTAAGATAAACCCTACTTGGTCTTGATGTATTATCCTTATATATTCTTAGGTTCATCTAATTAAAATTTTATTGAGAACTGTGGTAGCTATATGTATGAGGCATATTGGTCTATTGTTTCCTTTTCTTGTAATGTCTTTGTCTGGCTTTGACATCAGGGTATTATCAGCCTCAAGGAAAGAGTTGGGAATTATTTTTCTCCTCTTCAATGTTCTGGAATAGTTATGTAGAATTGGTATTATTTTTTTTTCTTTCTTTTTCTTTTCTTTTCTGAGATGGAGTCTCTCCCTGTCGCCCAGGCTGGAGTGCAATGGAGCGATCTTGGCTCACCACAACCTCTACCTCCCAGGTTCAAGTGATTCTCCTGCCTCAGCCTCCTGAGTACTGGGATTACAGGTGTGCACCACCACACCCCGCTAATTTTTTTTTTCATATTGTTAGTAGAGACAGGGTTTCTCCATGTTGGTCAGGCTAGTCTCGAACTCCTGACCTCAGGTGATCCGCCCACCTCAGCCTCCCAAAGTGCTGGGATTACAGGTGTGAGCCACCGCACCCGGCCGTTATTATTTCTTTTGTAAATGTTTAGTAGCATCTACCAGTGAAGGCATCTGGGCCCAGAGTTTTCTTTGTGGGAAGCTCTAACCACAAATTCAATTTCTTTAATAGATATAAGGCAATTTAGGTTATCAGTCTCTTCTTGAGTGACCTTTGGTAGTTTTGTCTTTCTTTTTTTATTTTTATTTTTGAGATGGAGTCTTGCTCTGTCCCCCAGGCTGGAGTGCAGTGGCGCGATCTCGGCTCACTGCAAGCTCCGCCTCCTGGGTTTACGCCATTCTCCTGCCTCAGCCTCCTGAGTAGCTGGGACTACAGGCGCCCGCCAGCTCACCCGGCTAGTTTTTTGTATTTTTAGTAGAGACGGGGTTTCACCGTGTTAGCTAGGATGGTCTCGATCTCCTGACCTTGTGATCCGCCCGCCTTGGCCTCCCAAAGTGCTGGGATTACAGGCTTGAGCCACCGCGCCTGGCCGGTAGTTTTGTCTTTCAAGGAATTTGTCCATTCCATCTAAGTCTTTTTTTTTTTTTTTTTTTTTTTTTTTTTTGAGACGGGGTCTTGCTCTGTTGCCCAGGCTGGAGTGCAATGGCATGATCTCAGCTCACTGCAACCTCTGCCTCCAGGGTTCAAGCGATTCTTCTGCCTCAGCCTCCCAAGTAGCTGGGACTACAGGCACCTGCCACCACGTCCAGCTAATTTTTATGTTTTTAATAGAGACGGGGTTTCACCATGTTGGCCAGGATGGTCTCGATCTTTTGACCTCGTGATCCACCCACCTTGGCCTCCCAAAGTGCTGAGATTACAGGCATGAGTGACTGCACCGGGCCCATTTCATCCAAGTCTTTAAATTTATTGGCATAAAGTTGTTTATAATATTCCCTTATTATCCTTTAAATTTCTGTCATATCTGTAGTGACATTGCTCCCCTATCCCTGATCTGATATTAGTAACTTCTGTATTCTCTTTCTCTTTTTTTTTTCTTTAGGTTCCTGATTAGTCTGGCAAGAGGTTTATCAGTTGTACAGATCTCAAAAAGCTAACTTTTGATTTTTCTTTTTCTTTTGGGGGTTTATTTTTGATCTTCATTATTTCCTTCCTTCTGATTACTTTTAAATTTGCCTTCTCCAGCCCCAACCCTCAGTTTCTTAAGATGGAATCTGAGACCATTTATTTGAGACCTTTCTTCTTTTCTAACACAGAAGTTATTACTATAAAGATCTCCCTATATATCAACAGTATTTCACCAATTTTTACATGCTGTTTTTTACTTTCATTCAATTCAAAATACTAACTTCCCTTTTGATTTTTTCTTTGACCCATGGGTCATTTAGACATTTGTTACTTAGTTTCCAAATATTTGGAGATTTTTCAGATCTCTCTGTTACTGATTTATAATTTAATTTCATTATGGGAAGAGAACATTCTTTGTGTGATTTGAATCCTTTTAAATTTTTAAAGAATGTATTGATAAAATATTTATACTATTAAGTAAATTATTTAATATTTATATTGTTTATATTACTAAAATATTTTATTAATAAAATTTATTGATTGATTTTAAGGTTCAAAATAGTGTCTGTCTTGGTAAATGTTCTGAATGAACTTACAACAAATGTGTATCTTGCTGATATTGGATGTGATGTTCTATAAATGTCAATTAGGTCACGCTGATTGATAATACAGTTCAAGACATCCTTACTGATCTTCTATTTGCTTCTGTTCTACCCATTCGGAGAGAAATATATTGAAATCCTTGAGTATAATTGTGATTTGTCTATTTCTCCTCGTAGCTTTATCAGTCTTTGCCTGACTGTTTTGAAGATCTATTGTTAGGTGCATAAACATTTATGATTCTTAAGCAATCTTGATAAGTTGGCTTCTTTGTCATTATGAAAAGACCCTCTTTATGACTGTTAGTAGTCTTTGCTCTGAAGTCCGTTTCATCTGATATCAAAATAGCTACTGCAGCTGTTTGGGATGAATGTTAGCACAGTAGGTCTTTTTCTATATCTATCTTTAACCTACTTGTATCTTTATATTTGAAGTGGATTTCTTGTAGCAGTAGATGTAGTTGGGTCTTGCTTTTTCATCCACTCTGACAATCTCAGCTTTAACTGGGGTATTGAAATGGCTTGCTATGTGTTTTCTATTTGCCCTGTTTATTCTCTGTTCATTCTTCCTTCTTTTTCTAGGCGGGGTGAGCTGAATGTAGCCTCTGGGACGGGGATGAAGGCAGCGAGGCACAGAATGAGCACTGGACTGAGAGTCAGCAGAGCCCACCTTCTGGTTGTGATCACCCTCTCCTCATTCTGAAGGGACCACTCAGGTCTCTTTCCTCAGCCTCCCCCACCACCTGGTTGAGGGGTGGCAGAATGGTACCTGGTACTCAGATTTCATCCCTTGTCACAGAGCAAGGAGGTGGCATCTGGGTCAGCGTGTTAGTGTGTGTGTGTGAGTGTGCATGTGTTTGTACATGTTGGTGGATGTGAGTGTGTGCATGCTTGTGTGGGCATGTGTATTCTCTGGGGTTCACTCACCGGCTGGCCTTTGGACCCAGGCTCCCCCTGGTTTCCAGGGAGCCCCGTTCTGCCCTCTGTCCCTCGTTTGCCAGGGGGACCCAGCTGTCCGGGTAACCCACTCTCACCCTTAAAGAAACACACAAAAAATCACCAAAGTGGGAAGGGGTTCTAAGGGAGGAGGCGGTGGAGGGGGACTAGGGCAGCCAGAACAGTGATTCCACAGGGTACCCGAGATTGCAGAATGCTGGGGCAACAAATGGAGGCCTGGTGGAGTGGGGGTGACAAGACTTTCACCTCCCAAAGAGGAAGGTCTCTGTCTCTCCCCTCGAATTCTGGGCCCTGCCTTCCCAGCTCCTCTCCTGCAATTCCTCTCCTCCTTATTGCTTTTCCCCAACAGTATGCAGTTCCCTCCTCCAAACCTCAGCTCACACCCCTAGAATGCCTCCTCCCCATTTATTTATTTATTTTTATTTTTTCAGACAGAGTCTCGCTCTGCCACCCAACCTGGAGTGCAGTGGTGGGATTTCAATTCACTGCAACCTCCACCTCCCCAGTTCAAGCGGTTCTCCTGCCTCACCCTCCTGAGTAGATGGGACTACAGGCACCCGCCACCAGGCCCGGCTAATTTTTGTATTTATAGTAGAGACGGGGTTTCCCCATGTTGGCCGGGCTGGTCTCGAACTCCTGATCTCAAGTGATCCGCCCGCCTCAGCCTCCAAAGTGTTGGGATTACAGGCGTGAGCCACTTCGTAGCCACCTTTTCCCCTTCTATTCTCATTCAAATCTTCCCTGGGTCAAGGCCATCGCTCCCTCTGCCTCCTGTGTCTCAGAGGGTTCCAACCTTTCCTCAATTAAACCTCGAGCCCAGGAAGGGCAAGAACCACATCTGAGTCATTCATCTACATCTCCCCTTCAGAGTCCAGCCCTTGGCTCCAACGGATTCATGGCGGCCTCCTCCTCCCACGCTGCACTGGGAAGCTTTCTAAGGATGCCTTGGGGATCCCGGCTTCAAGCAACAGCTGTTGTTCCATAAATGTCCACGAGAGGGCGCCCGTGGACAACTCAAAAACCAGTTGACGGTTTCAAGGCCCTGATACGGGCGGTATTTATAGTTCCCCCAATGAACTATAAGTCTAGTTCAAGCCTGGGGCAGGACCCCCAAGAAAGGTCAACAATATGGACTCCATTTTCACACAGGCCCTGGGACATGGGTGCCCAAAGGGTCGGAACCACATCAAGGCAGGAAGGGCAGAGGGTGGGTAAGTGGATTAAGAGGTATCTGACCTTGAATCCTGGGGGTCCCTGTGCTCCAGGTAAGCCGGCCACACCTGGATTTCCTCTCTTCCCAGCAGGGCCCATGGGGCCAGGGTCCCCATCGTCTCCCTGCTCCCCCTGTTAAGAAAGCAGGCAGAGGAGGGTCTCTTGTGTTTCATGAAATAGCCAAGGAAGCAGATGGCTCAATGCCTGGGTGAACCCTGGGTGTAGCTGGAGGAAGGGGTCACACTCCAGGATGGAGGTCAGACAGCCTGTGTGTGATGTGGCTGGACCAGGAGGAGCTGAGGATTGTGAGTGGGGAAGGGCGGGATTCTGAGTGAGGAAGGAGTGGGATAGAAACCCTATCCACCAGGCAGGGGAGGAAGGGACGGTCTTTCTGGGTGCTGACATCCAGGAGACAGTCAGAAGGTCCACATTCCCAGGTGCCAGGGGATGAGACGGTTGCCCACCCCAGGGAAACTCCTAGATAGTTGGTCCTGCCCATCCAAGTTTCTAAACGGGCTCCTCTGGCCCATGGCCTGGGGAAGTTCCCCCACACCTGGTCCCGAATGGAGCCACCATCTGTTAACACTAAGCCCCACTCACCTGCTGTCCCACTTGCCCGTCCCTGCCAGGAAGCCCATCTGGTCCAGCGATGCCCTCGAGGCCCTGTCTCCCCACCACGCCCCGGGGCCCTGGCAGCCCCTGCAGGCCCTGGGGGGTACATAAAAAGTTGGTGAGGGCATTTGGCGGGGGAAGGGGGAGAGGGTGGGTGTGGGGGCAGGCAGGGAGGCTGGCTGGAAATAGCAGCTGTAGTCACTCACCTGGACCCCCCTCCGGCCTGGGGCCCCCGCCTTGCCTTGCTTTCCCTTTGGTCCCTGAAAAATCAAGGGCCACATGATGGAGGCTGCCTGGTAGAGGTGTGGGACGCTAGGGGCTCTGGAAGGAGGGACTGAGAGGATGTGGGCCTCTGGGTGAACACCTGATGCCAAAGATGTGCCCAAGTACTCTGGCCTGGAAGCCTGGGGCCAGGGCTGGCCTTGAAACCTCCCGGGGCTGTCACTGAGCCTGCTCTGGGCCCTGGTGTCCCCTCATTGGCACTGGCAATTTCCTGGGAGGAGCCAGAGGCCACGGCTCCACCGGATCCTTTAGAGACTGGGTATCATTGAGGCGTGCAGGTGAGGGGGTGCACCCGGGGGAGGGAAACAGCATTAAGAGGGCACTGGCCCAGCCTGGGGTCTGGGGGAAGGCAGGGGCCCTAGGGTAGAGGCAGGAAGTGGCTCCTCCTCAAAGCACCCTGTCTCTGCCTCCTCTTCCTCCAGACCCCCTCAATTGACTTCTCCCAGTTTTATCTCTACAGTATGGTGTGGGGGAGACTTCTCCCAGTTTTATCTCTACAGTATGGTGGGGGAGAGAGAGGCCAGCTTTTGGCTTTGACTGCCCTGGTTCAAGTCACCTGGTTGGCTCCTCAGGCAGGTGGCTCCTCTGAGCCCCGGTGAAATGGTGCTAATCGTCCCTTCTCGTTCAGGCTATTTGAAGGGAGATGGGGTCATAGCCAGAAGCAGCCTGCCGGGCTCCTGGTAGGATGCTCCCCCTGCCCTGCCTCGCAGCCTTTGCAGCCTGCGTTTGGTTCACTGTGTGACTGTGGGTCAGGCTTCCCTCTTCCCGGGACTCAGTCTCCCCACTGAACCCCCGGCCTTCTTACCTCTGCGCCTTTTGATCCTTTGGGTCCCGGCCGCCCCCGGGGTCCCAGATGCCCCTGCAAACCAAGGTGAGATGACGCAAGGCAGCCCCAGGATTCTCTCCCGGGGAGGGTGGCCAGTCTCCGCCTGGAGGGGGAGGGGTGGGGAGGGGTTTGGGGGTGCAGGTTCTGGGGGTATCCCCAGGGTCAGGGCAGGAGAAACAGAAATGGCTGCCCCAGACCCTCCTGCAGGGAGGGTCCCTTTAAGCTTTAAAGGGTCCAGTTATTTCATTCCCACTGCCCCCCTACTCAGGGCGGGAGGCAGGGATGGGACAGGAGGCACCACTCACGGGTTGGCCCTGCTGGCCTGGCTTTCCACGGAGGCCTGGCACACCCTCCTGTCCCTGGAAGCCAAAGAGAGATAGGTGAGGGGGCCCATCCTGCAGGGGGCTGGGAGGCAGCACAGAAGCCTGGGAAGTTCTTGTTCTTTCTAGACGTGTGTCATCCCCCATCTCCCTGACATGCCTGATCCTGCCAGCTGGTAAGAGCTCTGATACTTACAGGGTACCCAGGGTCCCCCGGTTCCCCGCGGTCTCCTCGATCACCCACAGGACCCTGAATGACAAAGACAACAGCAAAGTTTGGGCCACCAGGTGCCGAGGATGCCAGCCCTGGGCCCTGTTAGCCATGCCCTCTGCGGAGCTCTCAGGGACCTGGCCCCTGATCAGCCCACCCCTCTCCATGCAGCAGGAGGCCCAGATTCCACCTAGGACTCCCCATGGTCCAGGGAGGGAGGGGGCTTACCCGATCTCCAGGCGGTCCAGGGGGACCCTCGGCCTTGCCGTCCTCGCCCTGCTCCCCCTGTGGACACAGAACCAGCTTTAGGGCAAACCGCCTGCTCCTGGGGAATGTGGGGAATTCCAGACGGAAAGCACTTCATCAGAGATGAAGTCTAGCCTGCTTAGGGTTACAGATGGGGACGCAAACTAGAGAGGGAAGGGTAGGTGTGTCTGAGCCAGACCCAGGCTGGTGTGGAACCAGGACTGTGGAACACAGAACAGCGCTTTGTGCCCTCCAGACGCCCTTGAGCTGTAGGATCCTGCAGGAAGTCAGGGAGCTCAGACAGCTGGGTTCACATCCCAGTTTGCAAAGGATCAGCCGCGTGGCCCTGCAACACGTCCCTTCCCATCTTTGAACTCCTCTCCTCAGCTGGGCAATAGGGGAGCGGAGCGGAGTGGGATGGGGGGAAGGGGGCAACATGTGATGTCCGTCAAGGAGTGGTGAGGACTCCATGGAATGATGCGTGACGCCTGGCAGGGAGTAGCACCAACTCCAGCAGCTGGTACGCATGGGCACTGCTCCGGGCCAGACACAGGCGGACTCATGACATCCGCAGCGCAGCACTGGGAAGCAGATGCGATTATTATCCCAATTCACAGATGAGGACACTGAGGCTCGCAGAGATGATGGGACCTGCTCAGAGTTCTTCACCCTCTATCTGAGAGTCCCTGTCTCCGATCCTTGCTGGGAGGAACCAGCTTTAGGGTGAACCTCCTACCCTCCATGGTAGCCCCAGGTGGCACTTGGCAGCCACTCAGCATGGGAGTGTATCCATAAGACAGGTTCCTATGTGCAGAGCGGGACTGGAGCGCGTCCCGGTGCTGTTCAGAGGACTCGGTGAGGAAAGGCACAGGAAGCCCTCAGCAGGCTATGCCCACGTAGCAGGGGCTCAGCAGATGGCGTTAAAATTGCCGTAGCCAGTAACAATAGCAGCAGTGAGACCGTGTCACATGGACATGGCCAGAGACGGGGGTTGGGGGGGGGAGCAGAGTTTAGAGGTGAGGTCCTCATGCCATGGCCACCCCAGGCCCTGGTCCACCCGCAGGACAGGTGTAGACACCACCTTTCAACTATAAGGAAGGTGTAAGCGGAATGGCAAATGGCAGAATCTCAGGGCTCAGAAGACTCCAGCCCCAGAAAACTTGTGTCACTCCTCTGGGCACAGGGCTCAAGCCAGGCACCCCTGGACCCCTTTGTTCATAGGGACTGAAATGGAGCTGGAAGAGGCTGGACAGAGGCAAAGCGTCCCTGGGGCTGGGACACATCCCTGGCTGGAGTCAATTCTAAAGGTTGGTGGTGATCAGCCACCAGCCTGGGGTCTCTGTGGTTCCTGTGGATGGAGGCTGCAGGCTGGCAGGGACTAGGCCTGAGGTCTAGAACCAGCTGTACCCAGAGGGGTGGTCCAGGGAGCGGGGATTCCTTCTCGTCCCTGCCCACTCTCTATGGTCTTTGATCCAGTGCTCAAGTTCCACTGTGGACAGAGGCAGCTGGACTTGGGGACTTTGGGGAAGGGGCCTGCCTGTGTCTACCCAGCATGTTCCATGTGCCAGGTATTTTGTAAGGTTTGTTTCATCCGATCTGCACAGTAACCTATGCCGCTGGGACTATTGTCCACACTTAATGATGGGAAACTGAGAGGAAGGAAGGTCTTAGCCAAGGCCACTCAGGAATCGGGGCAATCTGGGCCCAAAGCCCAGACTGGATGGGCTTGGATGGTCGGGGGCCCTGCCCGCCCCAGCCTGGATCAGCTATACTGATGCCCCACAATGTGAGTGTAGTTTGGGGATGCATTTTTTCGCACCAGAAATCTGGTAGGATACTGTCCCTCCCTTGTCCAAGTCCCAGAGTCTCATCCCCTCTCTCTGGCCACCAGCTTTGTAGTGAGCTCACCCCCACGGTGAGCGGGGGTGGGCGGTTCAAGTTCAAGGCGTATGGCTTCCTTATCTCGGGTCTGCTTTTGGTTAGGGAAGTAGGCTCTGACATCAGACAGATGGGGTCTAAATCCTGGCCCTGCCACCCTCTTACTACAGATCCTGGGCTAGTCTCTGAGCCTCATGGGGACTCAGTTTCCCCACCTGTCCTGTAGAACAGTGCTATCTCTGCACTGGGGCTGCGGTGAGGATTACAGGAGGAATGGCAGGGAAAGAGCTCTGCATGTGGGCGTGTGCTCAGTGTCTCCCCAGGAACCTGCTCTCTCCTCCCCAGCACCATCCAGCTTGTGGCTGGCTGTTCACTCATGGGACTCGCCCTATTTTTGAGACCTCTAAGGGCATCATTCGCAGCCTGTAGCTCAGGGCCTGGAACACACTACATCCTCCATAAATACCTATTGGAGAGCTGGAGGAATGAACAAATCTAATAATGCCTTCTAAGTCAGAAAAGGCATCTGGCTGACGTATATGTGATGCCCCCCCCCCCCCCCGCCACCTTGGCCTCTCATTCCCAAGGATCCCCCCACCTGATGAGGCACTCAAGGCTCAGCGAATCCTGGGGACCCCCCAAGGCCCCTGCAGCCTTAAGGCAGATTTGATGTTAGGGTCCCATTCTCAGCAGCCACAGAGACTGCTTCTAGAGCTGCAGATGGCCTGGAGCGGAGGCCTTGGGGCACACCAGGGCCTCCTTGTTTCAGGGTCTGTGTTAACCCCTTCTGTGCGAGCGCTGGCAGGCTGCGAGGGCCCAGGAGGGACCCGGGGTACTGAGTGGCACCTTCGGTGGCTTCCTGTGAAATCGGCTGGGGCGGGTGGCCCTCTTCGATGGCTGAGCTGTCCTCCTCCAGCAGGAGGAAGGGGTCAGCTGGGCAGCACGCCGGGCCAGCGTGAGTCACCAACAGCAGGATTTAGTTAGTGGGCAGCTGACTCAGCAAAAGAAAGCCGTGCTGGGGAGGCAGGGGGCAAGCGGAGCGTTCCAGCTGAACCAGCAGGGGAGAGGGGGAGGAGGAAAGACAGAAGGGACTCAGGCGACGAAGGTAGGACTCAGACACGTGGGTTCTGGGGCCAGCTGGGGTATTGCCTTGGACGTGACATGGCACCAATACCTTGGACCTTCTGGCACTCCTGGCCCTCCACATCCCCACCAGCACGCCGGGGCAGGGGCCAGGGATCAGCGAGGATCCTTCCAGTGATTTCTCTCCTCTACCGAATCTTGAGCCAAGGGGTGGGGAATGAACATGCCTTCCCCTCTGCCTTGGTGGCTCCTTCCTTGACCACTAACCACTGGAGTTCCTCACTCTCTGTCCTAAGCCTCTCCTGCTCAGCATCCTCTCCCCACTCTCACTGGGTGATCTCATTCACGGGCAAGGCTTCAATTCCCATGTCGACACAGATGATGGAGTTACAGTTTTAGTCATTACAAGATTGATGTCCATTTCTGCTTCTTGGTTATAAGCCCCGTGAGGGCAGGGATTGCATATTTTCATTCCAGCACTGGGTACAAAGATGACACCCAGCACATACTGCTGAATGTGGATCTGATGGCTCCTGCCTGCTGGGCACGGTGGCAGGGACACCAGCCTCGGCTGCTGCAGGGGGTGAGCCCCCACAGGCTTCTCCAGCCATGGCTACCCCAGGGGCTTTCTCCTGCTGGCCCCGAAGCTGACCTCAGCCTCAGACACGAGGGTGCAGCTGCTTCCCCCAGAGCAAACACCCACCTTTTCGCCTTTTGGTCCAGGAGGTCCGAGGGGTCCCACAATGCCTTTGTGTCCCTGCAGGAGAACAAGAAGGAGGTAAGTCAGAATGAGGACTCAGGAAGGACAAAGGACATGGACTCTGAGGTGGGGACACTGGGCTGCAAAACTGGGTCCCAGCTCTGCCCCAGCTGGCTGTGTGGCTCTGAGTAAGTCTGTGTCTGTCTGAGCCCTGGCCTTCCAGACCGGCCATGCTGGTCTCAGACACACCCCAAAGGGGTGTTCCAGCTTGGATGGTCAGGGGCCCTGCCTGCCCCACCCTGGAGCAGACCTGGAAGGGTATCTCGGGAGAACCAGCTTTGTCCTCCAAGCCAGGACCAGGGACAGGGGCAAAATGCTTGCCTCAACAGACCTTCCCAGGCTTTGGCTAGGCCTGCAGGTGCGGACACCCACCGTGGGCCCCTCGCAACATCTCTCCAGGTCTTGTCTTGCCTGTGTTCCTCTCCCTCTCCTCCCCTCCCTGCTGTATCTCTACCAAGCACTAGATCTAGAGCCTCGAGGACCAGAGCTAGGATTCCACCTCCAAACTGAAGTGGTCAGGCCTTGTGTGCCTCTCTATCCTCCTGAGCCCCGGTTTCCCCTTCTGAGTAGGCACCGTACCCCTCTGAGTCTTGTTCTCTCCAGATGTGTAACATGGGTTTGGCTCAGCCATGTCTAAGAAGGTGCCAGACTGGATGCAAAAATGGTCCCTTCCCCAGACAGCAGACAAGGCATGCAGAGCACCCACCCCAGGCAGGAAATACCCAGGAAGGCTTGGGGTGGCTCATTTTGATCTGGTGGCCCCAACCACACCTGTCCCATCCATGATCTTCCACCCCCACCACAGCTCTGGGCCCAGGGCTCCCTGGGGCAGGTGAGACCCCACATCTTCAGTGTCCCAGGGGTCAGCCTTCAGCCGGGAGGTGGTGGGGCAGAGGCTGACGTGGGCCTGTGTGTCTAGGCCTGCAGGACAGGGTCGGGGGTGGGGTGAGGTGATATCTGCTTACATCATAACCAGCCAGTCCCGGTTCTCCTTGGGCCCCCATGCGTCCAGGAGCACCCTACAAGAGGAGGAGGCCCTCGTTGGTATGGAGTGTGGCTCTCACAGCAGGGACACAGCTGTCTCCCTGCAGGCCCCAGCCCTGCTCCACCCAGCAGCCTGGTGCTTCCAGGCTGCCCATAACCAAGGTGTGCGAACAAGGCAGAAAGCCAGTGACATCATCCCTCCTCCCTGGAAATCCCCACCCCCGCCCCAGCCCTCCTTCTCCTGGCTCCAGTGGTTCAACACAGCTGATTGCTAAATTCTCAGGACTCTTACAAGCCAGTGGAACAGAGCCGTTATTAACAATTCAATTTTATGGACTTACAGTTAAATTAATTTTACTAAAAGCCAAGATAGAGGATACTCAAAACTCATCTCCTCCTAGCCATTTTACTACATTTTCCTCCTCCCTACTCTCATGAAGTTATTTTGGTCTACTGCATCTGTGCGTGTTGGTGGAAACACTGCCTAAGGGAGGGCTGCCGTGTAACTCCAACCCACTCTGCATTCAATGATGTCATGTCAGTGGCTTGAAACCAGCCACGGAGGGAGCATTTACACTGCAGAAACTGGCCAATACCACAAACCAGCCTGGCTGCTTAACCTTACACACAGCCAGCTTGGAGCTGCTGTGTCACCCTCTTCAGCCTCCTTCCCTTGCTTCCGCCTGGGGTCTTCATCTCCTGCAGGTATCAAAGCCCTCTGGGCCCCTTCCTTCAGGGCAGCCCAGCAATGCTCTGGGACACCCTCAGAGTCATCCAGGGACCTGCAGGAGCATTGCCCTGTTCCTCCTGAATCTATTTCTGAGGGGAAATCTCCTTGTTTGATAAAAACAGTCCTAAGAATCGGGTCCTTTCTCCCCTGATGCTAATAACAAGGCTTATTCATTTGGGTCCATAGAGGGCTTCAGGGGACCCACACACCCCTTCAAATTGCAGGAAATATACTGTGTGGTGTATACTGTTCCGGAGGCGGGGCTGCAGCTCTCTGCAGGTTACCAGAGCGATTCATGATTCAGAGAGGTGGCTGGGACAGTGAGCACCAAGTGTTCAGCTAATAGCTGGGGTGGGTGACAGCAGCACAGAGAAGCCTGGTGTCTCCTTTTCTGCCCTTGGTTCCCTCTATTCCATATCTTACTCCCAGACCCCAGCGAGAGAGTCCTCACCGTTGGTCCCAGGCTGCCCCGGGACCCTTTAGGGCCTGGAGTGCCAGGGGGTCCGGGGTCTCCAGGGACACCCATCTCACCCAGCTGTCCTTGGTAGCCCTTGGCGCCCTGCAACAGGAGGAGAGACAAGCTGTCACCAGGCCCCAGCAGGACAGAGGGGCCAGGGAGGGGAGGGACTGGGGAAGGGATGTGGGGGAGGGACGTGGGCCCATCGAGGCAGAAGGGGGCACCTACCTTGGCTCCAGTGCGGCCCTTCTCGCCTTGCTTCCCTGATTTTCCTTCAGGACCCTGAAGAGAGAGGAGGGAAAGAGCAAGAGAAAGATGAGAGAAGAGAAGAAATTGAGGCGGATTCGCAAGGTGGTCAGACTGTCAGCTCTGGAGGCAGACGGCCCGGTTCGAAACTAATTCTGCCACTCAGTACCCCTGTGACCCTGAGCCTGACCTAACTTCCCAGGCTCAGCGTCCTCTGCTGTGTAGTGGGGACAGTGTCACAGAACTTAGGGATTCGACTTGGCGATGCAAGAACGTGCTGACAGCAAGGCCTGGGTGCAGGGGTGGACGCTGGGTGTGGCTTCTGCAATTGCCAGCTTCACTGTCGTCATGGTTACTGTTAGGCATCCAGGGGTGTCCTACAGGGAACAGCTCTCTGCACTGAGCTCTCTCCAGCGCCAAGTGCTGTTCCATCCTCCCAACGACCTTGAACGTTAGGCCCCAAAGAGACCCGCTTCCAGTTGAGGCAGCCAAGTTCCCAAAGATACAGTGACTTTTGCCCAGGGTCCCAGCTGCGCCTTGCAGGCCCTGAATCAATCCCAGCTGTGTCTGGCTCCATGCCCAGGGCTCTTTCCACCCCCTGGCTCATGGTCCCCATTGATGACATGAGGTGGCAAATGGAGAGGATTTATAGGTTCTTCCCTATCTCTGAGATGTTGTGCGTCACTTGTGAGCAATTCCTGGGGCATGTCCCTCACACGGGCCCCTCCTCTCTCAGGGGCTGGGCTGGAGGAGCCTCCTCACAGTAAGGAATTGTGCTGGAAAGGTCAGCTGCCTTCTCCCACTTTCCTGGGGGTCCCCAGGCCATTGCCTCTGACAGGCCACTCCGCCCCTGCCCCACAGGGCTTCCCAAAGAGATGCTCTGGCCTGCCCTGCCCTGCCCTGCCCTGGTGTGTGGCGGGGTTGGGGGGGGGTGCGCAAATTCAGCTTTGTGTCCACAGCACGGGTGAGTGTGTGCAAGTGTGAATGTGACAGTAAGAGACAGACACAGAGAGAAAGAGAAGAGAGAGAATCAATCCTGGGCCATAGGTCGGGATGGAGGGAGTGGGGCAGGCAGCGTTTCTGGCCTAGAAAGGACTTCTTGACTGCAAGCCTCAAAGGATCTAGAAAGAATGTCTATGCTCTTGGTAAGCACTAAGGAGCTGCTTTGATGTAATCCCTCTGGTTGCATTAACAGAGGCACCAGATGTAGAATGAAGGAGGTGATGTCCCATTCGGGAATAGGTATTGTACTTTAAGAAGAGGCACTGACTAATTGTGATAGAAGAGGGACAGGAAGAAGAGGTCCTAGAGGAACAAGGAAACATCTGGACCAACCCAGAGGACTTGGTTCCCGTCTGCAGATTTCTGCAGCTGTTCTGGGGGCAGGGCCAGCCATGTTCTCTAGGGTGGCCAGTGCATGAAAATTATGGGGCAGCTGGCTTTGATTCAGTACAAGGGAGAAATGTCTGCTCTAAAGACATAACGCAGCATCAGTTATGATGCCAGAAAAGATGATGCTATCCCAAAGGGACACACCACTCAGACCACCCTGTGGTCCTCAGAAAGGGAGGAACAGTGGCCTGGGAAGGACCTCAGCACAGACTGCCTGCATCCCAGTGCCTGAGTCCACATGTACCCCTGGACCAGTCCTGCTCTTTCTCTGAACCTCAGTTTCCCCACCTCTAGTATGGGACTAGCCCCATGGCCTCCAGCCACATACAGCTACTGAACACTTGAAATGTGGCTACTCTGACTGAGGAACTGAATTCTTGATATTATTTAACTTTAATTAATTTAAAATTAAATTTAAGGCCGGGCACAGTGGCTCACGCCTGTAATCCCAGCACTTTGGGAGGCCGAGGTGGGTGGATCACTTGAGGCCAGGAGCTCAAGACCAGCCTGGCCAACATGGCGAAACGCTGTCTCTACTAAAAATACAAAAATTAGCCGGGTGTGGTGGTGCACGCCTGTAATCCCAGCTACTTGGGAGGGCCCAGGCACGAGAATTTCTTGAACCCGGGAAGCGGAGATTGCAGTGAGCACTACTGCACTCCAGCCTGGGCCACAGAGTGAGACTGTGTCTCAAAAGAAAAAAAAAAAAAAAAAGTAAAAGTTGACACACGCAATTATGTTGCTAGAAAACTTGATTGGAGTAACTTGGGTATATGAACCTACATTTTCAACTGTAAATTTTATGAAATCTCAATACAGATCAAGTATTTACAGATCAAAATCAGTGAAATTTTATAGACAATGAAAATCTAAACACAGGTCAGGTATTTCCAATGAAAATTCACATGTGAATTGAGATGTGCTATGAATATATATACTACACACTGGTTTCAAAGACTTACTACAAAAAGAGTGCTAAATATCTTATTAATGATTTTTATATTGATTATATTTTGAAATGATATTTGGATATATTGGGCTAAATAAACTATATTATTAAAATTAATTCTTTTTTTTTAATCTGAGACAGGTCTCTCTCTGTTGCCCAGACTGGAACACAGTGGTTCGATCTCAGCTCACTGCAGCCTCAACCTCTGGGGCTCAAGTGATCCTCCTACCTCAGCCTCCCAAGTAGCAGAGACTACAGGCATGAACCACCACGCCCAGCTAACTTTTTAATTTGATTTAATTTAATTTTTGTAGAGACGAGTTCTCACTATGTTGCCCAGGCTGGTCTTGCACTTTTAGGCTCAAACAATCCTCCCACCTCGGTTACCTAAAGTGCTGGGACTACCGGCATGAGCCACCGCACTGGCCCTTAAAATTAAAGTTACCTGTTTCTTTTTGCTTTTTAAAGATGGCTACTAGAAAATGTAAAAGGAGTGGCTTGTATATGGCTTGTATTTCATTTCTATCAGACAGCACTAGGCAATCTCAAAGTCTCCAGCTCTTCTGGTGATAAAACACCAACAATCCCTACAACCCTCACCACGGGCATGTGCTGTGTTCTCATTCTTCATAAATGTTCGTTCAATTCTCACCAGTGTTTGGAGGAAGGGATTATTGATCCCGTTTTGGAGCTAAAGGAACTGAGGCTCAGTGAGAGGAAGCCCTCTGTGGGCCTCCCAGCCAGGTCAGAAGTGACACGCAGCTCCTCTACTTCCGGGGCACCTCTCCTTCCAGGCTGGTCATGGTCAGGCAACGGGGAAGGCATGTCACAGTGATTGGTGGCATTTTCCAGTGCACTGAGGTGGCTGCAATGGCTGACTGATCCCTTGCAGAAGGCGAGATGAGTCAGTGCTGAAGCATCCGGTACCGGGGCAGGGAGAAGGGAGGCTGCATCTCCCCCAGGACAGGGCACCACTTGCTGGGACGTGCCCTCTCCAGCAGAGAGCATACATACAGTGGGTGAGGCTGTGGGCCTGGAATGAAGATTTCTGCTGGGCCCCATCCGTATAGATGCATTTCTGGAAAGGCCCCAATGGCTCATAAAATTCTATTTTTAAATACTCAACTGTTTCCAGGCCACAGAGTGGGAGGTATTTATCCTGATGCCAAAGAGACTCAAGGCCCCTCACTGCCTTATCACTCAGCACACACTTGGCCTGGCCTAAGTGACTCCCTTTCCAATCCCGGCATATGAGAAATGGGAGTGATGGCAAAACATTGACATTAACACAGCTACCACCACCACACCACTACTACCATCATCATCACCATCATCATCACCACTGCCCACACCATATCACCACATCATCACCAATTTCCTCAGCCTACATCATATCACCACATCATCATCAATACCTCTAATTTCTACCACTGCCACACTACCATCACCATTACTCCATCATCACCACCACTGCCACTATCATTAGTAACAACACCATTATCACCACCCATCACCACCACCACCACCATCCCACTCACTACTTCCCCATCATCATCACCAACTATTATCATCACCATCACCACCACCAACACCACTGTCATCACCAGCCTTCCATCACCACCACCACTACCCCCATCACCAATACTACCACATAATTATCATTAGTACCACCAACAACAATATCACCACCATCGCCACCACCACCATCGCCATCATCACTTCCCCATCATCATCACCATTATCATCACCATCACCACCACCAACACCACCGTCATCACCATCACCACCACCACCACTACCCCCCACCATCACCACCACTACCCAGCCATCACCACCACTACCACAATAGTACCAATGCACTAATATTATCACCATCACTACCACCATCACCATCACCACATCATCACTTCCCATCATCATCACTCACCATTATCACCACACACACCACCACACCACCACTGTTTAACATCACCACCACCACCACTCACCCTGCCATCACCACCACTACCACTACCACGAAATTCTGACCACTACCATTATCACCACCATCACCACCACCACCATCGCCATCATCACTTCCATCATCATCACATCATTATCACCCACCATCACCACCAATTGCCACACGACCACCAGTCATCACCATCACTACCACCAATGACCACTATCATCACCATCAACACCACCACCACTACCCCCACCATCATCACCACCACTACCATCAGTCAATGAAAACAACACATCAATTTCATTATCACCAAAATACCATCAACAACACCACATCATCATCACCATCACCATCATCAATGCCCCATCATCATCACCACCACCACCACTATCACCATCACCACTGCACACCACTGGTCATCACCATCACCACCACCACCACTATCATCACCATCACCACCACCACCACTACCCCACCCATCATCATTTCAACATCTGTCACCACAGTACCACCATCACCATTATCACCACCACCACTCACCACCACCACCATCACCATCATCACTGCCCATCATCATCATCACCACCATCACCACTATCACCCATCACCACCACCAACACTCACTTACCCCCGCCATCATCATCACTTACCAACACTACCTTTTATTACCATCATACCACCTCTACTCCACTCCCACCCCTACTATCACCATCGCCACCACCATCATCACTGCCTCATCATCATCACCATCACCCCATCACCATCACTACCACCAACACCACTATCCCCACCATCATCATCACCACCACCAACCACCACCACCAGCACCATCGTCACTGCCCCATCATCACCATCACCACCACCACCACCATTATCATCACCACCACCACTATCATTACTACCACCACCACCATTATCACCACCACCACCACCACCACCACCACCATCACCATCATCACTGCCCCATCATCATCACCACCATCACCACCACTATCATCACCATCACCACCACCAACACCACTACCCCCGCCATCATCACTACCACCACCTCCATCACCCTCACCTCCACTCCCCTCCCACCCCCACTATCACCATCACCACCAACACCAGCACCACCATCACCACCTCATCACAGTCACCACTACCACCATCATCACCCCCATCATCTTCATCATCACCACCAACACCACCATCATCAGTACTACCACCATCACCATCATTATTATCATCATTACCACCACTGCCATTGCTGCTGCCCCCACCCACACCATCCACTCACCATCACCACCAGCCACCACCAGCCTCTAGTCACTTCATCCTCTAAATTTATAAAGACAATCTTTTATATTTCTGGTGCATTTTATAACATGCTTTCCTATCCTGAGTTTTACTTATTCTTTATAGATAAGAAAACCAAGGCTCAGAGAGGGGCAGTGATTTGCCCAAAGTCACACAGAGAATGGGTTGCTTGAGCCAGCCAGAAACTCAAGTTCAACCTCAGGACTCTGGTTCCACGACTTTTTCTGCCATGTGTTCCTGCCCATTCCACAGCCATGATACTCAACACTTACTAAAAAAGGGCCCCTGGAACGCTGGAGCTCAAAGTGATCTTAGCACACATTCCTTCCAAATCCTCCAAGGGCAAAACCGGAGAGGGCAAGGGGTGGGTGAAAGGTCGCAGACCAAGTTCCTAATGCAGAATCTGGGCCAGGGCCCCTCCTGCTAAATTCCCCTTGGCCCACTTCCCCGCCGCTGAGTCAAGCCCGGGGAAAGCCTCCTGGCTGACTCAGCGCCCTCGTATTCTTCTCTAGTTTGGTGAGTTCATTCTGTTGCAGCTGTTTAGGGGGATTGGCAATTCAGTGCTATTTTTAGGAAACAAATATTTTCCCACAACCATAGTTTGTTGCAGGCTAACTTGGATCTGTCCTAGGTTAGTCATGTAAACACTTCAGGGGGGAAAAACAGTGTCAAGAGCAGGCCTGAATCGAACTGGGCTGCTTTGCCTAGGTAACATCGATCTCTCCGCTTGAGGGATGAGGAGCGAAATGGATACCCCAGGGAAACTGGGATGGCAGCAGAGGTGTGAGTTCTCACCAGCTGGCTGGCTCAAGGTAGATGCCAGCAGGCTTATGCATTTGGGCATTTTGTCTGCAAGGCCACCTAATCCACGGGTCCCAAGCAGTTCGACTGAACCGACCCAGCACTCCTGGGTCACACAAACCCTGCTCAACTGTACAAGACTACCACCGCCCCCCCACTACCAAGTCAAGTTCCGAGTCATCAGTCCAGTATTTGCGACACTCAGAAATCAACCTTCCACCTGCCTCCAGCCTCATCCTCACAGACCCACAGCCAAGCCCTGGATTCCAACTCTGCCAGAGCCCAGGGGCAGTATGTATAGACTCATGCAGGCCTAAGTTCAAATCCCAGCTTTGCCATTTGTCACTGTGTGAGCCTGGGAAGTTTCCTTTACCTCTCAGATTTTCCCAATCCTCAGGGGTTGCTATCAGCATCAAAGAGGGAACCTTCAGGAAAGCACTGGGCAACTTGTCTATACACGTTGACACTTGTCTATACACCTTTAGTCTCGGAGCACCTGGCCCAGGGAAGATGCTCGTGAGTGTTTGCAGACTGACAAAGTACATTTCTGTTAGGGTAGAAGAGCAGAGCTGCTCTGTCTTCTTAATCAACAAACAGACTTTGGTCACCTCTTATGTGTCAGGTCTGGGTTTTTTTTTTTGTGTGTGACAGAGTCTCGTTCTGTTGCCAAGGCTGGAGACAGTGGCGTAATCTCGGCTCATTGCAACCCCCGCCTCCCAGGTTCAAGTGATTCTCCTGCCTCAGTCTCCTGAGTAACTGAGACTATATATGCGCCACCATGCCTGACTGATTTTTACACTTTTAGTACAGACGGGGTTTTACCATATTGGCCAGGCTGGTCTCCAACTCCTGACCTCAAGTGATCCGTCTGCCTTGGCCTCCCAAAGTGCTCAGATGACAGGCGTGAGCCACTGGCCAAGGCACTGTTAAAGATGTAAATGAAGGCCAGAAAAGATCTTGGTCTTCATGGAACCAAGACATACACTGAAGGTTATGCATGTCCCTGAGGGCTCATGGCCCAGCCTGGGGGCAGGGATGGCTTTTTGGAGGAGGTGATGTCTGTGGTGATACCTAAAGGCCAAATAGGACTAAAGCAGGTGACAGGGGAGTGAGGAAAGGAGAGTGTCCTAGACAGAGCACGGACAAAGGCCCAGGGGTAAGGGCCACAGCTTGTCCAAGGAACTGAAAAAAGTTCAGTGTGTCTGGATATGGGGGATGGACGAGATGAGGTCGGCAGCGGCCAGGTTTGCACAGGGCAGGGGAGCCGGTAGGATGAGTCACAGATGTTCTGCAGAGCCATGGAACGTTAAGCAGGGAAGGGACATGGTCAGATTGGTTCTCTGGCAAACCACCGGGTGGAGAAAGGACTACAGCAGAAGATCCTTCAGTGGCACGACCAAAAGCCCTCCAGCCCAGCTGCCTGCACAGGCATGAGCGTTCCGGGTACCCCAGAGCCCCAGGCGCTGCAAGCAGCCGGCACACTCACCCGGACACCAGTGACACCAGGGGGGCCGGGGGGCCCGTCCTCACCCATCAGCCCTTCCTGGCCTTTCTCGCCATGTTCTCCATCAGGCCCTGGGTCTCCCCTGTCCCCCTGGGTGGCAGGGCATGAGGAGGGGAGAGAGACAGAGAATAAGTTAGTTGCCAAGTGCATCAGAGGCCCCAAACTGCAGGGCTCCATTCAGACATCCACAGCCAACTGGCCCCTAGATTCCCGACAGGTCCCTCCGCTGCCAAAAAGGCAGGGTGCTGTGACTCGGCTGCCGCACTCAGTGTAGCCTGAAGCTTGCACAGGACGCATCCCAGACTTAGAGGTTCCCACGTGTCCCTGTCTGGGCCTGGGCCGGGAAGGGCAGAGTGACTCACAGATAAGCCCCGGTCCTGACTGCACCCACCCCACGGATTTCACAGGAGACAAGGGCAATTTGTCCCCAACTTAGACACATTGGGAGAACAAGAGTCTTATGAAGCAGATTTTTTTTTTTTTTTTTTTTTTTTTTTTTTAGACAGAGTCTCAGTCTCTCTCCCAGAGAGAGATTGTGCAGAGGTGCAATCGTAGCTCACTGCAGCCTCTACCTCCTGGGCTCAAACAATCCTCCTGCCTCAGCCTCCCAAGTAGCTGGGACTACAGGCACATGCCACCATGCCCAGCTAATTAAATTTTTTTTCTTTTGCAGAAATGAGCTTTTGCTACAAGAGAGCTTGAGCCCAGGAGTTGGAGACGGTTGCCCAGGTGGGTCTCCAACTGCTGGGCTCAAGCAATCCTCCCACCTCAGCTTCCCAAAGTGCTGGGATTACAGGTGGGAGCCACTGCGCCTAGCTGAAAGAAATTTTCATCAAGCAAGAAAATTTACCCAATTCTCCCTCTCAGAACCACTCTTTCCATTTTTCTGAGCTGCATTTTCAATCCTTGATGACACAAAAACAGTGAATAATAATAATAAATGGTAGATAACAGTTTGGATGGTATGCACCTGACTCAGGGCAGTGAAGCAACTGTCCCAAGGCAATGCATTGGTTCCAGTAAACTAAGCTCTAAAGGCACAATCCCACTGGACTGCCGGTCTCCATCTTCGTTTGTTATAGTTACTGCTTTGCTCTATGGTGAACGTGCCCTCCCGCTGCTCTGGGCTCTGCATGGCGATCATTCTTATGGGCTGCAGAATACTTTCTCTGGGGAATGGATGGAGCTAACATTTATATGGCACTAACCATGTCAGGACCATAGTCTGAGTCCTTTAACATTTATTAACTGATTTAATCCCCACAAAAGCTTTCCAAGGCTGGTCCGCTTTTAGTCCCATTTTACAGATGAGGAAACTGAGGTAGAGCTAAATCAAGTCATCTGGCCCAGAGGCCCACAACTGGCTAGCGGTGGAGCTGGACTTTGAAGCAGGATCCTGAGCGTGCCCTCTTTACAGCGACAGGGCTGTAACCAAGGTCTTCTTGGGGCTTCGGGCCTTTGGGGCACCCGGGGTTATTTCCTTGGAAAGGCAACACTTGGCATGGGTTTTTTTGTTGTTGTTGTTTAGATAGATCTCATTCTGTCACCCAGGCTGGAGTGCAGTGGCCTCCACCTCCCAGGTTCAAGCGATTCTCCTGTCCCCGCCTCCTGACTAGCTGGGACTACAGGCACATGCCACCACGCCTGGTTAATTTTTGTATTTTTAGTAGAGACAGGGTTTCACCATGTTGGCTAGGCTGGTCTCGAACTCCCGACCTCAGCTGATCCACCTACTTCCGCCTTCCAAAGTGCTGGGATTACAGGTGTGAGTCACTGCACCAGGCCGGCATGGGTTTTTTATGGTTTTGAAGCAATCAGTGTCACTCTAAGCTTGCCTTATCTCATCACGGTAATCTTTGCGTACTCCGAGAGAGATTGGGGGCAGGTGCGGTTCCAGGATGGGGCATGCAGGATTCTAGGAGGGGGCATGGGCCGTCACCCTCATCAACCTTGAGCAGAGGAGGTGTGGAGTGCAGCATGGGCATGGCTGCCAAGAGGCGGCGTCCATCAGAAGGTGGTCTCCATCGGGGCTGGCAGGCCTGGGGTCTGTGGTCAGTCTGCACTGGCTTAGCTGTGAGTTGTTCAGGGAGATCCATGGGAGAGGACATGAAGTCACAGGTACGAGGAAGGATGGGTGAGAAGAGCAGGCTTGGAAAAGCATAGTGAGTCTTTACCAGTTCTGTCCCCCAGTGCCAAGCTTTACGAGGGACACTGATAAACTGGTGTGCATCCAGAGGAGAGACAGCACAGGAAGCAGAGGGCATGAAGCTGGAGCCTGGGGTTGGGCCCTGCCCAGAAGAGAGGCTCGAGAGAGCGACTCATGATTGCTCATTGCTGCAAGCTGGGCCTGCTGAGGCCCGGGCTCCGGGGCAGGAGGCAGGTGTGAGGGAGTTGCTGGGGCAGTTTCTAGCTCAGTTGGGCAGATTTTGCAACGGTGCGGTCCAGAGATGGCACAAATAAAGGCAGGAGACTCCGAGCTGAGGCGTGGGCCAGTGCAGAGCAGATCTGGGCACAGAGTTGTACCTAGATCCCTTCCCACTGAGAGCCTCAGCTTCTAAGCACAGCCTGGCATGAAGACAGGGGGCTGGCCCGGATAACTCTCCTGCAGACTCCCCTGGCTCTGGGATTCCATTTCTGGCTTGTCGTCCTGGCCACCTGTTCTCCTAACTCTCAGAGGCAGACAGCCTGTTCCAGGAGGCTGGTTGGGTTTTCAGCAAAGGGCCCTCACCTGGGCTCTGCCTAAGACCACCCTCCAGGGGTTAACTGGACCCCTGGGGTGGACGTCCTTGTGAATCACATGCAGAACAGGCTCTGGGGGTTCCTGTAGATGCCCCAATTCCTCAGACATCTGTCAATGCTCAGAAGAGCCTTGCAAGTCACCTTCCTTAACCCTCTCCAGTTACAGATGGGAAAACTGAGGTGCAGAGAGGTGAAGACTCCCTGATATCACCGGGTAAGTCAGTGCTGTGTGAACCAGGGGTTCTGGCTCCTTCTAATTCCAAGATTTTCTGCTCAGGGGACGATGCCTCCCTCATCCCTGGGGTTATGCTGCCTAAGTTCAAATCTTGCTACTGCTACTGAATAGTGGTGTGACCCTGGGCAAGTTTCCTCGTTTGTAATATCAGGATCAAAGGATTACTGCAAGGATTGAAAGAGATAAACCATGTAAATAGCTTAGCAGCGTGTCTGGCACGTGAATGCTGGATCAAAGCTAATTATTATTGGTCACCGCCACCATCACCACCGTCAGCTGGACATCAGCAAAGAGATAACGGGTGTAAAAGCACTCTATATACTATAAAGTGCTGTGCATATTCAACACGCAGTTTTCACCACGAGGGGTGATTCCTGGACAAACACCTTAAGAAAATGGGTCTCTCCTGGGATTCATGTAAAGACCGGGGAAGACGCTGTGCATTTGAGCACAAGGACTCAGGTAGAATTGGCTTTGAAGGGAGGGAAAGAGGACGAAGCCAGGGCCAAAAAGCCATGCAAGGTGGAGGCAGAAGACTGCACGAGGCACCCAGGTTGGAAGACCCCCTCCCGCCCACCTCGGTGGACATTCCAAGAAGAAAGGTGGCCGCCCAGAGTGGAGTGAGAAGGCTGCTGCTTCGTGCCTCAGTTTCCTTATCCGTCCAGTGGGGATGGTACTGTATCAAGCTTGGGAGAGTTGCTGGGAAGATTAATTATCAAATGGGTGAATTCACATAACGCCCTTCGGGTCAGTGGCACTGGGCACGTGGCAAGCGCCCAAAGCATTTTAGCCATGACCTTCATCAGCATCACCACGCAGTGTAGCAGGCGCCGGCAAAGGGTGTGGAGGGGCTGTCAAATGCTCCGGGTCTTAGGACTCAGCTGTACCCTAGGATGCAGCAGGGCTGGGGGTGAGGAGGCAGGTGGATGACAGACAGGGGGCGCTCTCGCTCTTGCAAGAAAACGTGAGGAGTCAGCAGGGGCTGGTCACCAAGGCACCCTGGGAGACTGTGGGGAGGGCGTATGAGGGTGGGCGGAGGCCTGTGGATGGGGAAACTGAGGTTCAGAGAAGGGGTCTGCTTCTCCAAGGTCACCTGGAGAGTAGGTGGGTGAGAGGGGATACCCCAACATGGCCCTCAGGACCCTGGGCTGGAGAGCTGACTTGCGCAGGGTGACCAGCCAGCCTCGGGAAAAGCCCATGTGTGGGGTCAGAGCGGGACCCGAGACAGAGGCCAGGGACTGGCCTGGCTGGAGATGGGTGTGGAGAGTCAGAGGGCGGTGCCCACCTGCCCACCCGCAGTTCAGGTGAGCTAAGGTGCCTCTTCAGAGTCCTGACATTTGTGGCTGACAGGAGGCTCTCAGGGGGACGCAGGGTCGAGGTGGGCCAGCAGGCTTTGGCACCTGTGAGCTGTGGGTTTGAATTTTGGATCCTCACTCACAGCCATAGGTCCTGAATATATCTCTGCCTTCCTCTGAGCCTCAGCCTTTTCGCCTTTAGAATGGGTGCATAGTACAGCAGAGCGAGCAGATTTGGGTCAAACAGGCCCAGATTTAGGTTCTGGATGTGCCAGTTGCTAGTGGTGTGTCCTTGGGCAAGTTGCTTCACCGCTCTGAGTCTGTTTCCTCATCTAAAGACAGAACTCCCATTGCCCTGTGCATCCAGCTGGTACAGGGCTCGGTGTTGTACCTGGTATGCGTGTGACTAATCCTCCCTAAATTGTGACTCATAAGTCATGGGTGGTAATTACTATTTTCCTGACCTTCTAGGTTATTTGGATGATCACAGAGACCAAAGACCCTGGCTCTGGGCCTGGCGTAGTGCCAGTGCTCAGGAACCACCCTTAGCCAAGAGAAGCTGATATTTTAAGAAGGGTAGCAGGAAAGACTGCAAGGTGGTGATGGTCCTGGTCCTGGTCCCACCTGAGCAGGTAGTGCAGAGGGCAGGGTGGGAGGTGGCCGCTGGACACTGCTGACCCTTCCCCTGCTGTCAATGGGAGCTGGAGGTCTCATCACAGATCTCCACAGGAACACAGTGCTTCTGGGAGGAGACTTAGGTCTTGGATGGGAAAGCAATGCCCTGCCAGGGTCCCCAGGCCCTGCCCTAAAAGGGCACTTACCTTCAGCCCATCAGGTCCCATGGGGCCACTGTCACCCTCGAGGCCTGGTTCTCCCTGGAAAGGGTGAGGAGAAAGAGGAGGAGATGTTACTGGGGAGGAGGCCCCGGTGTGCTTTTCCTTTCTTCCCCCTCCCTGGGGCAGTGCCCTGACCCACGGATCTCCAGGCAGTGGGACCCTGGGGCCCCTGGCACACAGTGGGTGCATGGTAGCCAGGGGCTGAGTTAGCAAATGAACAGGAAGTTTGAGGTGACCACCCTCGGCTCTCTAGAAAGGGGAAACAGACCCCCAAGCTACAGACAGCTCCCTTTGCAGGGTGGTGTGGGGTGGGGGCTACATGAAGTCACGAATTTAGAAGGTGCCTGTCATGGATTTGTCCTGGACCTCATCTCTAGGCTGGTTGGCAGGGCTGCGGAGTGGCTTCGTAGTTAAAGACAGGCTTTGACATCAGCCAGACATCAATGCTACTTCTCGGTTTCCCATTCACTGGCTGTTTGACCACAAGCAAACTACTTAGCTCTCATGGGCATCTGTTTTTTCATCTGAAAAATGCGGCTGACACCACCTTCTTCAAGGGTTGCTGTAAGGCGCGGTGTGAGCACCCCACACCTGGCAGCCCTGTGAGATACTATTACTGGAGCTGGAGCAAGCCTTCCTGGAACTCCTTGGTGGAATCCCACTTCTCAGACGAGGAAAAGGAGGCCTGTCTTTCAACTTTTCTTCCCAGCAAGCTCGGGAAGGACAACAAGAACACTGAGTCCCCGGCTGACCCTCAACCAGGCTGGCCCTTCCAGCTCCAGAGACGCCCCCAGACAACAGTTCTTGAAATGGCCATCAAATTAAGTTTGGGTGTCTCTCTGCTTTTAGAATTCATCACTGTTCAGAGTCTGAGCTGGAAAGGGCCTCAGCAGTTGTCAGATGCAGGATGGCAACCATGTGCCAGCTGGGTGGTCTGTGATCCTCTTGTACCCATGGCAGGTATCACTTATCAACCCGCTGGAATGCAAGCTCCAGAGACAGGTCTCAGTTACTCACTGCTGTACTCCTTGTGCCTCGAGAAAAGTGCCTGATACACAGTGGGTATAGGATGCATGCTCATCCTTCTCTTTCCTACCGAGCCTCGAGAACCTCAGGATCCTTCTTTCTTTCTTTCTTTCTTTTTTTTTGAGATGGAGTCTTCCTCTGTCACCCAGGCACGATCTTGGCTCACCACAAGCTCTAACTCCCAGGTTCAAAGCGATTCTCCTGCCTCAGCCTCCCGAGCTGGGACTACAGGCCACAAAATGCATTTTGACCATAAAATGCCTTTCTCTACATGGTGGAAATGCTGGCCTACCAAGACAGACTGGGCGAGGCTATAGAGGTTCATAGTCTACTTCTGTAACTGAGGAAACTGAGGCTTAGGGAGATTGAGAAAAGCCCGTCTCTTCCTCTGCTGTGCCCACACACCCTGGGGGCTTTCAGGAAGAATAAATCGCTTCAACTTACCCGTTGCCCAATGAGGCCCTGCTCCCCAGGGGTGCCCAGGGGTCCAAGGTCACCCTAGGAGAAGCCGAACAAAAGTCCATGGGGGTGGGTAGGGCCAGCCCCAGCCCTCGCCACCCCTTCCTGTTTCCACCTGCTCTGACTTGGAGTGTGGGAGGAGGAGATGGGAAAGTTCCTTCTTCCCAGGGACCACAGAGAAATCGTAAAACACCAACCAGAGCTCCTGTTCCAAGTAACCTTGTCCACGGGCTTCTTCTCCCATGCCAGGACAGGAGGATCATTACCACCAACACCACCACCATCATCCTATTAATAACTAACTGTACTGTTCTAAGGATTTTTTTTTGAAACAAGGGTCTCGTTCTGTCACCCAGGCTGGAGTGCAGTGAGGTAATAATCACAGCTCACTGCAGCCTTGATCTCCCAGGCTCAAGTGATCCTCCCACCTTAGCCTCTCTCAAGTAGCTGGGACCACAGGCATGTGCCACCATGCCTGGCAGATTTTTAAATTTTTTGTTGAGATGGGGTCTCGCTACATTGCCCAGGCGGAGGACGTCAGTTTTTATATTAACATATTTGACTTTCAAGACAATCCTGCAAGGAAAGGTATTCTTTTAGAGGTAAAGCATCAGAGGCATTGGGGGAGTTCAGTAAGGAGCCCAAGCTCTCACAAGACTAGTCAGTGACAGATTCAGGATCTGAAGCTGGGCAGTCTGGCTCCGGGAGCCTTGGATGCAGCAATGGCAACTATGTGATTTTACTCTTCCTTGAGACTTGCAGAGAAAGCCACACGAGGAGGAAGCCCTAAATGAGTAGGAATAAATGTCACCTGCCCCCTGCATAAAGGCCCTAAAAGGGTCTTTCTTATTGGAGAATTTTCAAGCTATATTCCCTGCTGGTGTCTAGGGACACAGAAGGAGGGCAGAGCTCTGAGCCTCCAGCCCTGCTCCGGTGGAAACAGTCCCACTTCTATCAGTTTTCTATGTGGGCTGGTTTTCTTCATTGGAGTCTGAGCAAAGGATTTTGGGACTAAGCCAAGTCTGACAGCCCCAGGCCTGGTCCAACCCCCTCTTTGAATGACAGGGAGACTTAGGCACAGAAGCGGGTGACTGGACTCAAGTCTCACAGCCCCTCTGCGGGCTCCCCTGGGTCCTGCCTCAACAATGTCCGTGGGCTAGCCAGCATCGCTCCTCAGCTCTGGGGCCTCCGAGGGGAACAGCGTCCTCTTCCAACAGCAGCAGAATGGGGAGGGGGTTCTCCCAGAGCCCAGGTATCAATAGGCACCTGTTTCTTAGCAGGTAATGAGAGGCACTGGCACTGAGATGCAGATGGTATCGCACGAGGCCAGGAGGTACAGCCACCCCAGCATGGAGGCAGGGGCAGGTGCCTGAAAAAACACTGGCTGGCAGGGGACACTGGTGGGGGCTCCACACTCCACTCTGGCCCTGACCAGGCCCCACTCCCCAGCCAGGAGCACAGAGAACCCATTATCCCAGCCACAAGAAAGGCCCATTTCTCTTCCATGGAGAGGCTGTGGCCGCCAGCTGGGAGCTGGTTTCAACAAGTCATTTTTCTCTTCTTTCATCCCACCTCACCTTCATCCCGGCTTCCCCAGGAAGGCCCGGTTCTCCCGCTGCACCCGGCGGCCCCTGCAAGAAAATGCCATTGGTCCTTCCTAGAGCAAGAGCTGCCCCCCGGTTGTAAGCAAGGGGGTAACTGAGGCCCAGAGAGGGCAAGAGACACACCCAGGGTCACACAGCACAAGACATGCAGAGGTGGGAGCAGCCTGTAGCTTCTTGGAGCCTGGAGCTGGAACTAGGGGGCTGGGGGTGGACCCAGGCTGGCTGAGCTTTGGGACTACCCAGAGGCTTCTAGAGCCTTCTCCCAACCCACGAGTGTGGTTTACCACACTAGAAGGCCCTTGGCAAGCAGAGGGAAGAAAATGATTCACATAAAGACGGGGGAGGAAACCATTGGATGCTGTGCTTAGGGCCAAGTGATTCTAACCCTTCTCTCTACAGCTGAGCCAGCATGAGGCGGGTGGGAAGCAGCCCTGAGTTATCACCATGGGCATGACTGCAGCCCTTGCATAAACCCTGGGGCTTGGTTTTTCCCTCCGGATAAGTCAGGGGTGTCTGAGGCTCCTTCCAAGTTCCTTGCTACATAAACCTTGGGGGCTGGATCGACAGTCAAACCTCTGCTGGGGCAAAGTCCCAGGAAGGTTAAGGTTGGAAAGCATCCATGTTTCCAGTGATGCCCAAAGAGGCAATGCCAGCCCCCACAAGGGTTCTGGCACCTCTGCATCCCATACAATGTCCCTGGACTAGGAGCCCAGCTCCTCAACCTATGCCACCAGGATGGATCTACCTGGTGGTAGATCCTACCAGGATGGACGCCTCTCTGCCAGGGCGTCCACCCTTCTCTGAACTACATGGTACATGATCATCTCCCTGGGCCAGGACAGGGAATGGCAAAGAGGCTCCTGGGGAGGAGGGAAGGGAAGGGCTGATACATCCCCAGCAGCATCATGGGACGAATAAGGGTCTCTCACACTCACCTTGGGTCCCATCTCTCCTGGAGGCCCAACTGGCCCCTGGGGTCCCTGAGGGCCCTGGAAGACAGACAGACACACAGACAGTTGGGAGAAGCCAGCCTGGGCCCTCTTTGGGATCTGGAGAGGTGAGTGAGGGAGCTGACCCCCAGAACTGGGGACTCTGAAGCACACCCCTAGTCTGCCCCAGCCACACCGAGGGTCCTGGTGTCTGCAGCCCCCTCTTCACCACTGGTATGTGTCATGCTCCCTCCAACACAGCTGCACACTCTCCTATTCACCCACCTAAAGCCCAGGCGCCCTCCCTGATCAGAAACCTCCTAGCTCTCAGTCCTGCTCATCCGTTGCCCCTGCCTGGAATGTTCTTCCACCTCGGATCCATGTCTGGAAACCCCCACCCCCAGCCAACCCACCGTTCAAAAGGGTCATTCCTTGGGCCTCAGGATGTGGGAAGGCAGCAGTGGCCTTGAGGATGGGAGCCTCCTGTCCTCCCCTGCCCTGTGCAGGAGTCATCCTCCTAGTGCCCTGGAGATTCTGTCCCCTCCCTGCTCTCTAGCCTCCTCATGGGGCTCCTGGACTGTCCCCCTACACCTGTCCTTCCAGGGACATCTTCTGGAAAGCAAGTTGATCGGCCTTTCTGCCTCAAGCCCTTCCATGGCTCCCTGTTGCCCTTGGGACAAAAAGCATACTCTCCCCGTGGCCTTGGGCGCCTGGCGCCTGCTGCCTCCTCCTGCCCTGTCCGAGGTCCCACTTTCCACTCCAGCCATGCTGGACTCTGTGGTTCCCAGTCAGCTTGTTGGTTTACTCTTATCTTCCCTCCCTCCCTCCGTCCTTCTGCCTTCCACTGTGCCAATCACTCCCCATACATTTTTGCATTTAATCTTCACGACAGAATGGCAAGGCAGAGACAATCACCCCCATTTTCCTGGCAAGAAAACAGGCTGGAGGCCAAGTGAGCCGAGCCTCAAACCCAGAACTCCTGGCTTAGCGCTCGCCACCAACCCCAAGGCCTGGCCCACCGGGGGCTTAGAGGCCAGGCATGGTCCCTTTCCAACTCTTCCCCTTATCTGAGCACCTGGACCACATCCCCAGGTGCCAGTGGCAAAGAGGCGGAAGAGGGAAGGAAAGGTTCTTACCGGTTCTCCTGGGAGGCCCTTGGTGCCTGGGGGGCCTGAGGGACCCGGGATGCCCTGCAGAGACAAGGCAAAGGTGACCTTAGGCCCTCCATGGCCTTCCCTGCCCTGCCTTGACTTCAAGCAAGCCATCCTAGTGTATTTGGGTCCTGTCCTCCCCCACCGGGTGACAGATGGGAAGGCTGAGACCCAGAGAAGAGGGGATGTGCTGGAGGGGCTTCAGTGCAGGGCAGGTGGGCAACCAGAACCTTCAGGGTTTCCACAGAAGGATAGGAACTTGGTAAAAGTGGTTATTATCTGCACCCCCGCCCCCGCCCCACCAAAAGCCCCATGTAGAGAATTTCAAGAACTGGTGCTACTTACGGGAAAGCCTCGCGAGCCCAAGTGGCCTCGCTCACCAGCCACACCCTGGAAGCACATGTGGGGGTCATTACAGGCTCAGATCACAAAGCAGGGAGCAGGGAGGGGGCCTGCGGCTGGCCTGCTTGGCCTTGGCCTGACATACCTGCTGTCCAGGCCGGCCCGGTCTGCCCTGGGGTCCTGGAGGGCCCTGTAGGAAGCAGAGCACGTGAAGGTGGGAGAGGGTGCTTGGGAAGACCGTTCCCCAAAAAGGGAGCCCTCCACATGGGAGATAAAAGGAACCCGTTTGAGGCCACGGAGTCTGCCCCCTCTCTATGGCGCAGATGGGAAAACTAAGGCCTGACAAGGAGAGTGGCTCGCCACCGTCACCAGCTGCTCCAGGTGGAGAACCAAGGACCCCTTCCTAGGGATGGGGCTGCCAGAAGCAGTCTCGACTGTCAGGGGCCTGGTGGGGTTTGGGGTCTGGGGAAGGGGTCCGAGGACATGTATGATCTCCCTCCTCCTTTTCTTGCTTTCTCTTCATTGGGCTTGCAGTGGGGAGTCAGGAGGAGTGGAAGGGCTGACCTCTCAGAAAGCGCCCTGCAGCCTCCATGGGGCTCCCTTCATTGTCCCTAAGGGGCGTTGTTCTGAGGAGATGTGAGCCTTGTTCATGATTCCTGACCCAGTGTTGGAGGAGTGAGGAAGGGCAGGCCCTGGGGGTCAGTACCTTCAGGCCCCTGGACCCTTGCTCCCCAGCTGGTCCGTCCGGTCCTCGGGGGCCCTGGAATAGGAAAAAGGGACTAGCACACTGGACAGCAGGGGTCTCCCTCGGGCCGAGAACCAGGAGGGCGGGGTTGCTCTGAGCCTGGGGCCATCCCCTGCACAAGCCCCGGCCCCCTCCTCCTCCCACTTCCCACACACTCCCCACTGAGGTGGTCACCCTCGTGCGGCACCTTCGAAACAGCTCTGCAGAGGCTGCAGCATGAGTAGACTCAGCTAGAGGCTGATGTTTCCAAAAGGGGGCTGGGGCACTAATAGCCCTGTTCAGAGAGACCTTGGGGGTCACCCAGCCAATCCATTTCACAGACATGGAGACTGAGGGCCGCAATTGAGTTACACGTGGCCACGTCCACACAGCCACCTCTTCAGACTCTGCTGCCACGTGCCCTTCCCAGAGCACACACGGGGCAGAAACAGGTATGTGAGTCACAGCCCTTGGGGGAAACTGACAGAGCAGGACCTGGGAAGAACCTGCATGTCCTTCCCAGATGCGTGGAGCAGCCCTGTCTCTGGCCATACGTACAATGAATGCAGCCCTGTTCACAGAGGAAGACCTGCCATGAGGCAGGGGCAGGCACAGGGCAAGACTGTGCACGAGGGGGTGGGAGTCAGGCTGCAGCTCCCTGGAGCCCTGGGCCCAGGCCTGAACCCTGACACAGGAGTCTTGGTCCCTGATTGCTGGGAGACCCCAGGGGCAAGTGGAGTCCACCCCCTACCCCACTGCACGGATGGGAATACTGAGGCCCAGCCAAGGGAAGTGACTTAGTTAAGGTCCCTAACATTAGCTGCTCTCATCCCCCATGTGGGCTCCACCCACTGCCCCATGTGTGTCCCTCCAGGGGCACTCCCACAGAGACGCAGATGGGCTGGGGTCTCCTGGAAAAGACCCGTGGAAAACAGAGCGGGCTGTGTTCTCTAGGGAGTCTCAAGCGGTCTGTCTTGGGAGGACAGGAGTATCCTGTGGAGGAGGCCGGCCCATCCTAGCCCAGGAGCCCAGGGGACCAGCCCGCAATACTCCCCCAGATAAAAGGAACTGGAGAAGTGTCTAGGTAGGGGAGGATGGGGAATGAGAAAACTAAATGAAGAAAAATCATTTAAAAATAGAACAAGGAAGGCCGGATACAGTGGCTCACGCCTGTAATCCCAGCACTTTGGGAGGCCAAGGCGGGCGGATCATGAGGTCAGGAGTTCGAGACCAGCCTGACCAACATGGTGAAACCCCATCTCTACTAAAAATACAAAAATTAGCTGGGTGTGGTGGCGTGTGCCTATAGTCCCAGCTACTTGGGAGGCTGAGGTAGGAGAATCGCTTGAACCCCGGAGGCGGAGGTTGCAGTGAGCCGAGATCGTACCACTGCATTCCAGCCTGGGCAACAGAGTGAGACTCCATCTCAAAAAAAAAAAAAATTTTTCAATGAATAATTGGGCCAACAAAGTGAAAATTCCACTTCTCAGCTGCCTGGATCTCCCTATGCTTCAATCTCACACTGCAGCCTTAAAGAGCACCCCACTGATCAAATAATCCTGAAACAGAGAGCCACTGGGCAAGGCCAGGGCTCAGCTAGGAGATGCTGTTCTCAGCATCCCCAAGCCCAGGGCCTGGGGCCCATTGTGGGGTCCAGCCCTAAGCACTGGGCTGCTCAGAAAATGTGTCTGGGGACAAGTGACTGCTCCTCCCTGAGACTCAGTTTCTTTTTTCTGAAATGGGCACAAGAAATCTCTCCCTCAAGACAGGAGGCGATGCCCACAGGCAGCTCAGTGCCTGGCATGCAGAAAGTGCTTAAGAATGGCTAGTTCCATCCCTGCCAGGCTCTGCCAGAGGAGGCGGCAGGCTCCCCAGAGGCAGGGACATAGGAGCGGCTTGGGGAATCTGGGCTCAGTCCCTTCCTCAGGCAGTTCACACTATGCTGTGCAAAACCAGTTGAGAGTTTTCACAGATTCAAGCTGAGGTTTGATGAACTCCTAAACAAGCCGTCTCTAGTGGCCATTACTGGGCTCAGGTGCTAGCCCTAGCCTGTTGCTGGTTTGCTGTATGACCCAGAAAAGCCCCATCTCCTCTCCAGGCCTCAGTCTCAGGCTCACATGGACACTGTCACACCATGTTATTAGACTTAACACCCATGATCCATAAGCACAGGCCTGGCGGAGCTGGAGCCTTATGGGGTGGGGCCGTGTCAGGTCATGGGAGCTGGGACAGGGGCTGGGTTGATGGCAGATAACTGAGCCCTCCTGAGGGATGATCTCTGACTCTGGACTCTGTCTCTCACTGAGACATACACCTCCCTGGAAAGGGATAGCTCTGGGAGGGGAGTGGAGGCTCAGAGGTGTTGAGGGCTTGGCCTGAATCCCATAGCACCCTATTTATCCCAGGAATCAAAGGCTTTCAGGGAGAAAGGTTAAGTCATTAAAAAATAATAGAGCAGAGCAGCCCCCGCAGGAGCAGTGAAAGCTGTTATCCTCCTTTTACAAGGAAAGAAACAGGCTCAGGATGGTGGTGAACTTGCCTATGGTCACACAGCTAGGAAGTGAGGGGCCAGAATTTGAGACCAAGTCAGCAGGACATCCATTTTTTTCACCGCTACCTGTCACTGTTTTTCAGAAAGGGAGTGAGCTCCCCGTCACCGGGAGTATACAAGTCAGGGCCCAGAGGAGCCTGCCAGGAAGGCTGCACACTGGGACGTGGTGTTGGAGAAGACAGTGTCTAAAATCCCTCTTATCTGAGAGAACTCACTATCCCAGCAGAGCACCAGGGAGCCCGGGAGAAGCTGTCCTGGCTTAAGAAAGAGGAGGAAGCAGTAGTGGGGCCACCAGTCGCCCTGTCTCCCCAACTCCACAGGGCAGGGAGAGGGACGAGAGCAGCCATACACTCTAACCCTTGCTCTGGGCCACTCAACAGTTCATCCTGCAGGTCCCCTAGTCCTGCCGCCTACTTCCCTAAATGAACCCGGGCAGGCTCACTCCCGCCCCGCCTGCTGGAGAGAAGCCTGGGTTTCTATCAGAGCCATGTGTCTGCTCTCCTGTATCTGGTCCCGAGGAAGATGTCTGTAGGCAGGTTGGGGGCTGCCCTCCAGCCAGGCCTAGGGTCAGGCTTGGTGGGGAGGAGCTCCTGCCTGGGTCAGAAAATCTGGCCAACCACAGCTCTTGTGAAAAAGGGGCCGATGAACAAGCGGGAAGGAGCACGTGCTGCCACCCTGCAACAGGTTCAAGGTGCTCAGGAAGTGACTGAATCCCCGCAGCCAGCCCACCAGCTTCGTTCTGTTGCTCACCCATTTTACAGAGGGAGAAGCGAAGGCTCAGGGAGGGGAAATCAGTGGCCCAAGGTCCAAGATCCAAGAGGATTCAGGCAAGGTCAGCTAAGCTCTAACACTTACAGGCAGGAAAAGAATTGGCCCGAGGCACTGCAATCTTGGGGTCCTTACGCCCCCCTCAGAAGGAGAAATTAAAGTCTCTCACCTGAGCAGGTGGGAGAAAGGCTCTGAGAGGTTCAGAAACCGGCCTGGGGTTCCACAGCTGGGAACCGGGGGTGCTGAGACTTGCTGTAGGCCCATCTGACCCCAGAGTCCTCATTCTTTTCACTGGGGCTGGTGGGCCCAGGTTCTAGTCAGCATCCTCACCAACAACAGAGGACGAGAGCCTCCCTTGCCTCTGGCTATGAACCCTCAGTGCTCATTCTTCCTCGGGTGGGCAGTGGGGGGGGATAGGGCAGCAGGGCCCGTCCTACACATAGGTGGGAAAGCAGGCAAGGCCTTGCAGACCTCCAGGCCCATCCCCCTTGGCACATATGGGGAAACTGAGGCACAGAGAGCCACAAGGCCTTGCTAAGGGCACAGGGCAAACCAGGAGCTGATCAGGACTTGCCCAGAGTCAAGCTCTTTCACAGGCATGGTGGGTGCCTCTGTAGGTTCCCCACCCTCAGTCACCTCATCTAGGAGGTGGCGAAGGGCAGCATGTTCGGCAGGAGACCCAGGGGGCCGATCTCATAGGTTGTGCATTCCTGACAAACCCAGTGGGGAGAGGGACTCATGTTCCTGATGCTCCCCTCCCAGCTGGGAGACTTTGACATGGTTGGAAGCCTGGATTTCGGAGCCCAGTGAGTTGAGGGGATCTGAGCCTTGCGCCTGAGGCAGGGCAGGGGGCTTGGGTCCACGTAGCTCACCCTCTAGGGAATCCAGCTTCCTGGGGCAGGAGGAGAGGTACAGAGGGTCTGGATGGAGCCCGGCTGCCCTTGGGCCAGGGCCTGTTTGAAGAGACCCAGAGGACATGGGCACCGGAGGGAACCTGCCGGGCCAGAGGAATGCCTTTTAATCTTCCCTCTTCCAGGCCGGCTGCTCAGGCCATCTGGTTTGGGGGAAATTGTAAAACCACTTGAAATCCAGCCAAGAGGAGAATAATAATCACAGATCACCCATATGGAGCTTGGATATCAGGCCTGGGCTGCCGACACTACCTGCATCATCTCACTTTCTCTTTACAATAAGGCTGCATGGCCCCACGCCTGTATACCTATTGGTGGCAGACCATCCTGTCAACCCTCCCTGTGTGATTAAAAATAAGGCTGAATTCAGTAGGCAAATGAGCCAGATTCCCTGGGTTCAAATCCCAGCTCTGCTACTTTTTAGCTGTGCAACTTGAGGTAAGTGACTCAACCTCTCTGTGCCTCTCTGGGAGTGGAGTGGAGGCTTGGAGGTGTTCAGAGCTTGGGCTGAATCACATAGCACCTAGTTTGTCCCAGGAATCAAAGGCTTTCTGGGAGAAAGGTTAAGTAATCCAATAATAAAATCATAATAAATAAAATAAGAATACAATGGGAATGAGAATAGCACCTACATGACAGGGTAGCGTTGAGGATTAAATGAGTTAATGTGTGTGACAGACAGTGTCTGGCATAGAGTTAAGTGCTGGCGATTACTCCGAGCGACGGTGCTCAGGACAGCCCTGTTTAAACCCCCCTGTAGCCTCCCACTGCCCTTGGAATATAGCTGTGGCTTTTGAGGCCCTGCCTCGCTTGGTGCCTGCTAAGTCCCGGCCCCATCCCTCTCCCTCATCCCTCTGTTGACCCTGAGGATCCCTAAACATCCACCTCCTGTATCACCTTCGGGCTTTCCCCTGCCATTTCCCTGCCGGGAAGCTGGCATCAGCTCAAGCACTGCCCTCTCCTAAAGTCCTTCCTTAGTACCCTGCCCAGGTAGGGTCCTCCTCTGGGCTTCCGGGCTGCTGGTACTTCCTCGGTCCATGTGCTGATGACCTGTATTTTATCACCTGCGTCTGCCAAGTGGTTTGATTCACTTGTTGACTGACTCACAAGGGCAGGCAGGAGTCATGTCTGTCCTGTTCACCACAATACCTGCAGAGCCTCCAAGTGTCCGCCACAGTAGGCGGACACACAGTAGGCGCTAAATAAGTGCTGGTTGAATACATGAATGAACAAAGAGCTGGTACCAGAGAGCCCGACTGTGCCTGGTGGATAGCAAGGCTCAGACATGAGTTGGAAAGAGGGGTGGGGTCCCACCCGCAGAGCCAGGTCCAGGGTGAGCCTGGAACCTTGCCTCGTGCTGCAAAGGTCACAGATCCCAGAGCTGGGCTGGGGGCAGAGACCAGGCAGTCTCTGGCAGGTGGCCCTGTTCCAAGTGTGCCCTCTCCCTCTGGCATCAGCCCCCAAGAGCTGGGCCTGACTTACCCGACGTCCCTTTGCTCCCCTCATGCCTGGTGGGCCTCGAGATCCTGGAGGACCCTGGGAAGAGGAGAAGGAGTTTAGAGAAGCCCCTTTTTAGGAAGTGAGAGCACATAGTGGGGCTGGGAGTGTGGGGCAAAACTTGAAGGCCTGCAGCCCTCAGACAGGCATGTTCAGAAACTGCCAGGGCCCCAGCAGCCTCCACATGGCAGGACTGAGCACCTGGCTCATTGGGGAAAGCAGCAGGCGAGCCACAGCCTCAGACACAGCCAATGCCCTGGGCTATAGGGGGGATGGGCTTCAACCTTTCCTGGGAGTCTGGGGAGTGGGGAGAAGGCTCCCTGCATAATATTTTCTTCTCCTTTTCCTCAAAATCAGTAATGAGAAGATACGACGCCATTCATTCATTCATTTATGTATTTATTGAGAGAGGATCTCACTCTGTGGCCTGGGCTGGAGTGCAGTGCAGCCTTGAGCTCCGGGGCTCGAGTGATCCCCCCGCCTCAGCCTCCTGAGGAGCTAGGACTGCAGGCATGCACCACCATGCCCAGCTAATTTTCTCATGTTCGTGGAGACAGGGTCTCACTATGTTGCCCAGCCTGATCTCAAACTCCTAGACTCAAGTGATCCTCCTGCCTCAGCCTCCCAAAGTGCTGGGATTACAGGTGTGAGCCACTGCGTCATCTACAATGACATGTATAACAAAAGGTCTCCTCAAATCCTCGTCTACCTTTCTCTCCCCCATCGCAAAGGCAAATCTGGTGACCCAAGTTCTGTCCCTTGCCTCCACCCTGACACCCAACATTTTCCTGAATATTTTCCCCCAGGGAAAAGAGGAGGAGGAGGAAGAACTGAGAACACAGGCCCGGGGTGAGCTTGGGAGGCAGAGGGAGCAGAGTGGGAGAGGATCAAGAGGGAGAGAAGGAGGGGGAGAGGCAGAGGCAGAGAAGTGGGTGGGGTGGCATGAGAGGGGAGCAAGGCCCAGCCACAGGCACATGCGCAGCCATCTCAGTTTTGATGAACAGACAAGAGGAGCAAGAGAGGCAGGTTGAGAAGGCGAGGAACCAGGGCCAGTTTAGTTCTTGGAATTCTCAGCACCTGGCCTGGCACAGGTGCATGACGGACACTCAGGAATCTGTTGAATGAACAAGGAGCACACGAACCGAAGAGGGCAGAGGGCGGGAAGGGAGGGAACGCAGGAGAAGATGGGAAGCAAGCCACGCCTTACCTAATGTCTCCCCCACCCCCACCCCAATTCCAGGCCCAGCTTAAGAGACCTCAAGCGGCAACTTCATCCAGCGGCCAGCCAGGACCCTCTGCCAGCTCCAGGAGCCTCCCAGCTCCTGCAGCGATTCTCGGACTGGGTGTGCTCCTTTTGCAAGGCAGAGCCAGCCTCGTCCCTCCTCTGAATACCAGGGAGAGGCCCAGCCTCATTTGGGGCCTCAGAATGAACTCTTGATGTTCCCATTTCCCTCTCCCCATGGCTTCCAGGGGTGGGAACCCAGCCGCTATCACCCGGCAGACCCTCCAACAGCTGCTGCGGAGGGGCTGTTGTGAGGGGTTGGGTCCCAGGCTGACCGTTCGTCAGCAGAGCAAGCAGGGTGTGGACCCGGGCTTGGCCCCATAAAAGGCAGATCTGACTCCTGGATGGTGGAGAACACAAAGACTGGGTGAGAATGGGCCATTTTATAGAGTGATCTCAGAGCTCAGAAGGCATGCAATGCACCGCTGGGAAATTTCGGGAGCCAAGTCTCTACATCAAGGCATAGATTCCTGAAAAGATCAGGCTGTAGCACTGGAGAACCTGTGTTCACATGCCAGTTCAGTCACTTACTAATTGTGCCATTTTAGGCATGTTACTTCAACTCACTGGGCCTCAGTTTTGTCATCTATAAAATGGGGATAGAAGAGTCTGCACCTCCTAGAATTTCTAGAAGATGAAGTGACAAAGTCCTCAGGAAAAGGTAGCTGCCTGCTCTCGCAAGGCAGGAGGAGGTCAGAATTGAATGCTAGACCCAACTCTGGTCACTGGGTGACCCTGGGCAGGTCCCAGGCCCTCAACCCCAGCCCCAATAATGGGGATAATAATCTTGATGGATCTCAATGTGCTATCGGACAACATGGAGGTGAAAGTGATTGATAAAGTGGGAAAATGCCAATCAGGTGCGAATAACATCACCAGAAATGTCACTTTTAATGGTAGTAGCCTTACTAATAATAGTGGCAGCTATCATCTCTAACAAATAGTTATTACCACTCATTAAGCCATAGTTACGCAGGAGGGTTACGAGGCCCCACATCATGCAGTGCACCATTTCTCATGACAATCTCATACTGCAGGTGGCATCATGCTGACTTACAGATGGGGAAACTGAGGGTCTGAGAAGCTATGAATGTTGCCAACAATCCCACAGCTGGCAAGTCAGTGAGCCAGAATTTCACCCCCATGTATCTGATTCTGAAGGTGGTTTTCTGGGCCTCTGTGTTAGCCAGCTTCCCCAGTGTCACTGGGGGCAGCTCACTGGCCAGGAGGAACCCCAAGACATCCGAGAGACCAGCTCCATACCATAGCAGCGGGGGGCCATGGCAACCTTGGGATCAGAAAGCAGCAGCAAGTGACCATCTGATTTCACCAAGCCTGAGTCACCCACTGAACAGGGGGAAGCACGGAGGAGATGCGGCGGGGTGGGAGGCGAGTGGAGCCAGGGGGCGACGGATTCAGAAGAGGCCTGTGCCGTGTTCTTCTCTGCGTCGGCCTGAATATCCCCACTCTTTCCCCATCTCCCACCGGCCTTCTATTTTGTCCCAGTGACTCCTTTCCTGGCTTTCCTCCTCCCACTAGACAGATGGGGAGACTGAGGCCAGGATGGCTGAGGTTCAGGGGTGCCGGGGGTAGAACTTGATGATGTACCCCCAGCAACCTTGCACTCATGCTTCAGCCCTACTCTGGGCACCCCCCATGCTGAGGGCTCCAATCACTCCATCTCTGAACACTGGGAGGGAGGCTGGGCCCTTGCATTCCAAGCTGGGTGCCTCGGCCAGCCGTGCCAGCCCCCCGACCAGAATGCTGGTCCTCTGACTCCCTGCTTCTACCCCAACAGTCCCACTTCCACATTGCCAGCTCCTCCAGCCCTGGGCCAGACATGACTTTTCCTCCTTCTCATGAGCAGGGCAAAAATATGTCACTGGGAGCCCACAGGGGCGCTGGCTTCTGCTTCCAACTGTGCTCCTCAATGAACGTTCCGACTTGTCCAAAGAATCATGAGGATGGACAGAGTCCCCCCGTGCTGGTGCCTTCTCCTCTGGATGACGGTCACCTATATCCAGGCCTCTCACCCTTGGACTAGTCCGTCCCTCTCCCTCCTCAGCCCCTGGTGTGGCCTGGCACAGAGTAGGTGCTCGATAAAATCTGTTAATGATGGAGAAAGTTTATACTTGACAGCCCCCCCTAGACAGTGAGGGTCTTAAGAGCTGGATCTCTTTCTTACCATTTTTGTACCTCCAGGGAGGAGCGTATGCTAGTACACAGTAGGTGCATGAAAAAGTGTAGGAGCTGCGTTGGCCTTGCTTCCCTAATCATGGTAGAGAACCGGTTTATGCGAGCTTCCCTTGGGTTCAAACCATGAAAGGCTTCCGGGTCCTTCCTCATCAGACTCCAGGAAACTCCTCAGTCTGGGCTTTGGAGACACCCAGGCAACCTGAGCTCATTGCCCCTCAGCCCCACCTCCGGATCTGTGCCTGGGCTGGTCCCTCTACCCCCACAACCTCCCCACCTCCCCGAAGCCCACCTCGGACTGGGTTCCCAGCCCTGAGCCCTGGCTTTGGCTGAAGCAAATGCCCTTTCCCAGTTTCCATCCTCCATTGGCAGAAACTGAGGGATCTGAAGCAGGTTCTACCTGCTCCAAATGAGAGCAACTCCACCTCCACCCTCTGCACATCACCCCTGGGGAGGAAAAGGGGCTCCTGAACTTGAGTGCTCCTGGCCGCACCCTTCCCCTAGCTCTCCCAGCCTCTCCCACCACTCTGCCTTGAGAGCCTCAGGAATATCCCTGCTTCCTCAGTCATCATGAGAAGCCCAGGCCCCTGAGGACCCTCAGCTCTGTTTGTCCAGCATTTCCCATCTTCATGCCTGCCTCTTCCATAACACACATCACTTATTGGGTTCTATCTACCCTGCCCCTCATACCAGACTACACGCTCCAAAGGAAGGGCCCATTTTCTGCCTTTCCTGCTGCCACATCCCCAGCTCCTGGAACTGCCGAAACCCCATCTCTACTAAAAATACAAAAATTAGCTGGGTGTGGTGGCACACGCTTGTGATCCCAGCTACTAGGGGGGCTGAGGCATGAGAATCTCTTGAAACTGGGAGGTGGAGGTTGCAGTGAGTGGAGATTGAGCCCCTTCACCCAGCTCCTGAAACTCCTCACAAGCACTTATCGCTCAGCAACTGCAGAGTGAATGAGTGAATGGACAAAAGCAATAATGCTGCTAATAACCAAAATGCTCCCAAGGAACAAACACCATTAGCCCCATGCTTCCATTTAACCCACACGATCACACTATCATGACCATGATTATTTTTTCTGTTTTTCAAATGAGCAAAATTCAGGCTCAGAGAAGTTAAATGATCTGCCCCAGGATTACAGTCGGAGAGTGGTGTAGCTGGGATTCTACCCAGGTCTGTCTGATTCTGAGACTTGAACTCCTAACCCTCATTCTTTTTCCCTCTTCTCTTGTCTTCTTTCTCTTCTCTTCTCTTCTCTCTCTTCTCCTCCTTCCTTCCTTCCTTCCTTCCTTCCTCTTTCTTTCCCTTTCTGTCTTTCTTTCCTTCTTTCCTCCTTTCTTTCTTTCTTCTTTTTCTTTCTTTCCTTTCTTCCTCCCCTCCCAGCCTCCCTCCCTCCTTTCTCTTTTTTTCTCTTCCCTTCTTTCTCTTTCTTTCTTCCTTCCTTCTTTTCTTTTCCTTTCTTTCCTTTCCTCCTCCCCTCCTGCCCTCCCTCTCCGTCCTTCTCTTTTCTCTTCCCTTTCCCTTTCTCTCTCTCTCTTTCTTTCTTTTCTTTCTTTCTTCCTTTTTTTCTTTCTTCCTTTCTTTCTTCCTCCCCTCCCTCTCTTTCTTTCTCCCCTCTTCCTCTCTCTTTCTTTCTTTCTTTCTTTCTTTCTTTCTTTCTTTCTTTCTCTCTCTCTCTCTCTCTCTCTCTCTCTCTGTCTCTTTCCTTTTTTGAGACAGGGTCTAGCTCCTCTTCCTCTTTCTTTCTTTCTTTCTTTCTTTCTTTCTTTCTTTCTTTCTTTCTTTCTTTCTTTCTTTCTTTCTTTCTTTCTTCTCTTTCTTTCTTTCTTTCCTTCTGTCTCTCTCTCTCTCTCTGTCTCTTTCCTTTTTTGAGACAGGGTCTAGCTGTATCACACAGGCAAAGTGCAGAGGCACGATCTTGGCTCACTACAACTTCTGCCCCCTGGGTTCAAGCGATTCTTGTGCCTCAGCCTACTGAGTAGCTGGGGTTACAGGCATGTGCCACCACACCCAGCGAATTTTTGTATTTTTAGTAGAGACAAGGTTTCAATCTTGAACTCCTGGCCTCAAGTGATCGGCCTCCCGAGGTACTGAGATGACAGATGTTAGCCACCACACCCAGCCACCTAACCCTTATCTGACAGTGGTTTGAGCTTAGGGATCATGAGGGCTTTGCTTACCTGGGGTCCAGGTTCTCCAGGGGTCCCCATACCACCTGGCATTCCAGGATGACCCTGCCAAGAGAGAGAAGAAAAAGGAGGAATCAGCTATGGAAGGTGCCCCTTCCTCCTTCAGTCCCATCTCGGTCAACTCAGCCCCAGTATAAAGCCAGGAGGACAGCAGCTAGGCCTCCTGGACAAAGAGGGAGCTGGTCATTCTGAAGGTCTTGGGTAAGCGGTTGGTGGAGGACAGCAGAGCTGTCACTCAAGGCTGCAACAGGAGAGGGCAAGAGGATGCAGACTTACTCCTTACCATCGACCCCTTGGGTCCAGGCACGCCTGGGGGTCCCATCATGCCACGATCACCCTGTGATGGAGACAGCAATGCAGGCAGGTCACGGCTATGGCTGTGGGGTGGCTCTGTGGGAGGCAGGTGCAGAGGGCCATCCAGAGGCTCAAAGAGAGGTAGGGGTTTGCTCAAGGTCTCTAGAGGGTCCCTGCCTAGTTCACGGCCACATCACCCAGGTGGGGATCTGGGATTTCACTCAGAGGAAGCCAAGACCTCTGGCAAGCCCCGGAAGGCCTCAGCACCCCCTGTAGTGGGCCACACAGTGAACTTCCCTCCAAGGATGGTCGTGATTAAGGAAACGCTAATTATCATTGTCCCCTTTGATCCTGACCCACATCATGTTGGTCCTTATTAGGCCTGGCATCCCCTGGGCTAGGCTTGCTGAGGCAGAAACAGCAAGAGAAGGGGTGTCTTTCACTCTCCTCACCCCCTTTCCAAACCTAGATGAGATGCTAGAGAATCAGAGACATAACTCATTCCCTCTTGAGCAATCCAGACACACTGGGCAGAGTTGGCAGAAGGTAGGTGCTCTGGGTTCGAATCTTGGCTCTGTTTTTATGAGGCCCTGCTTCTTGTATCTGCCCAGCCAGTAAATATTTATTGAGCACCTACTATGTGTCCGACACTATCTGCAAGACTCTGAATATACAGTGGTGAGCAGGCCTGCTCCCATGGAGCAAGGCACTCAGAGGGTTGTAGGAGACACAGTGCAGTGAGGGTGGGGGTCATGGTGCTAAGGTGTTATCACTGGGGGACTTGACCCACTGGGGGCAGAGCTGGTCAGGGAAAGCTTCCCTCGGGAAGTCGCTCTTGACCCAAGAGCTGAAGGATAATGAAGAGCATCTGAGCAAAAAGGGTGGAGGCAGATGGGGATGGGAAGAGTGCCTTTGGCCAAGGGAACGGCACAGGCAATGATTTGTAGGTGAGAAGGGACATGGGACATTTGAGCAACAGCAGAAGGCCAGAGTTGGCTTTGATGTTGCGCTATCATTATGTAAGATGCTACCACTGGAAAAAACAGGGTGAAGGGTACTATTTTTTGCAACGTCTTATGAATCTGTCATTATTTCAAAAGAAAACGTTAAATTTAAAATTTCAAGACAAAAAGTTGAATTTAAAAGGAGGAGGAGCAGAAGGGGAAGGAGGAGGAGGGGGAAGCGAGGGAGGAGGAGGGGGAGAAAGGCAGAGGCCTGAGGGTCTGGCCCACATAGAGTGATACAGTGAGGCACAAGAGGAGCCTGGAGAATTAGGCGGGGCCAGACTTGGGGGGATACTTCCTCCCTCTAGACCTCAGTTCCTCCATCTATTCAATGGGAATAATATTGGTTCTCCCATAGGGCCTGCTCTGGGGCATACAAAGGAAGGCAAGTGCCTCCAAGGCCCTTGGTGGGAGCTGGGAGCCAACAGGAGGCAGAGTGTCTTAGTGAGCAAAGCATAACTAACCTTTGGCAATGAACCTGGTTCAAATCTGAGCACTGCCACTTATTATCTGGGTGACCTTGAGTAAGTCACCTCCCCTATTTGAGCCTCTGTTATCTCATCTAAAACAGAGGCTTAGCAAGGCAACTTCATCCTTCCCCTTTGTAAAGATGAATCTTTTCCTCCCTGCTCTCGTCCACCCCGTGCAGGGCCAGTGGGCAGCCGTGAGGAGCTCAGGTCACACGCATCCGCTGGTTGTCACACAAAAGTCTAACTGTGCTTGAGGTTGATGATAGGAGGGCAGGGATGGAACCCCAAGGGATGCCAAGAAAGGGAACAATGGCTCTTGGCAGGCTCAGAATGCCAGGTCAGGAGAGAGGCTAGGGGAGGGAAGTCTGAAATCCCCAGGTCAAAGGGCCTCTTCACCTTTTTAAAATTTCAAAACACAAGCTCTAATTGTTTATCTTATCCCCTCAATACCACTTACCTTTTCTCCCACGATTCCTGGCTCCCCGACCAGACCAATGAATCCCATAAATCCCTATGAGACACATTAACGAAAGCAAGAGAAACAATGTGAATCCGGGGACCCAGCCTGCCTGCTCCTTCCCTTGAAGCTCATCTCCCAGCGGTCTCCCGCCCGTGCCTGGTCACCCAGCCAGCATGCGGCTGTGCCGGGGAGAGCGCTGCCTCTCTCTGGGCACCATTCTGACTTCCCTCACTCCACCAGATGGTTCTGATTTTGAAGCCAAGCCGTGGGGCCGCTGCCAACATCCCTGGGAGCGCCACACATTCTTCCCGCGCCAGAAGCAGGCTGGGAGGCTGCCACGTTTGGAGAGCTGGGGTTGGGGCGGGGGGTGGCCCTTAAGCTGAGCTGGGAAGAGGCCATCTGTGCCCATCTTTCGGGGCTCTGGGGCTGTTTCAAAGAGTGAAACAAACCCTCTGGCTGGGATAGAAATACCGTAACAGCCTCCGCCAAGAGAACTGATTGGAATCAGGGAGGCGGAGGCCTCTTTACTGTCTTCTGAAAGGCCTTCTTGCCTGTTTCTGAAAGGGTGCACACACACACACGCTGTGGCTCCCGCTGCTCTGTGGAACTCCGCTGGGTGACAACTTGCCTCTGGGTTCCAGGGGGTCTTTCTAGGTGGCCCCAGCCCTTGCCATCTCCCTGAGCAGGCGAACACGCACACACGCAGCGAGGGTGGACAGCCAGGAGGGGTCACCGAGGAAGGCCCACCAATTTCTTACTCAGGCCCTACTTTCTTCCCTGCTAAGGAAAATGCAACTGAGTGGGGAGGGCCTTGTGTGGTTCAGGAGTGCAGAAGTGGCTTCGGAAGAACCCAGCTTTGCAGCCAGGAGTGAATTAGGAAAGACGGAGGGATGAGTGGATTTCTTCCATAAAATCCGCTCCCTGTCCCCCAAACCCTGGCCAGAGTAGAATGAGACCTTGGGCCAGGAATAGGCCAGAGGTTGTGTACTCAGGCAATAAAGCTGGTCCAACTGTCAGTCAACTACAGTGAGAGCGTTACCTCTGAGATCCACACTTTCTTATCTAAAGACAGTTTTAAAGTGGTCACTTCAGCAAGGGCCACACGTGTCTTGCTGCTGCAGCCTGGGATGGCAGCTCTGGTTGTGTGGCTCCAAAGACCATGCACCTTCCCCTCCAGCCCAAGGCCTCCAAAGCATGTGGCTGTGAACAGGGCCCGGATCTCCTGTACATCCCAGCACCACGCTGGCACTACACACGGTGAGTCCTGGGCCTGCCTCTAGTTCCCTGGGCTCAGAGACCTTTCTGAAGTATAAGGTAAGAGGGATGAGGTACTAGGTATGAGGTCACAGCTAACATGTCACAGAAAATAATCAAATAATTGATTTTTGCAATAACTTAATTTTTAAAAATTAATTAGAGCATTTTCCAAGTGATAGCACTATTTTAACAGCTTGAACATATTGAGCACTTCCTGTGTGCCAAGCCCTGTACCAGGCACTTTATGTCACTGTCATTCAGTCTTCAGGTGTGTGGGTTCTGGGCAAATCAGTCTCTCAGAGCCTCATCTGCAGAATGGGAGACAATAAAGGTACCTCCGTACCTCCTGGCGCTATTCTGAATACGGGAGATGGTGCACGATGCGTAGAGGTACTTCATACATGTTCGCTCTTTCCCATCCCCTCTTAATTTATTTTACAAGGGCACAGGGGTAAGACAGAGGCCTGAGCTTCCCACAAGGGAGCAGTCAGACATTTAGAGGATGCCAAATGAAGGGAATAAAAACTGCTCTGTTAAAAGGCCCCTGCCTGATTGGCCCAGAGAAACAGAAATTTCATAGCTACTTTAAATTTATGAGATGTTGGGTCCTGGAAGGCAAGCAGGTCATAAACCTCAAACAAGAAGCCAAACAGGATCCTAATGAATAAGAGCCATACAGCAAGTGCCCCATCGCCCAACCCGCACCCCTGAGATCCCCCTTGGGGTACCATCCCAGAACATCCTGGCAGGCCTGTTCTTGAGGCCGGTCCAGAGAGGCCAGGCCCCGAAGTCCAGGCAGGTCAACGGAGAAGCAGCTCTGAAAGCTGCGGGCATGGCTGGCTCCTCTCAGGTTGGCAAGGCGGGCACAGGAGGAGGCAGCATTGTTGCCCACAGCAGGCACTGCACAGGCGGGATCCGGGTCCCCAGTTTTGGGGAGGAGGCTAGCCTGGTCCTCGCATTGCCTACAGATAAAGGGCCATTGTCTGCTATGGGAGGTTTTCTTTCTCCTCTCATATGCTAGGCCTTGGGGATACAACTGAGAATGAAAGGGCTATGGATGCTGAGCTGCACTAGACAGCTCAGTGTGATGTGTTTACATGCGTGGCTGCCCCTGGACGGGGCGTCTTGAAGGCAAGACCCATGCCCTGTCCTCAGCACCTCAACCAGGGCCTGGCAAGCAGTCTGTGCTCTGTTAGAGACATGCCAGGGCTCAGGAGGTCAGAGAGTTTTCAGCCCTCGAGGCAGGCATTGGAAACCCAGCAGACCTCAGTGTCAGTCTTGCCTCTGACAGTGATGTTACTGCCTGTGAGATCTTGGACAAGTTACTTAACTTCCCAGAGCCTCAGTTTCCTCATTTGCAAAATGAGGATAGTAATACTGACTGCCATAGACGACTGCATAGATAGCATTTGGCACACAGTCTGGTACCTAACAGGTGACTAATGAATGTCACTGTTATTGGGTCGTTGCAAAAGTAATCCCAGTTTTTGCCATTATAATGGTAAAAACTGCGATTACTTTTGCACCGACTCAATACTATGATTACAAGGAGGTCCCGTGGTGTGAGCTTCAGAACTTTCCCAGGGATCCTCTGATTCTGCAGTGAACAGAAAATACCTGCCCTTTCACTGTGACCACATGGGGTGAGGAATGGCTGGCATGGTACCTCCACGTGCCTTATAGCAGCCACAGGGTTCCAGCTCTGCCTCCTTCCTGCTACTGTCCAAGCTGCCTGGGCAGCAAGCTGGGCGCTCTGCTGACCAAATGAGCCTGGGCTGCTCCAGGTGAGGTTCCCACCCCTCCTGGGCCTGGTTCTGCCACTATCCCACTTGGTGATCTTGGTCAAACCTGCTTCTCCTCCATAAATCCCAGATTGCCAACATGGACTTGAATCTGGGGGTTCTAAACCTGGGGTCTCTGTCAGGCTCTATGAATAGAATTCAGAGGGTATATCAACTTGAACGGAAAAAAATTAAAACTCTTGTTTTCATGAACCTCTAATTGAAATTTACATGTGCCTTAAATATGAGTGTAGGCAACAAACCACAGTAGTATTACAAGGACCTGGGACTGTCCCAGAAAGTGACATGTCACATTACCATCATTGCTGCAGAGATCTCAAAATACATCACTAAGGCTTGGCATTACTTTAAAATTGAGGCCGCTGTTATACTTGCTGCTAGAACTCATTATTTAATGCATTGCCAAAGATATGAATATATTAAATGTTAACATATTTTCATAATTGCATTTCTATATAATCAGTTTCCTTTGTTTTTAATTTTAGGCATTTACAAACTCTATTCTGAGAAGGGGATCCTTGGGCTTTTCCAGCCTGGCAGAGAAATCCAAGGCACAAAAAATGGTTAGGACTCTTAGACACAGTGATTTCCAAGGATGTTTGTGTTCTGACTTCCAAGACCCTGCATATCTATTTCCCGAGGGCCCTACCATTAGCATAACTATGAAATTGAATTTGCTGATCAAATTGCCCTTTTTTTTTTTTTTTTTTTTCCAATCAGGAAATATATCCAGGCCACGGCAGCCTTTCCAAACTCCTGGGCTTCCCACAGAATGCGCTCGAATGTCACTGGAAAGATTTCAAAAATCCAGGCCTCCCCCTGCTTTAATTCCTTTCTTCCCCCAACAGATGTTGCAGGCCTGGTGAGGAAGCCCATCGTGTGTGACTCTCACGCCACTGACAAGGTTTCGTAGTTCAGCCAAATTCCTCTGTGGCCATCCCGAGCATCAGTCCTTCCAGCTTGAGGAAGCCCCTTCCAGAAATGAGCTCCATATTTAAAGGAGTGGAGGAGATGAACACCTCTCCACCTCTGAGTCCTGAGGTTAAGCTTTCAGGAGGCCCCAGGGCTGGGCAGGAAGGACTGAAGCTGTCCGTCCGCCCATCACTCAGAGCTGTTTCTCTGGACTTTAATTGAAGGTCGTGATCCTCAAACCTCCATTTTAATGACTAGTTGCAACCTCTTCTCTTCTTCAGACCTTGACCAACCACCAGAGCCACTGGTTTGGATTTTATCTTCTATATAATTTAGGGATGCCTAGACCAACGGCCTTTGGCAAGTGGTAACACTTCTCTGGCCTTTGGCTTCCTGATCTATAAGCTGATGGGAACACGAGCAACGACTGCCAAGGGCTCCTCCAGTTTTAACGTCCTGGGGGAGCAGTCACATAACCTCTTTGGGCAAATGCACCAAAAACCTGTGTGTAGAGTCAGGCTGTGGGAAAAAGCTGTCATGACTCTGATCTACGCCTTTCTCATTTAGAGACTTCCCCGCTCTGAGGGTCACCGTCCACATCCATCAAAGGGGTAGAGGACTGAACCTACCTCGGGAGTTGTTCTGAGAATTACACGAGGTGGTGCCTGGAGGGTGCTGGGCAAAGGGCTTGGCACAGAGTAAGGGCGCAAAAAAATGGAGCCACTCATTCAGAGACCGTTGCTAACTAACCTGTTCTCCCACAGGCCCTGGCCGACCAGGATCCCCTGGTTCCCCCTGCAAAGAGACAAAGAGGAGGATGGATTAGGATGGCAGATGAAAGTCTAGACCTCCTGGGGAAGTCCCAGGCCTGCTGGCCTTAGTTGCCATTGGTGGGGATGAACCAGGGATCTTATCTCCAGTGTGTGGTCTTGGAGACCCCCAACAAATGGGGTAGAGTCAAAGGGGTACTTGGACAGAACCTCAAGCAGACATGACTCTAGTCACCCATTCCCTCTGAGGGGGCCTTGGCTTACTCAGCACCCAGACGTATATGTCTCATCTAGGTCCTTCAGAAGCCCACTGCATTTTGTGGAGGTGGAAAATGAGGCCCAGAGAGGTGAAGTGACCTGCCTGAGGTCACACAGTGAGCCAGAAGTAGGGCTACAACCGAAACTTTGGTCTGCCCAGTTGAAATGCACATTCCAAGCCAGGTGCGGTGGCTCATGCCTGTAATCCCAGCACTTTGGGAGCCCGAGGTGGGCAGATCACCTGAGGTCAGGAGTTTGAGAACAGCCTGGCCAACATGGAGAAACCCCGTCTCTACTAAAAATACAAAAATTAGCTGGGTGTGGTGCTGCATGCCTGTAATCCCAGCTACTTGGGAGGCTGAGGCAGGAGAATTGCTTGAACCCAGGAGGTGGAGGTTGCAGTGAGCCGAGATTGCACCACTGTACTCCAGCCTAGGTGACAAGAGAGAGATTGTCAAAAAAAAAAAAAAAAAAAAAAGAAAAGAAATGCATATTCCCACTGCATCAGGCTGTCCTATCGCAGGAAGAGCAGGGACATGGGACGTCAGGGCACCAGGGTCCTAGACCTCAGCACACCAGAGCTCTGCCACCAGCTCACAGGTGGCTGGGGTGAGTCCCATCTCTGCTCTGGGCTCAGCTGCCCCAGCTATAAAGAAGGGAAATCAGATTCATTTGTCTTCAAGGCTCTGTCCCACTTTCACATTGGGTGGCCTATCTCAGCCTTGTCTGTCTGTTTTGTCCCATGCTGATGTGGCTTCTGCTCCTCAGGCGGCCATAGCTGCCCTGGTCTCCCCACAGCAGACCTGTGGGATAAATCCACACAAGCGATGTCACCACTCCCACCACAGAAACCCAACTGGTATCTGAGGGAGAGAGGCCGAAACCTCAGACGGCAGGACATGAGCTCGGGACTAGCCAGGAGTTTGGTGCATACATGGATGTGGCTTACTGCGAGCCTGGGTGGAGCCTCCTCCCCCTTCAGCACCCCCCGGGACCTCATGAAAACTAGAGGGGCCAGGAGAGATGCGTGGGCCATTTCCCCAGAAGGGAAGTAGCTGTGGATGACCTGGACTCCTCCGGCTCTGTCCTAACCTCCTGTGGGTTTGCCCATCCGTAATCTTGACCCGATAATCTTTTGCCCAGAAAATGGCTGGGAAACTCCAACTCAAGGAGAGTCCTTGGAAAACTATTAAGTGAGGCTGCCCATGGGCTGAGGATCATTACTGTCCCACCTTGGGCCAGGTCTTTTTTGATAATATTTTTTAAAAACCCTATTAATATATGTACTATCTATTTACTATGCAGAATAGGGAAAATATAGAGGTCCACAGAAGAAAATGAAAATCTCCTATTGTCCCACCACCCAGAACTAATCCCTGTCCACTTTCTAGCCTCTGCTCTGTGCGTAAAGAAACAGGGCGCCATGTTGGCCAGGATGGTCTCGATCTCTTGACCTCATGATCTGCCTGCCTCAGCCTCCTGAAGTGCTGGGATTACAGGTGTGAGCCACCGCACCCGGCCAGCATGGTGAAACTCTGTCTCTACTAAAAACACAAAAAATCAGCTGGGTGTGGTGGCACACGCCTGTAGTCCCAGCTACTCAGGAGGCTGAGGCAGGAGGACCGGTTGAACCTGGGAGGTGGAGGTTGCAGTGAGCCGAGATCGCACCACTGCACTTCAGCCTGCAACAGAGCAACTCCGTCTCAAAAAAAAAAAAAAGAGAAAATAAAATAAAAAGAAATGGTGCAACCCAGCCCCTGCTACAGGCTCACACTTGAGCATTTCCCTTTATAACCTGTTCCCTCCACCAACCCCACCCCACATTCAGACATCTTCCCATCTTGTAAAATAGCCCAAAACACCATCTAGGGTGGCTGCACTACATCCCACTACTTGAACAATCCCCCACAGTTGGACACTTAGGTTATGTCCATTTTTTTCATCTTTTACCAATACTTTGTTCTAAATGGGAACCAATTTTTTTCTCCCTTTTCACAACTGGCCGTGGGATTTGCGGTTTGAATTGGGGCCTGAATATGTAGGACCCCCTCTTTCCTCTTGTCCCAAAGGATCTCCGGGTCCCCTTACCTTCACGCCATCCAGGCCGGGCCTCCCAGGAAAGCCCTTCCTGCCAGGCTGACCCTGCAACAGAGAGAGAGGTAAGTGGGAGAAGCTGGGCAGGGGCAACATTGCTGGGGTCCAGGAGCCCCAAGGACCTGGCATAGGGTATCCATGGCTGTAGAGAGCCACATACCCTGGTGGCCAGGGGCATAGAACCCTGAGTCCACCAGGTGGCCAGCTGTCCTGGAATGCAGGCAGGGTTTCCAGCTGCGTGAACTCCGGGAAGCCTCCCCCATCCCTGGGCTGGTCTTCCTGTTGTAAATGAGGATGATGATACTTGCCTTCAGGGAATGAGGGAAAGGAAGGAACTTGGCAGATGATAGGGGGCACAGTGAAGGGAATGGCTTATGCAAGTTGGTCCTCAAAGTGTGGCCTGAGGACTCCAGGGGTCCCTGGGACCCTTTCAGAAGGTTCACGAGGTCAAAATGATTTTCATAATAACACTAAGATGTCATTGGCCTTTGTCACTGTCACTCTCATGAAAGTAAGTGGCATCATCCCGAGGCTGCATGGTGTGTGATATTGTCAGTGGGCTGAACGCAGAAGCAGAGCTGAGAAGCCAGCTGACTTCTATTAAGCCAGACATTAAAGAGATCTGCAAAAATGGTAACACAACGCCACTCTTTCCACTCAATTATTTTGCTATGGAAAATAGAGTGAATTCTCCTAAACATATTATTTTTATTAACAGGAAATGAGCTTATGATTAATCTTCAATGAATGAATAAATACATTTAAAGTCTCTTGGTTTTAATTACTAATCTCAGTAGATGTAACCCACACAAACAAAGGGCTTTGGGTCCTCCATCATTTTTAAGAGTGTAAAAATCTCTGGATACCAGAAACTGCATGAACTGCTGGTTTATGCAATGGCTGGGATCAAAGGGGGTGTGGGACAAGTGACTTCGGAAAGGCAGCTTGGAAGAGTGCAGAGGGCTCGGGCTAAGGGCCCAGGCAGGGCGTCCCCACTGCCTGGCTGTGAGATGTTGAGCTAAAGCCTTCACTCTCGTTTGCCTCTTCTCTAATGAAACCAAGGAAAGCAATCCTGTGTCAGGGGAGAATCAAGGAGAATAAATACTGACATGAAGCACCTAGCATATAGGGGGTGGGCAGTGACAGTCAGTTTCCTGGCTCTTGTCTCTCTCTTTTGGGTCTGTCCTAGTTCTCTCTCTGGCTGGTACAAGGCCCTCACTGATGACTTCCCTCTGGAGCACTGACCACGTTGCCCTGCCTGTGCACAGCTGGCTCAGCTCCCATGAATGCCACCTACCCCAGGCTAGTGATACTCACCTCCAAGCCAGGGGCCCCTGGTGGCCCCATGGGTCCCTCATCTCCCTAGAATTGGGAGACACGAGAGAGGAAAAAAGGAGAAAGTTAATCCAGTTGGACTTGCAGAGATCTTGTCCTATATGGAGGGAAAAGGACGGATGGAGGAGAGCCCTCCTGGACAAAGAGAAACAATATCCCTGGCCCACCTGCCTGGCCCCACTCAGGGCAGAGGCTCCACTGGCCATGGCCTAAAGGCCAGGCTACACAGTGACTTCCAGTGAATGGCGACTCCATGGAAGTCCTGGGCATCAGAGTTAAACCCCATGGTGTGCTGTGAGGAACAGAGCCTCAAACTGCAGTTCAAAGATGTAGGCTCTGAGTTTTGCCATTTGCTCACTGGCAGACCTCAGCCTCGCTATGTTTCAGTTTCCTAGAGTGGAGAAGATCATCCTCAAGTATAGTAAGTGGCTTCAGCTGAGCTCCTGGAGCTCAGCAATGATGCCTTATTCTTTCTTGCAGCCACCCCCAAACATCACTTGGGATGGTGCAGTGTCTAGGGGGTGTTTGGTGAATGAATGAATGAATGAAGACGTGAACAAGTAGCAGGCATACATCTTGAGTGGTAATGTGAGTGTAGACAGGAGCACGTGGCTGGTGCCTTTCCCTCCTCTCCCCTACTTTCCCGCTTCTGGCCCATGAGACTCTCCTGGTCCCCCCCAACGCCCACAGGCTCAGGGAGCCTCCGAATTGGCTCCTTCTGGTATGCCAGGCCTGACCAAGGGGCTCCCTCCAGAGCCACTCCCCAGCTCCTTTCCCCCAGCTTCCAGGAAAGCAGCTCCACGTGGTGGCTCCCAGAGCCAGCGCTGGGACCCCGCCAGACCCAGAGCCAGCCCAAGAAGGGATCCATGTCAGCTGGATGCCCGCCTGCGGTTGCGGTAAATCTGGGCTTCCCGCACCCTCAGCCCAGGGCTGTGTGTCACGGGGGCCTGGCGCCTGAGCTAAGGTAAGTGGGGCACAGAAAGGCTAACGATGGCCTCATGCACAGGACAAAATCGGGGGCCCACCCATTTAGTGCCCACCTGGTGCTCCAACAGCCCCATAGAGACCCTTCCCAACCCACTTCATCAAGTGCACATAAATAGGCAGATCGATGCTCTGCCACTCACTAATTGTGCAAGTCAATGTAATATTCTGGAGGTGCCCCCAGGCCACTCCCAGGAAGCATAGAGTTGACAGCATAGGACGTATGTCATGGGCTTTGGGTTCAAGCAGACCCGGGTTCCCATTGTGGCCCTGCCTGCTACTAACCATAAGACCCGACTGAGTCTCTTTTCCTCTCTGGGCCTCAGTGGCTTCATCTGTAAAATGGGGCTGATAATTCCTACTCCCCCATTAATGTCCTCATAAACTGCTACTGTGAGCATGGCATTGGCAGTAGTTCTGGGAAAGAAAACTCCAGGGTGATGAGGGTGCAGCGGAGGGAGGGTGCGGGGAAGCCACCCTGCCAGGTGACAGCAGGGCAGAGAAGGTCCCTGGAAGGGGCATGGGAAGAGCTGTATAGGATGAGCTGGTGGGTGAGTCTGGGGAAGCCCTGGGTGGTGCCCTGGCTGAGGGGGCTCCAGCCCCAGCTGAGGACTTCAGTACCCAGGACAGGGCAGGCTGGGGGCTGTAATTAGGCCAGGATGGGCAGTGGAGCGGGGCCAGACAGTCTCACCTCGGGCCCCAGCTGCCCACGGGGTCCCGGCAGGCCTCGGGCTCCAGGCTTACCCTGGGGAGAAGGGAACAAAAAGGGAGAATCAGAGGCGGCACCTCCATCTCCATCACAGGCTGGCAAGGCACCCCCTGCGTCCAAGCCAGACAGCCAGCCCTTGAGGCCTGTGGTTTCTGCAGAGCTGTCTGCTCCTCCAACTGGAGCTGCCCTGGGCAGGTACTTACCTTCATGCCTTCTGGGCCGTTGTCGCCAGGGGGGCCGATGTCTCCTGGGAATCCCTGAGGGGAAGCAGAGAGCAGGGTCACCCACGGAGGCTATGAAGGGAGTGCTACAGGTATGCGTCTTGCAGGGGGACTGACTGGGTTTCCATCTTCTCCTGCTGGGATGGGACCCCAGGCAGGTCAGTTAACCACCTTGATCCTACAGTCCTCAGTTCTAAAACAGGGTGCGTGGTTCCAGCCCTGACACCTCAGAGAGTAGCTGAGACAATACACCGAATGGTGCAGGAAAGCATTAAGGTTGTGACAAGGAAGGTCACACTCAAGGTCATTATTTCTCAAATCCGGTGCTGCTACCGGGTCAGAATTATGGGTGTCTGGGGACATTGTTCCCCAGAGCCAGCCATGCCTTGCCCTGAGAAGTCTTGTCTTTTGACTGCAGTAATCCTGCAGAGAGGATGATTTTCTGGGTTTGCTGTGACTTTGAAAGCATTGAAAAGCGCTGATTTAATTAACGTCAGCTCCAGTCATCGTAAGCTGAAGTCCTTCCTACATCCTGGCCACATGTGTTAGACTCTGCCCCACTCCACCCATGGGAGCTCCCTGCTTCCCGATGAGGGCCATCCCCCTGGGATGACTGTACAATAGAAGGTTCCTCCCGCACAGAGCGAAATCACCTCCCTTCCCTGCAATATCCTCGTGCTCCTCCTGAGGGTCCCACAGAGCACAGGGACTCCCTCTCCCCCACAGTGGTCTTTGCACAGTTTGGAGACCTGTTACGCGGTTCCCAGAGCCCTGCCCTCCTCCTGTGCTACCCTGAGCAAATTCCTTAGCCTCTCTGGGCCTCAGCTTCCTTATCTGTAAAATGGTGCCTGTACCACCTCCCTTACAGGGCTGTTCTTAAGTTTAAATGGAACCAGCAAAGTTGCAAGTGCTCCGTAAAAACCGCATCCAAAATGATTTTGGGTCCTGTACCCTGGGAAAAGAACTCTGCCTGGGGTGGGCCCATCTCTAAGTGAGAACTTGGTAGTCGGGATGCTGAGCAAATCCTGATGCTTACTCGCATCTGACCCATTGACGAGTGAGAATTGATTCACCCGGGTGCTGGAGAGCTGGAGCTCCCTCCCATGGTCTCTGGGAAAGAAGCAGGCAGGGTGCTGACACGCTTATCAGCTTCTGCGCTTATCAGCTTCCGCCTTCAGCTGAGCAGAGCTATCTCCCGGCTACGGAGTTGGCCAATCAAAACAGAACACAAAGATGGGAGAGGCTAATGGCTAAATTGTCCAGGGACCCAGGAGAGGGCCAAAGCAGACCTTATTTGCTCTTACATAGTGGAGCGACCCTGAGGAAGCCACTGTCCTGCTCTGTGACTCAGTTTCTTCAACTGTGAACTGGTTGTAGTAATATCTCCCTCATGTGCCTCTGTGGTGATTCAGAACGTTCTCATCTCGAGGACACTACACAGCCTCCTGGCACCAGGAGGTGCCTCATAAATGTGAGGGAGCATGCCTTCCACCCTCATGGGCCAGAATGCTGGGAAAGCCGGACTCTCAGAAAAGCCTTTTTCCAGTGACCAGAGGAGGGAATTGGGGCCATGGAAAAGAGGCCAAGTCCATTTGTCTAAAGATAGGACTGTGTGGTGGCCAAAGTCAACACAGTGGAAAGTCAGAACTTGTAGCTTTTAGGAAACATTTCCTCATCCATCCGAGTGATAGCAGAAGTGATCCTTGGAAGGGTCCGGCCTATCCGCAGAGCCACACTTTTGTCTTGGATACAGAGACCTCATGGGTGAGCAAGACCTGGAGGCCAGTGATTTGTGGGTGGGGGGGCTCCAACTGGGGTTGGCCTAGGTGCCGATGATCCTGAGAGGGACAACAGCCCTGGCTCCTGCTCAGCCCAGCTTTCTAGACACGAGACGCATGCTAAAGAGAGTGGGGGTAAAGAGAACCCGGCCAGCTTGCTTCGCTCCGTTACGTGTGAATTCCGAGTTGATCATTCAGGTGTAGCCTACCTGTGCCAATGATCACACATATCAGAAACCCTCAGGGTCTCTCCTTCCTCAACTAGAGTTAATATATGAATTGCTAAATCTATCCTTATTTCTTCTTCATTCAAAAGTCCGAATTTTCATTTACTTCTTGCTCCCCATACCGGGAAGCTCTGAGCCCTGAATCGTTCATCAGAAACCTCAGGGTCTCTCCTTCTCAACTAGAGTTACACATATGACCTGCTAATCTATCCTTATTTCTTCTTCATTCAAAAGTCCGACTTTCATTTACTTGCTCCTCTATACCGGGAAGCTCTGAGCCCTGAATCGTTCCAGAGTGGCTGTGGGTGGTTAGGAAAGTTCCAGGGCTTGGAGAGGAACTCTAAGTGGAGAATGTGAAGCTCCTTGCAGGGGCCCAGACAGTGGCGCGCAGAGGGCTTTCATGAATCACAAAGCTGCGGTGGCCACAAAGTTGGCAGAGGACTCTGAGGCCAGCTTTGTGTCCCTGTTGACTTTTGAGAGCCCCTGGGTAAGAGCAGAAGAGCAGAAAGGGAAAATAAATGATTGCTGATCTAGGAATTTCTCCTCTCAGCCTCATCTCTCATATCCTGCATGACCTAAAGCAAGTCTTTCCCTGTCTCTGGGCCTCAGTTTCCCACGGATGAGACCGAGTCCCAGCTACAGCCAGACACAGAGAAATGGGGCATCACATACCTCGGGTCCAGGGGGCCCGGGAAACCCAATGGATCCTTTGTCTCCAACTTTGCCCTGTGGAAGAGAAAAGGTTGCAGGGAGGCAGGGGTGAGGGCCCCACCTTCCATGAATCCCCTTCGTTACCCCCCTGGCTGTGGGTAGTTGGAAAGTTCAGGAGCATGTGCATAAAATCTGCCTGGACAACTAGAAGGAGCTACCATTCAAACTCTACCTCCTGCACTTACTAACCATGGGACCCTGGGCAAGTCACTTCAACCTTCGGAATCTTAGTTTGCCCATCTGCAAAATGGGAGCAATATTAATTCCCTAACTCCTAGGGTAGTTGGCAGCCTTCAAAGAAACAAAGTTCAGAAAGACACACAGCGACACTCAATAAATGACAGCCACTGCTGTTATTGATAACATCACTATTGTTTACAAGACATCAGGAACCCCAGATCCTCATCAGGGTTTTGTCGGCGAATAAGGCCTGCCTCTGAAGCTGGCTGAGTTACTGAGCCTCTCACAGCGTCCTCATCTGTGAAATGAGCAGATCCCATTCCTGCCCTGCCCTGCCCTGCTGCCCCCAGGAGCTCTGCTGCAGGAGGAAATGAGGTCTTTGAGGTGAAGGTGTCCCCGGCCACGTTCCATGATCAGTCAGAGAGTGTGAGATTTGGGGGTGCTGGAGGAGCAGGTACTTACCAGAGGCCCTGGCTTCCCCCGTGCACCGGGGAACCCTGGCAACCCCTGGCTCCCCTAGAAGAGATCCAGAGCAGGCTGGGGTTAGTGAGGAAGAGAAATGGCCAGGTGAACAGCTGCCCAGTCCTCCTGCTGGTCCCACGCCCAGAGAATGCCCGCCTTGGAGGAGGATGAGCTCCTTCCTTCCTTTCCCTGCTGTGGGCTCGACTTGGATCACACCTGCCTGACACCCCTATAGGCTGGGCCCCAGGAAATGCTAATGAGAAACAGCAGCCCCTGTCCTCACCAGGAAGAATCAGGGACCCTGAGGCTGCATGCAGGCTCCGCAGCGCCTCTGACGCCTGGGGAACTCTGGAGACTGGATCCAGTAGGGGAAGAGCCAGGCCTGCTGTGGTTCACAGCCCGGAGATACCAAGGCTGGGTCAGGACAGGCCAGAGAGGAGGGAGGGAAGAGGAAGAGGGAGAGCTGGCCAACATCTGGGCCTCATTGACTGGCCGGGAGAGTTCCAGATGTGGCCACATGATGCCAGACACAGGCAAAGGGGAGCAAGTCTCAGCAGGCCCACAGCTGTGCTCTGGAAGTCAAGGCCACCTCAGTTTGATCCCATAGTCAGTATGTCATTTTGTAAGGCCAGTTACCTTATCCTAAATATTCATGATCAAGGGCAGGACCCTGAGCCCAGCTCCATCAGGGCAGTCTGGAGCCTTGTTCTCAGGGAACTCACTGTCTGCCGGGGACTCAGCACAAGTCACCCAAAATCAGAGGAGAAAGGTGGCACCACCAGCGAGGGGAGGACATGCCTCTCAGGGCACTTAGAGAGGGAAATGGCCACTTTCTGAGCAGGTGGGGAAATGGCCTCTGAGCAGGGTGGCGTGGAGAGGCTGGGTGGAGGGGTCCCGGGCGGGTAGCAGTCTGTGTGTGTGTACAGAGGCGCACAGCAGGCGGTTTGGTGGGGCTGGAGTGCAGGGCTGTAAGGGGGACAGCAGGAGTATATCAGAGAGATGCACTCACTGGGGTCCTGATGTCTGGTTAGGGAGCCAGGGTGCCATTCTGAGAGCAATAGGGAGCCACGGATGGTGTGTGAGTGGAGAGCACAACTTTGCCCTCAGAAGAACAATTGGGTAGCAGTAAGAAAGAAAGAGAGAAAGCAAGAGGCTGGGGCCCAGAAATAAGTTAAAAGGTCACTGTAAAGTTGAAGGAAGAGATGACAAGTGGATCAAGGATGGAGAAGACTGGATTATTTCAAAGGCAGCCGTCTCACAGGTGGGTCCTGGCTCATGATGGGCCCTAGGAAGGAAGCCAGGACCAGGGAACAGCAAGGCAGGGGCAGGGGCAGGGGCAGGGGGAGGGGAAAATCTGATGCAATTACCTTGTCTCCTTGGAATCCGGGATCTCCCGACACACCTGGAACCCCTTGTTCACCCTAAGTACACACCAGCAAAGAAGGTTACAATGGAGACCACGTGGGCTCTGGAAGCCTCCCCCACAGACCCCCTGGCGAGGTACAGCTGTGCCGAGGCTGTTTCCCAAGTCGGATCCGGCCAGCAGCAGCCTTGTGAAAGGAAAGGACGGGCCCCTGGCGAGGAAAGCAGGCGGTGGCGGGGGGAGGTGAGCTGGCCGATGTGCAGACTTGCCTGGGGCTGCTGGGATGGCTGGAAACGCCACTAACAGAAGCTAAGCTGCCCACTGCCCAGTGTCAACTGGCCTTGCCTGGAGAACTGACGCAGAGCAAATGAAGTGTTTGATCCTTCAGCCTCTTCATCATCAACTGGTATTGTCACACAGGGGTGAGGGCAGCGTGTGCAAGGGCCTCACACCAATGTGGTTTCGGAGTGTTTGCGTCTGCTGTTTGATATTTTTCACCATCAGACTGAGCTGTCACTTCCTCCTCCTGTGGGGGTTTCTGTGCTAGCAAGCAGCTTTGGTCTATGTTTTTTTTTTTTTTTAAGATGGAGTCTCACTCTGGTTGACCAGTTTGGAGAGCAGTGGTGCGATCTTGGCTCTCTGCAGCTTCGATCTCCTGGACTCAGGTGATTCTCCCACCTCAGCCTCCCCAGTAGCTGGGACTACAGGCGCATGCCACCACACCCAGCTAATTTTTATTTTATTTATTTTTAATAAAGATGGGGTTTCACCATGTTGCCCAAGCTGGTCTTGAACTCCTGGACTCAGATGATCCGCCCGCCTCAGCCTCCCAAAATACTGGGATTACAGGCGTGAGCCACTGTGCCCGGCCGATCTACTTCTAATTAACTATTTTAATCAGCTATAGCATGGGAAATCAGATTTCCTGGCTTGTTAAGACTATGTGTACACAGCGAGTAAATTGGTCTTGACTTAAGTCTGGGTGTTTGTCTTCTAACACGATGTACTGCACAGGCTTAGTGACACTGATTCTGGCTGATGGAGGCCTCTTCTCCTCCCTCCGTGTTTTTAGCCATGTTCTGAACGGGCAGTCCAGATTGGGAGCTGCTTCCCCTTAGGGCGGGAACCACCTCACACGGCCCTCACCTCACCCTATCCAGCCCTCCACGTTGGACATTACTGATACACTGTCGGCCCCAGGATTCAAAATACATTTACAACCCTGGGAGCAGGAGAAAGAATGGGGAGAAAAATCCGGGAAAATGGAGAACCTTAGAAAAGCCACGCATGGCTAAGGCCATGACCTAACAAAAAAACTTCCTTAGCAGAACACAAGTCAGAATTGTAAAAAAAAAAAAAAAATTTTTTTTGAACTTACTTTGCTTTTTCCAATTTGGAAAATCCTGTACAACATCCTGGTGTTTGGGGAACCACAGGACTTTTTTTTTTTTTTTTTTTTTTTTTAAATGTCCAAGAGAGGAGTGAAGAGGTGAAAAAAAAGAGTGAAAATAGAAAAACAAGGAAAGTTTAAAAGGCACCTAGGAAATCAGAACAATGAATTTGAAGGGAGCTGGGCTCGGAGCAGGAGCTTTGCTTCCAGAATGCTCCTCCAGGCTGAGAGAGGGAGCCAAGCGGTTGTAAGTGGGACTGAGTCCAGGATGGGTCATGGAAAATCTGGGATTTGAGGCAGGAGCAACCTTGGAACATGAAGGGATGGCTCTGTCATCCCAGGGTAGGGCCAGGGGACACGGATGTGTGCGTGGCTGATCGGAACACAGCCTTAAGGCTCCTCTCCACCAAAGGAAAAGGGGTTTCTTTCTCCCCCCGCTCTCTTTTTTCTCCTAAAGACATTTGATTTTCTTAAAAACTATGGGCATGAAAATAATTTCCTCCTCCTTTTTTTTCCAGACTTTTCACCTCTCTAAATGTCCCAGGCAACTCCCATCAGCAAGCCAGCCGAGTTCCATGTAACACATTTATTTCCATGTTCCTGAAGCAACACTGAGCTGAGACCAGCTCCACAAAGGGGCCTATAAAAAGCTCACTGCCTACACTCTCATTTTCCCCAGCTTCCTTTCTCTCTCTTTCATGACTTCAACATTTCCAGAGCACAGATGTCTCAAACCTTGGGATAAACAGGTAGGTGTGGGGAAACCCCCGTCTCCATCAGAAAGCCCCTTCAAAGAGGGAGGGCTCTGGCAGAGGGGTGTAGCAGACAGCAGGGTAAGGGGCGGGCAGAGGTGGGTTGTGGCTGGAGGCTTGGGCATGGCAGAAGGAGATGGAAGAGGTAGACACAGGTAGAGAAAGGACTGGGGTTGGCATTGCACCCAGCTGGCTACCCAGGGATAGGCTTGCATAATATAGTCTGGATATGTCCATTTTCACCCAGCAATTCTAATGTTCTAAAAGTCCAGGGGCCTGCAAATCTCTTTCTCTCTCTGGGTCTTGGTTTCTCCAGCTGTGAGATGTAGGCACTGTGAAATATGAACTTCCCAGAGTCTCACTAGCTCTGACCTTCTGACCTTAGTTCTGCTTAACAGTTGAGGTCTCTGGAGCCAGGTGACTCTCTACTTACCAGCTGTGTGGCCTCAGGGAAGCTTCTTTTTTTGAGATGGAGTCTTGTTCTGTCGCCCAGGCTGGAGTGCAGTGGCGCGATCTTGGCTCACTGCAACCTCTGCCTCCCAAGTAACTGGGATTATAGAATCAAGCGATTCTCCTGCCTCAGCCTCCCAAGTAACTGGGATTACAGGCGCCCACCATCATGCCCGGCTAATTTTTGTATTTTTAGTGGAGACGGGGTTTCACCATGTTGGCCAGACCGGTCTCAAACTCCTGACCTTGTGATCTGCCCGCCTCGGCCTCCCAAAGTGCCGGGATAACAGACGTGAGCCACCATGCCCGGCCCAAGCAAGCTTCTTATTTCACAGTGGGTAGGAGGATTAATGGGTGGGTCCATGTGGTGCACTCAGATGGTACCCAGCATGGCACCTGACCTTATGACTCAGGTGTAGGGGGAAGCAGAGGTACCTAGAGACAGGTGCGGTGTCAACTGACCACAGGAGGGACTGAGCAGCAGTCCTTCGGATGTCTCACGGATACTTGGAATGTTGCCCTGAACCCCTCCTGCACCCCCTTTGGGGGTCCTGGTTTGCCAAGGGTCTGAAGAGGCTAGGCAGGAAGACAGCCACAGAGCAGGGTACAAGTGCTGGGCCCTGTGTCTCTGGTATTCAGATGCTGCTTCACTCTGGGCCCCCAGGGCCTGTCTTCCCACTTCCAACTCTGGTTTGGCACAGGGTGAGACAGGAAGAGCTCAGCAGCAGGGCTGTACAGAGGACACATGGCAAGGGTAGCCACCCCCATGGCAGCAGGAGAAGCGGGTCAGGGGCTTAGAGTCGCATTTCCAGTCGGCACGCTCTCTGGGGTTGGGTTCCCAATTTCACGCCAAGGTGGTCTATGTAGATTTGTTTCCTCCTGTGCCCTCACTGCCACACTCCTTGCTCTGTGGCTTTGCTTTCAAAGCACAGATGCTGGCCTCAGCTCTACTCTCTGGATTCAGAGCCCTGTCTTGACATACCTGCCCCGCTTGCTGCAACAGCTGCTTATGCACTATCTGCTGAGGTTTTCGGGTTCCCAGAACTATCTGCCTGAGCGCCACCCAGAGTGACTAGGAAGAAGCTGGGGAGCACAGATTTAGGGGAGGCGAGAGGAGAGGCAAGAAGAGTGCAGGGGAGTGGACCTGGCGAGAGATCAGCAGCAGCCTCCGGGCGGAGAGGGGGTTGGCATGCAGAGAAACCACAGTGCAATAAGGGAGTATTCAGATCACCTTATCACCTTTCAGTCCGGGCTCCCCCACGCTGCCCATCAGTCCCTGCAAGACAAAGACCCAAGGCCAGCTGTGATGGAACTCTAGGCCACAAGAGTTAGGAGCCCTGGCTTAAACGTGACTTGCTGCCAGACCCCCTGCTCGATCCCCCAACCTCAGTGTTCACATCTGTAAAAGGGGGCAAATGACTCCCATGTCACAGGGCAAGGGTGTGGACTGAAGGAGCTATGAGAAGAGGCAGTGAACCACAGCACTGCAGACAAATCCAGAGGAAGAAGGCACTGATGGGGAGGGAAGGGCATGTTGGTTAAATGGGGTCGTCCCTGGGATGTGGTCTAGCAGTCTTGGCCTGCCTTCCTGCTGCACGCCCTTCCCACTCAGGGATGGGCTGAGTTCACTGGTTTGCATGGTAGTTTCTGTGGCCCTGGTGATGTCCCCCACTGGACTTCCAGTGCTCTGAGGCCTGGAACCATGTCAGCTCGAGGAGGATGCCCGGCCTAAATGACATACAGATGATGCCTGGCTCTGGGGCGCCCAGCTTCCTCCTAGCAGCACTCTGAGCATCCTGCCATCCTCCCTTCCCCTAGCATCATCTAAGGTCACCCTTCCTTCTGGGATGAAATGGGTCGGGGGTGCCCACTTGGGATGAGGCCTGAATTGGGGGACGTCCCTTGCTTACCTTCATGCCCTTGGGTCCTGGGTAGCCAATCGGACCCAACACTCCCAAGTCACCCTGTGGGGGAAGAAAGAGAAGAGGGTGCTGTAAGCAGTGACCCACAGGAGGCTGGCCTGGGTGGTGACAACAATCCCCAAGGTCCCTGGGGCTGGGCTTCTGAAGACACGACTCTGTAGGATTGATCTCAGAATCTGGAATGTTCTTCATCTGGAGACCTCCACTAAAGTGCTGGAATAAACTTCATAAAGATCCTTGCCCAAGCTCATTTCTAGATGGCTGCCCCTTCCCTATCCCCATTCCTTTCCATATTCAATATTTTTTTCCTCTATCTGATTCTTTACCCCGGATCAGGGACAAAGGGCTTTTCATTTGACTATTTTGGACCCTCAGGCTCTCTCTATCTGTCCCCCCAGAGCTGCTGTAAGAGTTAAAGAAGGCATCAATGGGAGTTCTGACTCCTCCGGCTACATGAGGGGAGGCACCTCCTGCTTCCCAGAGGCTTGGCTATCTCTGAGGAGGGCAGCAAGTAAGGAGTGAGGCTGTTGATCCCAGAAATTTCCAGAGTTGGCGATGGACCCTGTGGGACACTACAATCAGCTGGTGGATCCTGGACCACAGGTTAGAGACCCAGCTTCAGATCAGATCAGCCAGTCCAAGGTGAGAAAAATGGAGTTCCCAGACCTGAAAAGCCAAGTTCCCTTCACGACTGTGGAGTTTGCAGGTGACAACTCAGCCTGGCTGAGTGCTGTCCCCATGATGCCCCTCCTGGCCTTTCCGCAGCCTGCCTTCCTTCCTCTGCAAGGAAGGCTCTGGAAAGCACTCAACCAGGCTGAGCTGCCATTTGCAAACTCCTGCAAACTCCACACCGTCCCTCTGTCTGTCTCCCCAGAGGCATTCCACTGCACAGGCCCCGTGGCCCTTCCAACAGGAGCCAGGCAGGAATGTGATTTTTCATTCTCTGTCCACCCAGTGGACCACTGGGTCCCACTCTCCTCTGGGACTCACTCACTGTGTGAACTGGGGGAACTTGATGTCTCCACGCCTCAGTTTCCTCATGTGACAAGCGAGGACGTACAGTACTGTCTACCTGCCAGCCTTGTTTCCAGGAGTAACTGATTTAACATGTAAATACTTGGCAATGTCTGGAGTCATTTTTGGTTGTCACAACTTAAGAGGTGCTATTGGTATCTGGTAGGCAGAAGCCAGGGATGCAGCTCAGCATCCTGCAGTGCACAGAACAGCCCCCTGCCACGAATAACCATCCAGCCCAAATGTCAGTAGTGCCAAGGTCCAGGAATCCTGGTACAGAGTGAAGAAGCGGCTGACTTTTCTCTTAACCAGCCTACGCTTTTCCCCTCAAATCTCACTTCTGCCCACTCCATCACTCTCTCAGCCACAACCATAACATTAAGTCCGCACTCAGAGAAAGGCAGACCCTGAAAATACCCTCTTCTCTCCCTTGTCCATCCTCCGTGACTGATACGAGCGTCTGGCTGCTGTGTGGTTTCAACGTGGCTGACCTCTCTGGGCCTCTGTTTCCCACCACCTGATCAGGCTCTATGGAGGCCCCTGGCAAGTGCTCTGAGGTGGGGGCACAGCTCTGAAGCACTGGAGGAACAAAGGCTGCCCCAGGTCTCCAGGCTCAAGAATGGGAACTGGAGTTCTTGTCTGAGCTGCCTGGAGACGTCTCGGAGGGAGGCCAGGCAGAGAATGAAACATCACATTCCTGCCTGACTCCCGCAGGAAGGGCCAAGGGGACAATGCGATGGAATGCCCCCGAGGAGAGAGAAAGACAGACAGACAGACAGACTGTGTGGAGTTTGCAGACGGCAGCTCAGCCTGCCTGAGATGATGCCGATTCTCACTCTCCCAACCCCAGAGCAACAGGAGTCTGGCCTTGGCGCTTCCTGGCCTGTGTGATCTTGGGCAAACGCTTCCCCTTCCTGGACTTTAGGATTCTCATTTGATTGGATTAAACAAAACCTCCCAGCTGAGCCTTTGCTAAGAAATTCTGCTTTCAGGCCCAGCGTGGCGTCGTGGTTCACGCCTATAATCCCAGCACTTTGGGAGGCCTAGGTAGGAGGTTTACTTGAGGCCAGGAGTTCAAGACCAGCCTGGGCAACATAGGGAGACTAAATCTCTACAGAAAATATTTAAAAATTAGCTGGGCATGGTGATGCATGCCTGTGGTACCAGCTACTTAGGAGGCTGAAGCAGGTAGATCTCTTGAGCCCAGGAGTTCAAGATTACAGACAGCTATGATAGCGTCACTGAACTCCAGCCTGGGCAACAGAAAGATACCCTATCTTAAAAAAAAAAGAAAAGAAAAGAAAAAGAAAGAAATTCTGCTTTCAGGTCCCATCAAATAATCTCACTGAGAAAGTGAGGGCTCAGTTTAACGGGTGTTAATAATAAGCAAATTCCAGTTGCCAGCACTGTGCTAAGCACTTGACCTGCCTTAACCCAGTAATTCCTCGCCACAGCCCTTCAAGATCAGTCTACTACTGTCCCCATTTCATAGATGAGGAAACTGAGGCTCTGAGAAGTTAGGGCTCCAGCGAAATCACAGAGCCGGGGCACCTCTGGGATTCACACTAGGCAGCCTGTCTCCAGAGCTTCTAGGCTATTCTGAGGTGGTCTCTGGAGAGGAGGGAGAGAAGCCGGATTGGAAGGGAGGCCAGCTCTCTCTGCAGAGAGCCGCAAGTCCACAGGTCCCTCTGGCTGCTGCCTCTCTCCTTTCCTGGATGAAGGCAGCCAGGGTGGCCAGCCCAGAGTTCCCCCTGATGCACAAATAAACAGAGCGGGCTCTGCTGGAGGAGTCCTGCTCTGCTGGGGGCCAGGCAGGGTGGCAGGCAGAGGGGCCGCCAGCAGCTCGGGAACACAGGCTCTTTCTTCCTCCCTCCAGGCCTGAAGTGGCTTGTTGTGTGGGACTGAATTCAGTGCAGGCTGGATGGTCACCTGTGTGGGTCCTCGGGAGTCACAGCACAACACCCCATTCCCCAGGTCCCGCTCGCTGCCTCAGCAGGCCTCTCCGAAGGGGTCTGTGTGTGGTGGGGGCAGGGACCTCACGTGGGCATCCAACCCTAGGGGAGAAGGAATCTGGCAGAGAGACCCCTGCCTGCAGGCCACACCCGGAGAAGGTGCCAGCTTGCATATGGCAGGTCCCCCTGTGTTGGTGGGACCCCCACATTGGGCTACAAAAGCATTTCCGGGAGGAACAAAGAAAACTCCAGGCCAGCATCCCCCGAGGGCAGCTTGCAGAGCAGCCGTCTCCTGTGTACCAGACGCCCTCCAGACCAGCTTGGCCGGAGCCACTCAGAATGTCATGTCCCCGTGAGAAAGAATAATGAATAAGGCCCTTAATTTGGATCCTGTTTCCACTTTTCTCTAAGCTCCCAGACACCACACGCCACACTGTGCCCTTCTCACTGACTCCCACCAACAACACAATCAGCCCCGTCTGTCACCATTTAAAGAACGCCCACTGTGTGCCGGATGCACGCTACCCACTTTGAACCCTCCTTAACAATAGCTAAATGTCACTCTGGGCACCTTTGCCATGCCAGGGACGATGCTGGTGGCTTGGACGCTCACCAGCTGCTCACAGTAACCCCAGGAGGTAAGCGCCACTGTCAGTCCCACTCCATTTTACAGATGGGAAAACTGAGGCTTAGGGACAGGTGACATAACCTGCCTGAGATCGAGCGATAAGCAGGGGGCAGAGGCAGGACCGGAACCCAGGTCTGTCCATCTATCTGTCTGTCTGTCTGACCCCACAGTCCATGCTCACAAGGTCTGAGTTGGCTGTTGACCAAAAAAAAAAAAAACAAAACAAAACCACTGACGGCTGCCTTTCCTGTTGCTACGTCTCACCTGAGACAGGGCATCAGGTCAAGTTGGAGACTCGGAAACATGGAGTTGTGCTCCCCTGACTGCCAGCCAGTGGACGCCCGGAGGCTAACGTGGGGAACATCCGGTGCCCATCCTTCATGATGGTTGCTCACACATCTCACCTTCCTGCCCTGCTCTTCCTCCTTAGCTGTGACATACTTAGCCACTGACGTATCTCCCCAGCCCTGGCTCAAGCTGTTTCCTATTCCCGGAGTGCCGTGCCCTCCACTGGCATTGTTCATGCCCATTTGTCCTTGGGCCTCCAGCGCTAACATCACTTCCCTGACCCCAAGACCGGGTCATGCCCCTGCTGTCAGGCCTCAGAGCCCCATGCCTCTCGCTCAGGGCCCTTGACACCGGCCATCCTTTCTGCGTGTGCCTATAGGGCCACCGCCTGTGCTGCCTCCAGACCAGGGGCAGGTGCCTGCTCTGAGGACCTCACCTCTGTGATTCCAGTGCCCAGCACAGGGTACAGCTCTGAGGAGGTGCTTGGTAAAAGTGGCTTAATGATGGTGAAAAAGAAAGCTAAACATGCTCACTTATAATCCCTCTGAGGACTGCCTTTGAAGGCCAACAATGCCAGGTGGGTTAGGGACAGGGAGCTGGAGCTGTGGCCAGTTCTAGTTGCTGTGTGGTCTTACTAAGCACCATCTCTTACACGAGAACAGCCCTGGCACTGCCCAGTCCATGCTGTCACACACCCGCTATAAGTCTTGAGGAGCTGGGGATGTGGTGCAGCCATGGAGAGTGTGAGCTGTGACAGGCCAGGTCCAGCTGATTGGCTGTGTGACCTTGGGCAGGTGCTTCACCCTCTCTGAGGCTCAGTTTCCTTAAGTGTAAATTGGTGGCCCCACTTCCTACCCTCAGAAGGCTGTTGTGACAATTAAAAACTTCGCACAGGGTTGGGCACAAGAGAGTTAGTTGCATGGCAGGTGGTGGGGTATCTGACTTTGCTTTATAAACAAGGAAACAAAGCCAGGTGATCGTTTAGTGGCAGAATAAGGTGGACAAATCCATTGCCCCTCACATGCTGGGTTTGTGGCCAGATCACATGTTCTTTGGGTCTCATTAAATCATGGAGGAGCCAACATTTCCTCTGTGTCACTCTGAATAGAAAGGACAGAAATCGTCTTTGTTGAGCAGATTCTGGAATCAGGCACAGTTTTCTTGAGGGCCTGCCAAAGGGTTTCAGTTACTCAAAGAGGGCTGTGTGGAGGCCCTCTCACCTCTGAGGCTGCAGGGAGCCACCGGTGGCTTATTGGAATTGAGGCATATGGACCCAGGTGACAAGCCCGACACTTCCACTCTCTAACTGGTGACCTCGGCTTCGCGAGGTCTCCCCAGCCCAGTGCATGCGATGCACACATAGCAGACAGACGCTTAATAAATGTTAGTTTGTCCTCTCACGCCCTTCCTCCCGGCTGCAAGGACCCGGGGGACGGAAGGAAGGTTTGGCTTCAGTCTGCATGCAAATTGCTTCAACTGACTAGACAGAGGCATTGAATAAATCTGAATTTCCACTAAAATGATTATCAATACGTGGAATTCCCATTTGCTCAGCTAAAAACCCACATCCTCTGGAAAACCGTAGGTGACTCACAATCCCTCTTCCTCTGTAACTCCTGGTTAGAAAATTCCTTTCCTTTCCAGCTCTTTGGGGAGACAGTTTTTCCCCCAGGCACAGAGGCTGCTGTTCCCAAAAATCCAGGGGGGAAGGAGGCATTTGCTCGGGGAGCAGAGTTGATTTGATGGGCTGAGGCCCAGCCCTGTGACCCCACAGTCACAGGAGAGAGGATACTTCATCTTGGCAGCGAAAAGAATCTAAAAACTGAGGAAGGAGGCTGAAAGTGGCCAAAAAAAGACACAGCATGAAGGGACCACAAGGCAGAACAAATCAGCTCTGGGAAAAGGGGGTACCATGAAATGCAGAAAAGGCCCAGGGCTCTGCCCCCAGCACAGGCTGCTCAGAAGCAAAAACAGGAGTGCCCTGGACTAGGATTTGAGATTCATGGCCTCCATCCTCACCTGCCAGGTATGTGACCTTGACCAGGGGCCTCAGTTTTCCCATTTGCTGAAAGGGTTTCTCCTAACAGACACTGCAAATAGTGTTTCCAGACTGAACAATTAAAATGACAGGAACAGTGAAATTTGAATGTCAGATAAATAATGAGTGACATTCTACTATAAATGTGTTCTAAATATTGCATCTGACATTCAAATTTAACTAGGTGTCATATTTTATCAGGCAACCCTAACAGTGGAGTGCAGCGGAGAGTGCAGGTAAGAATGGGCTTTGTAAAGAACCAGGAGGTTCCAGCACTTTGGGAGGTTGAGGCGGGCAGATCGCTTGAGCCCACCAGCCTGGACGATGTGGCAAAATCCTGTCTCTACAACAAGAAAATACTAAAATTAGCTGGGTGTCATGGTACACACCTGTTGTCCCAGCTACTTGGGAGGCTAAGGTGGGAGGATCACTTGAGCCCGAGAGGCAGAGGTTGCAGTGAGCCAAGACTGCACCACTGAACTCCAGTCTGGGAGACACAGTGAGACTCTACCTCAAAAAAGATAGAACCAGGAGGGCTACGATGCTATAGTCCAAAACCCCAGAATCTGTGTTTATTCCACTAAGCAATATGCTTGCTCCTTTCGGGACCCAACCTAGTGAACGCTGGGATGATGACAAATAGGAACATGTGCCAAGGATGACAGACAGGATATGTAAACATCCCTTCAGAAAGGCTTTGGGATTGGAATTGTTTAGAAGGAGCCCTGGGAAGCACAAAGACCATTTTACACCTCAAACAGCCTCACTCAGGGACAGTGAGGACGACTTGGGTTCGATCCACAGGAAAACACTGAACAATGAGAGCTGTGTAGAATGGACTAGGCTCCCAGAGAGGGAGGGACTTTTTACACTGGAGGTGTTCAATTTGGAGTTTAATCACCGTATGACCAAGATGCTCCAGAAGGGATTCCTGTTGGGCTTAGAGAGAGTCAGATTAGAAGACTTCTAGAGAGTTCTCCAATTCCCATGGCAGATATTTCTTTTTCCAAAGCATTTAGGTCAATGCCTTGTGCCAAAGAAGGTGCTCAGCAAAGTTCTACTGAATGGACATCAGGGATGACAAATTTATGACTCATGTGTTGACACTTCCTCAACCCCAGCCAAGGCAGACATCACTCATCAATTGCAGCACTCTCTCCAACCAAGTTCCAATGTGACTGTGAAATTTTTCTCAAGTCAGTAGCCTAGATAGCTGCTACCGGGTGTAAAATATCACATGTGTATGTAATATAATAACACCAACAAGAGCTATTACTATCATAACTAGTACTTCTTGAGTGCTTGCTATATACTAGGCACTTTACATATTAATTTATCTACATCCTCACTCACAACAATCCTCCAAGTTACGTACCAATATTGTTCCCATTTTATAAACGAAGAAACCAAGGCATAGGGTGGTTAAAAATTTTGCTCTGGATTGTGATGAAATGAGTGGTAGAGCTAGGATTTGAACCTAGGCAGTCTGGTTCCAGAAACTGCCCTCTGAGCCACTGGACTGGAACGGACTGTGTGTTTCCGTGGTCCTGATAAGAGTAGATACAACGATTCCATTTCACAGAGGGGATCCCTGAGGCTCAGGGAAGTGAGGCCAAGGTGAAGTTCAGTCAGGAGGTAGCAAAGCCAGGATTCAGACACAGAGGGCTCTCACCTTCTGCCCACCCCACCCAGGTTCTGATCCCACTCACCTGAGCAGGCACAGGTGGCCATGGGGACATTTGGACCATCTTCCCAGGACTAGCCTCCCCTGAGCGATGGGGTCCCCTGCCTACCTCAGGGGCCTCCTCCAGCGTTTCCCTGAGCAGAATTTCTCAGTACAGTTGCTGAAGTGGTAAAGCTGGAAGCTTGTTTGTCAAGCTAGCAGATAGTTTACCTGTGTCCCTCCACGGGCCCCCAGACTCAAACCCCATGAGGAATGACCCAATGGACAGGGCGGAGGGGGCATCAGATTTTGGGAACACTTGGAGTGTCATTTCCCAGGCTCTGACCTCTCACTGGCCCCTGGAGCTGGGCACAAGGTTAACACTCACTCCACTGAAAGCCCAGCAGGGGCCCTGGCTTTGGCTAGAACCACTCCTCCAGGCCTACGCCACCTGGATGGAGTCAGGTCAGATCACCTCCCACCTCCTTGTGTATAGGCTCTGTCAGCCCTGGGCATTTCAGGAGGTAATAACAAGAATTATTATAACAATATTTTCCACTAGCACTTACTGGGTGCCAGATCCTGTGCCAAGGACTACACATGTGATGCCTCCTTTAATCCTCACGGCCACTCCAGAATGATTCTGCTATCACCTCTATTTCACAGATGAGGAAACTAGGCCCAGAGAGGGTAAGTGGCTTGGCCCAGGTCACACAACCAGGATGTGGCGGGCCTGTGACTTGAACCTAGGTGGTCTGGCTCCAAAGTCCACTTGGAGGAAAAGAGTGCAAAAGACCACCTTGCCAGCTCCTCCTCCCTCTGGACCTGGAACACCTCACCTGTCAAATAAGTACGCCACCACCACTTGCCCACACCTCCTTGCAGAGCAATGGCCATGCACGCAGCAGCTGTGAAAGTGCTTTGGCAATCTTGTGCTCCAAGCGCTCATCTCATTTAACTAATAAGGAAACAGGCTCAGAGAAGGTAGGTGATCCACCTGAGGCCACACAGCAGGGCTCTCCTCCCTCAGCCCGCCCACCCTCCCCCACTCACCTTCCCCACCCAGGTTGGTCTCTCCTGGCCCCCCAGTCCCTCCAGAGGTTTGATGAGAAAGGGGCCTTTTCAACCCCACTGCAGGGCCTGCTCCTGGCTCCCCACACGCTGGCTCCACCCTGAGTCTCCCCAACACCCACCCGCTGCCCCAGGCATCGGTGTACTTACAATGAGGCCGGGGACTCCGGGGGGGCCTGGCAGGCCCAGTTCTCCCTGCAGATAGACAGACACCAAGGTGGTTACTTGTCCCATCTCCCTCCAGGGCCCCTCCCTCCATGTCATCCTCCACACAGGCACCTGGTGGGGTCTTTCAGAGCTGAACTCTCCTTATTCCTGACCACAAGCTCCAGGGACTTTCCTGAGTCTGGCCTACAGTTTGGACCACAGCCATCCCCTCTCTGCCATCAGCTTTCCTCGCCTGTCAAATGGGGAGGTCGGACTTCCAAATCCAGTATCTTCCCATTGTAAGCATAAAGGAATGAGCGGAATCGCGATCATGGTCATACAGATGTGCATGGTGCTTGACATTTCACGCTCATTTTATAGACAGGAGAACTGAAGCTCCAGAGGTTAAGTGATTCACCCAAGGCCAGGTGCAAGGAAATGACAAAGCCAGGAGAGCCTCTAAGCTGACCTCCAAGCTGAGAGCCTCTAAGCTGACCTCCTTCCCTTTCTCAGCCAGGAGGTGCTGTGGCCCTTGGAGAATCCTCCCCAGCACCCCACACCCTCACAGGTCCTTCTTCCAGGGCCCCCCAGAGGCTGGAAAGAGTTCTAGCCTGGGAGTCAGGAGATGAGGCTGTGTGTGTGATTTACCCCCCTACACTTCAGTTTCCTCATCTTAAACATGAATCTTCCATGGCCCACATAAGAAATGACAGGTGGAAGGGTTTGAGTCAAGTTCAAAATGGAAAAGTGAGAATATCAAATTCTAGGGCTCTAGACATTGTGATTAGCAATGAGAAGTAAGCAACAGCCTTCGCTTCAAATGAGGGGAAGAAACGGACATCAGGTCTTTTCTGTTCTTCTATGCCAGGAGCATAAAGACATCCCTGCCCCTCCCCAAGGAAACTCGCAGAACGACACTGCATATCGTTAACAGTTAATCTAACAAGTGATGTACTGAGGGAGAGGCTCTGATTTCCCCCCACCCCATGCCTTTGCTGGTGCCCCTTCCTCCACCTGCAACGTCTCCCCACCTATGTCCTCATCCCAATGCAAATGTTACTTCCCTGTTCTCTTCTCCAAAGAGGCACCTGGGACCTCTCTAATCCCACTCATCCCACTGCCTGTTGTGACAGAGGAGAGCAATGGCCTATGAACTCCTCAAGGTCAGGACTGTACCCCAGATTACCCAGTATTTTACACAGCCTCACCCACTGAACCCATGTGATGAGTGCAACACCTTGGCTGCCCTCCTTTCATTCTCACGACGGCCTTTTTTTTTTTTTTTTTTTTTTGAGACAGAGTCTCACTCTCTTGCCCAGGCTGGAGTGTAGTGGTGTGATCTTGGCTCACTGCACGCTCTACCTCCCAGGTTCAAGCAATTCTCCCCCCTCAGCCTCCCAAGTAGCTGGGATTACAGGTGCCCACCACCACGCCCAGCTAATTTTTTGTATTTTTAGTAGAGATGGGGTTTTGCCATGTTGCCCAGGGTGGTCTTGAACTCCTGGCCTCAGGTGATCTACCCACCTCGGCCTCCCAAAGTGCTGGGATTACAGACGTGAACCACTGCACCCGGCCTCAGGCTGGAATTCTGATTCCCCCAATTTGCAGACAAGGAGACTGAGATGCAGGGAGGTGAATGGACTTTTCAAAGCTCATACACCTGACAAGTGGTGCAAGAAAATTCAAACCCAACTCCGTAGGGCTCTGAGGTCAAGGCTTAATCCCCAAGGGAGCCTGGCTGGGTCAGGCTCAGGGAGCATTTGTGGAACTGAATTAGCGCCTAATCGGGTGCTGGTTATGAATGCAGCAGCCACCACTGGAGAGGGCACAGCTGGCATAGCTGCTCAGGCAGGAAGCCCCAAGGAGAGATGGGGGACCATGAACACCTTCTCCCACCACGGCCTGGAGCCGGGAAGGGAAAGACAGAGTCGGCTCCCCAGGGCAGGCTGACCTGGCTCCTCGTGGAACAGAGCCTGGGCCTCTAATTATTTACAAACTCTATAAACATGCCTGTGGTGGAGATTCCTTTGGAACTCAGCTCTTCCTTTTCTCCAAACACGGCCTGCAAACCGTTTGCTTCCCCAAGCCTCTGCCGGCCCATAAACATTTCTGATGCTTTGTAAGATGGCAGCAGCCAGGGCTTCTCCAGTGGGGAGTGATCCATGAACCTTCCGAAGTCCTGGAAACGGGGTGCAGCCTGGAGCTTTGGACCCAGGGGCTCAGTGGGCTGGGGACTCTTACGGGGGGCGACAGGGCAGTCACAGTAGACAGGAGCCTAGCGTTTAGAGACGTCACGTAATTTGCCCAAGGGTGCCCAGCTGGTAGTTGACAGGGCTGGGATTTGACCCAGGTCTGTCTGACCCTAAAGCACGGACTCCTAAAATGTGCTGTGTGTTCACTCAGAATCTCCTGTTCCCAAGGACTTGAAATACTTACAGGGTTTCCATCCAGTCCGGGAGGGCCTCTTTCCCCAAAGACTCCAGGAAACCCCTGGAGGGCATGAGAGAGAACAAACATCTGTAGGTTAGTGTTTTCACCTGCAGGGTGGGCTTTGATCCAGACCCCCAGGGGGGACACAGGACAATGTCCAAGCAGTCTCACTCCTTGGTCATGGGCAGACAGTGGAGGCCTGAGGTCACCCCTACCATCAACAAGCACCTGCGCATAAAGAATTTCTCACGGGTCCTTTTCTTTCTACTCAGTCTCTGAAAAGAAAACGGTACCCAGCTCCCCAGCATGAAAATGCCAATCCTCTGTTCTGAGACCTGGTCCTGATGGAATGGGAAGGACACAGACTAGGGGAAGGAAGCTGGATCTAGGCCAGTTTTAAGAGCCTCTGTTTCCCCACTGGTCAAAGAGGGGAAGGCCTCTGTTGCATTTCCCAGCTCAGACCTTCTCTGATTGTGGCATGTTCTTCAAAAGCCACCCAGTGAAATCATGATCCCCATTTGACAGATAAAGGAAGCGAGGCTGTGAAAGAGTTAAGTGGCAAGGTCACACAAAGTCATACCACCAGTGAACATGAGCACAGCCTCCACAGGTGTTTCAGCAGCTCAGAGAGATGCTGAGCTGCCCGGCCCAGGCAGGTCTGTCCCTCCCGCCTCGTCCCTGACCCCACTCTGGAGGCCGCTCCAGCTCTGGGGAGATAGGCAGCTGGAAAAATATCAGCTGTGAGGACGCCTTCAGGGGCCGGGGACAGAACTCCATTCCTACTTCAAAAGGAAAAGAAAGTCCTCAAGCTTGGAGTTGGGGGAAACCTGTTCTCCTCCCCTCCTTGAATTCAAATAATTGTTTTTCCAGGGAAATTAAATTAAAAAAAAAAAAAAAAAAAAAAGCACATGTTTTCCTGACCAAGTGAATGCTGGAGCTATGATTCAAATGGTAAACATTCCTCACAGAGGATCATCCTGTTTTTGGTTTCTAATACTATTGGAGGAGTCCAGTGAGCACACTAAACCCAAAGGACCAAACCTATAAACAAAACCCAAACCAGAGTCTCTACTGGTTAGGCAAAGACACTTTGAAATGTGTGTGTGTAACCAGGTGTTTAGCCTGGCCCTGCCCCGCAGCCCTACTCCCTTCAAATCTCTCCTCTGCCAGGAAGTCCTCTTGGGTTGACATTCACCCCACAGAAGGTGTGGCTTCATTTAGACACCAAAAGGAAGAAATGAGAAGATGATAATGAAATTGAGATCAAGCTAGTCACTTCGCATGCAAGACTTCATTTGCGTTTGATATGTATCTTTGAGGGAAAAGTTATTGGTCCCATTTCACAGATGGGAAAATTGAGGCTCGGTTAGGCAACATCACATGGCCAAGGTCATAAAGCAAGCAGAGCCCAGGTCCACCTCTGGAGTTTGGCATGTTCATATGAGCTATGCACGGGCAAAGGCTGGTATGCAGAGGCTGCTCAAACGCATGTCCAACTGGTTGCAGAGGGTGGCAGAGGAGTGAGGCAGGGGAGGGTGTATGCGTGTGTGTGTGTATCCAGATCATGTCTTTGTGGGGGCATATCTGACCTTACCCAAGCTTCCTCCTCCCACATCTTTAGGGTCTCACCTGCCAAATTCCAGTCTCACCTAAACCAGTCCTTCTTGGTCATGCTGAAGGTAGATCGTCTCACCTCCTGGGACAAGAATCAGCCAGGTGGGCTGTGGCCAGGGGAGCTTTCTCCCTTTTTCTTTTTTTCTTTTTTTCATGATACAGGGTCTCATTCTGTCACCCAGGCTGAAGTGCAGTGGCATGATCACTGCTCACTGCAACCTCTGCCTCCTGGGCTCAAGTGATCCTGCCGCCCCAGCCTCCCAAGTAGCTGGGACTACAGATGCACACCACCACGCCTGGCTAATTTTTGTATTTTTGGTAGAGATAGGGTTTCTCCATGTTGCCCAAGCTGGTCTCGAACTCCTGGGCTCAAGCGATCTGCCAGCCTTGGCCTCCCAAAGTGTTGGGATTACAGGTGTGAGACATGGCGCCCAGCCAGCGGTGCCTTCTGAAGGCAATGAGTTCCTACCTCTGACCTCTGGACTTTGGGGTAGAAGGACCTGGTAGGAGAGGAAAGCAACTCCTTGAGACAAGGGGGATATTGTCTGGTTGGGCACCTGGCTGACTTCACATGGCCTACAAGGAATAGGACTTGAGTAGTCCCTGCTCCATTCTCCAAGTCCAGCATATGGAGATGGCCTGCGGATGAGCCCTGGCTCTCCTCCAGGCTGGCTGTCTGACCTTGGGCAGGCCCCCACACGTGATCCTCTGTCCTGCTCAGGTTGAGGGTGTGTGATCTCTAAGGACCCTTTAGGACCCTGTGATACCCAATATATTCACATACAGCAGCCACCAGGCAGGTCTCAGACCCATGGGTCTGCATTCAGAGGCCCTTCCAGGCTGGCTCAAAGACTCCTCTCAGGCCCAGCTGCTGGGCCAGCCTGTCCCATGACAGTCCTGACTGCACCACCCACGGGCCTCTTGGGGCCTCAGTTTTCTTTGCCATCCAAAAGGGAGTGCTGTGAGGATGAGCTGACATGCCACATGGAGGGTGCCTCAGTGAGGGTGCCTCATTGCCACATGGGAGGCCACAGCCCCGTGAGGGAATGTCTCTGAGGTATAAGCAAGGGAGAGACGGTCATCAGAATTTTGAGTCAATTTCTGGAGGGGAGTAACCTCTGCAGACAAAATGCAGCCTGAGTCTAACCAGAGGGCGATGATGGTGGGATGAAACAATCATAACAACAGTAAACTCCAACAGCGTGACCACCCAACAGGTCCTATTATTGGCTGCATTTTCGAGATGAAGAAACTGTGCTTCCGAGAGGTTAGGAAAAGTTTCCAAAGTCACACAGCCCTGGCATAGCAGAGATGAGATTCGAACCCAGGCCGTGTGACTCCAGAACCTGTTCTCTTAGCTACAACTGGACACTGAATGAAGAGATGGACTAGAACCAGCCTACAGACTCTCAAAGGGCTCATTAGAGTCCTGAGCTAATGTGCAAAAAGGAATGGCATGATTGATGCTAAGGACTGGTTCTGCTTGGACATGCTGAGGGCCTCGGGGAGGCACCCCCTGTCTCCATCTTCAATCTTCCTTCCAATGGAGGGGTCAAGCAGATGACCTCTAGGAATCTAGGGTTTGTAATTAAGAGCATAGTGGTTGGAAAAAAGAGCTTTAAAGGTGCTGGAACAAATCTTTGATGGGAACAATCACAGGTCTAAGGATGAAAAGACCTGAGATGTTCTTGATGTTCACCACCTCATTACACCAATGGGGAGACTACGGCCCAGAACACACCCAAGACCCCCCCTCACCCACTACCTTGCCTCATCCCTCCACTACTAAGTGGCAGAGCCATTTCCAGCAGTCACCCCAGAGCTCCCTGGGTCTTAGAGCAGCGGCTGCTGAGCTGGATGTATAGCCCCCACTTCAACCCCATCTGCTTCCCTCTCTCTGGCCATGCCCGCGTGTGTAAGGTGACCACATGGCATGCATGCCCAGCCTGGCCAGCAGCAGGGACCTTCCTCCACATGCCCGAGCTCCTGGCTGCAGCAGGCTGGCCCCAGGCCCAAGGAATGAGCTCGGCTCCCTGCCAGGGCCCCAGCCACGTGGTTTCTCTACTTCCCCAGGTCGGGCCCCTCTGGAGAACTGAACACTTCATACTTGGAGCAGAACAAGGCCCAGGAGGAGAACGAACAAGGCTCAGGAGTGAGACTCTGCATATTCTCTTGGCCACAACAACTCAGAGGAATAGAGCTGAGGAAGGGACGGTCCTCGCCACCACATCCAAAGCAGGATGCCAAGGAGAACGCAAAAGGCCATCTCCTCCACTCTTCTGCCTCCAGGAAGTGTCCGCCCCAACGTCTGCTCCAAGGGGTGTGATACAGGGGCAGGGAAGCAAGGAACATCTAGAATCCAAAGTTCCACTCATGCTTCTAAGGCTCAGGTCCCTGGTCTGCAAAATAGTCAGCACTGTCCCACTCACCTGGCAGGGCTGGGCTGAAGAAACGGTGAGATGTTTCTAATCCAACCCCTGGTCAACTCTAATGTGCCATCACTACACTAGTTAGGGTTTATATCAAGAGTGGGAATATTTAGTAATCTCTAGAAGGAGCCCACAAAAGGATCCTGGAGAACTTCTATCAGGTGGACATTCTCCAAAGCCTGGAAGTTCCTGCTTAAGTCTAACCTGCATCCTTCCTACTGCACTTGAAGCAGCCATATTCTTTTCTAGGTGTGCAGGCTCCAAGCGTGCTGACATGGAAAGACCCCTTGAGGTTTCCCAGCACCCTCCTCTCGTGGTCTAAACACGTTTTTACCCTGCTCTCCTGAAATCCACTAGGAAATCTACTCAAGAAAAGTCACCTCAGGGAACAAGGAGAAGATAGGAAGGCAGAGTTCTCTCCAGGATTCCAGGGGCACCAATAGCCTGGGTCAGCTCTGGCTCACATCTGGGTCACTGGAGACCACACCCCCAGCTCATAGCATCACCTCAGCTAAGAACCTTAATCTGCTTTGGCCTCAATTTCCCTACTTGGAAATAGGAATTCTCTGTCACTTGGCTGCCTGCTCCCTGTAATCTGAGAACTGGAAAGAGCCATGAACTTGAAGCCCAAATGCACCGTGTTAGAAGCCCTGCCTCCTCCCAGAGGACTGCGTGGCCTTGGGCAGGTCCCAATCATCCCTGAGCCACACCCCAGGGAGTCAGTGCCAGGGCAGGGCCCTTCCAGCTCTAAGCTTCAAGGTCTTCCCTCCGGACTCATTGCACGAGGCCAGTCTTGGCAGGCCTGGCCAGGGGCTATGAGAAAAGCTGTGCATGGTGGCCTGCACAGCCATCCCAGCGGGCTTGAAAGTACATTTGGATAAGACAGGTAGGACTCACTGCAGCATCTTCCTAGCCTGCTCGTAGAGACCCTCGGCTGGGAAACATGGCTCAGTCTCTCACTGTGAGTGACACTGAGCCATGCCCAACAAGCCAGGACAGGAAGGAGAAACCGATTCAGCTCCAGCCAAAGGTGGTAACATTTTCTATCTGGACCCCTCCTCAGAAAACCACAACACATTCTCTTAGCAGGAGGTATGAGGAGGGCTAAGAGCTGTGGACCAAGCTTTCCTCTGGAGGTTGAAGATGGGAGCAGAGAGAAGAGGGAGCCCTGTGGAGAGTACCCTGTCCTGGAAAGCAAGTGTTCTGGGTTCAAGTCTTGACTTTGCCAACAACTTGCTGTGAGACCTCGGGCAAGTGTCTTGCCCTCTCTGGGCTATGTCTGCTTATCTGTCCAAAAAAGAGTTTGGGCCAGGCCATCACGAAGGTTCCTATAGCTCTGAGGTGCTTTGGCCACCACTGTCTCTTCCTCAGCTCCCATTAGGAAAAGACTCACACATCACCCTTCCAAATTAAGATACTGAGGAGGCCGCAGGCATGGGCCCGAGGTTTTGCCTGCTGGGGAAAGACCGACTACAGCAAAATCATCACCAGCCCTGCCAGACATGATGCCAGCTGCGATCTGGCATGAAGGAGTTCAGCTCATTCCCCTGTCACTTCCTCTTCTTAATAAGTGCCTAGAAACTGCCCGGCCTAAAGCTTGGATAAGGAGGAAAAACCACTCATGACGGGAGCCCCCAACCCCACCATGGAGTTCAAGGGGTTGGGAGCACCAGCAACAGAGGGATGGCCCTAAAGACTGTCCACGGTCTTCAGGCTGAGAGCCATGGCGGACTCAGAGGCCCAGCGGAGACAGAGACAAAGCTGTAGGGACTCAGCCGATGTGAAGTCCCATTACATACACATTAAATCATATCTGACACAGATCTTGCCGATTTGCTGGCCACGGCGGCTGGAACAGAGTCGAGGGTATTTTCACAGCTCTCAAGGGTATTGCATGGGCCTAGGGCTGAAAAGGTGTTTCCCTCCACCCACATCTGACACCCCGGTGCCAGGGAACACACCTGTCATGGAGGTCAGAGCCTAGTCTTAGAAAGTTAAAGGCAAAAAGCAAGGAAGCAGACAGAAGTTCTCAGTCGGGCAAGGGTTCAGAGGGTCTATGGACAAATGGCTTTGACAGTCTAAGCCTCAGTTTTCTCATCTGGAAAATGGGGATAATCAATCCCGCCTCAAAGGTTCACTGGGAGAATCGCATGTGGTTCAAATACTATGCACACCAAGGGCCTCAATACACATTGCTTCCTTTCGCTTGCAGGGGGCTTAGGGTGGCAACCATGCCCTCTTCCGGTTATTTGTCCTGTTTATTGATCGTCTCTACCCTTAAAATTTGAGCTTCATGACAACAGAGATTTTTGTCTGTTTTGGCTACAGTGTTATCCCTAGCGCCTGGCATAGAGTAATATATTCAACCAATAATCTTTGGTCGAGTGAGGAATGAATGAGTGGCTTTATCTCACACAGGCAGGATAATGGGACCTCAAAACTGGGACTGCTTTCTAAGCCAGGCCATGAACAGGGTGACTTTCAGCTCCAAGAAGAACACAGGAACACGGCAGGGAGAAGGTGTATGAAGGGGCTGCCGGGAGGGGAGATGAGGAGGATGCAGAGGATGGGGTGGAAGGGGGAAACTGAGGCATGGCCCTGCTGACATTCCTTGTTGTGTCCGGTTGGAGAAGAGGCCATGACATGCCCAGGCTTTCCTGGGTCTTGCCTCTTCCATGCTCAGGAGACTCCGGACCCCAAGCTCTAAACAGCTGCACTCTGGCACTGGAGTTGAAAGCTCTGGCTGTGTTCTAATCCAACTCTGACACTGAGCAGCCATGTGACCCTGACCTCATCATTTACCTCTCCGAGAAGCGATCTCATCTGTAAAGCAGCAATGCCTGGCTCCTAGGATGCGTCTGAACAAATCCCCCAAAGGTGACCCTGGAGGCTGGCCTGAGTGTTGGGGTAGGGCCCAGCTGAGATCACCTAAGCAAGTCAAATGCTCCCACTCTGCAACTTAAACCATGGGAAACCAGACCCAGCAAAGGTGAAGTCATTGGCTCAGTGTCACACAATACAGAGATCCCCTCAGCCATTCAGGAAATAGGAACAAGGGCTGCTCCATTTATTGAGCACTTACTAAGTGACAAGCACAATGATCTTAGGAGCCATACTATTGTTCCCATTTCTCAAAAGAGAAAACTGTGGTTCAGAAAATTTGAACCAAGCCTGCTCATTCCCCAGGGCCTTTGCCTTGAAAGCCACACAGCTTCCACGCCACCTCATTGAGAGTCTTCATAAAGCGAGGGAGACTTTCTGGACTAACTTATCCAATATCCCAACCCCCAAGCACTCCCTGTCTCCCTATCCTACTCTCTCTTAGATTCAGCACTACTTAACCTTCATTTAATCGTTCATTCTTCCATTTCCCCATTCAGTGACTGTGCATCTGTCTGTCTGCCCCAAGACAGTGGGAACTTTGTCTCATGCACTGCTCCGCCCGAACGAAGCACAACGCTTGGCCCATAGTAGGCATTCAACAGATATTCATGGGATGAACAGATAATCACTGGATGAATGAATCACCTTGCCTAAGGTCACGCTGGTTTGAGGGACAACCCCAGGTGCCAGCCCAGCCCTCTCAGACTCCAGGTCCTTGCCCTGAAGCCGGGAGCATCAGGTGCTGCTCCTTGCCCAGGTCTATGTGTCAGGTGTTGGACCTTAGAGAAGACTGCCTGTCCGGGCCACAGAGGGGTCTGGGTTGGGGGCGGAGGGACCTCCTCTGTCAGTTCTTTGAGGTCAGAACCTGTTTCTTTCTTTTCTTTGTTTTTCCTCTTTGGTCCCCAGAGGGCCCAGGTAAAAGGCTCCAACAGTTAACAGGCCCATCAGTGGCAGAATCACAGAGAGGCCGCTCTGAGCACTCTCGAATGCTCCAGGCCTCCTCTTCATACTCCCTTCCTCACCAACCACCAGCGATGGCAGGCCCAGACTTGGGCTGACCATGGTTCCAAGTCAAGGAGTCAACCTGCAGGGCAGTGGCAGAGGGACCCTGGATATCTCACTCTGCCTCTCAGAGCCTCAGTTTCCCCCTTCTCAATAACTGGAATGAATGACCTTCCTTCCAGGCAAAGAGTCTAGGGAACCTATTTTTATAATATGACTGCCAGCTGGGGACCCTGAGAGGCTGCCTCAAGCGGCCACTGAGATCAAAGACCCCGAGCATAGACAAACTGAGTTCAAATCCTGGCTACATTGTTTACTCCTCCTGAAACCCTGGGCAAGTGACTTAATCTCTCCATGCCTTGGCTCTTTCTCCATGTTCTGCACAGGTACAAACAAGGGGCAAACAATTTCCTCCCATGATGGGGAGTCATAGAGAGAGCTGGTGGATTGGGGGTCACTGCTGAGCCCCTCTTTGGGTCATGCCTGTGTGGCCCTGCCCATACACCCCATTGTCCTCTGGCCTGGTGTGTGCATGAGCAAACTGGACAGAGCAGAATGACACCAAGACAACATGGAGACTGAGTGTTCCCTGAGATGGGAGCACAGTCACCTGGTCTGGCCAAGGTCCCCCGGTCACAGCAGACCCACAGACACAAATAGACAGAAGCCCCCAGACACAGAACTGCACTGGAGAGCCATTGCTGCCCACACGGAGAGAGGAGCCAACCCCAGGGAGGCCCAGAGCCCACGGAAGCCCCAGTTCCAGCCAGGCCCCAGTCACGCTGTGTGCCAGCAGCAGGTCCTGTGGCCAGGCAACCCCACATGCGGCCCCCACACTCAAAGCAGGGGGAGAAGCAGAAGATGCCAGGCAGCAGGTGGCCAGGGCAGCGTGGCCGTGGGAGGTGGGGTTCCCCGCTAGAGTCTGCGTAATAGACACGGAAAATCTTTACCGGCATACCCATCTTGCCCCTCTTGCCAGGAACACCAGGCAGGCCCTGCAGGGGAGAGACAGGGTAGACGTCAGGGCAGGATGCTAGCAGGGACAGTCAGGCTTGCCCCAAACCAGCCCAGAGCCACCCATGGCAGGAAGTCACAGAGGGCCTGCAATGTGCGCCATTTGCGTGGCAGCCCCAGTGACATGCATGTTGGACGGATGGCAGGGTCGGGGTCTGTGGTGACCTAAGAGACAGAGAAATGCCAGTGTTCCTATATTCAGCAGATGCTTCATAAATGCCCAGGCTCCAGCTGTCCTAAGATTCTCTATACCCAGCTTATGGAGGTTACAACTGAGTTCCCATAGATACGGGCTCAGGTTGGGAGGGGGCGGGGAGGAAGGTCCCAAGGCCACCACCCCAAGGGCTTCTAATGGACCTCCAGGCTGGGCCAGGGGTCCGTGAGAAGCTCCCACACCATCTTTTGGACTCCTCTGACTTTGATACTTGATGTGGAAGGATAGGTATCTTGGGAAATCTTAGCACTCACTGCCTGTCACCAAACCAGCCCCACCACCTTCCCCAGACAGCTGCTCCGCCTGGGAGTCCTCAGCTCTTCACAGACCTCAGGGCCCAAGCAGAGACCAGGTTTCCAGCCCAGTCTCCCCTCCCCACTGTCCCTCACCTCTACCCCGGTCCACGGCCCCCAGCCAGCTACACCCACACCATCTTGTTCTCAGGCTGCTGGAATTCCTGCCACCTGCTCTTACTGTCCCCACCCCTCACCAACACATTTTCCTCAAGTAAACCAACTGATCTGTCTAAAAGAGGAATCAGCAGATGGTTTCTGGAAAGGGGCAGATAGTGAATATCTTTGGCTCTGCGGGCCATAAGGTCTCTGCCACACCTACTCAACTCTGCCATTGTAGTGAGAAAGCGGCACTGACAATATGTAACCAAATGAGCGAGGCTGAGCTCAATAAAACTGTTTGCAAAAACAGACAACTGGCTGGATTTGGCCCATGGGCCACAGTTTGCAGACCCCTGATCCATACTATAAAGTGGGCCTGGTGTTCATTGGTTGCAAGTCCTCAAGAGGCTCCGCATACCCTCAGAACAGAGTCCCTTTCCTGACCTGAGTCCTGGTCACCTAGGACATTGCCCCAGGGCCCTCTCCAGCGTCAACTCCTACCACTCTCACCCTCTCACGCAGCACTTTGGTGGTGTTGATTGTTAAACTCGCCAAGTTACCGTAAATCCCTGACTTTGCACATGCTGCTCCCTATGCCTGGAACGCATCTGCCTTGACTTGTCCTCTTATCAGACTCCTACTCGACTCAAGTGCACCTCCTCCAGGAGGAATTCCTTGACTTCCCCAGGCTGGTGCCTGGCAGGTCCTGCTCTGCTTAGGCACGGGTGGCTGGTGGATGGTGAATAACCAAAGAAGCAAACTTACTCGCTCTCCATCAGACCCTGGCAGGCCGAAGAGCCCTGGGAGCCCAATGTAGCCCTAGGAAAGAGAAGAAGTGGGGTCACAGAGGTCAAGCGGTGAGGTGTGGCCGGCCCAGCCTGCCCCAGCCCACCCACCGCTGCCATCCCACATCCCGGCTCCTCCTCTTCCTCCCCAATGGCAGTGGCAGCTCCGGTGGCTCCTCGATGACATAGGCCTTGAGGCAAGTGTATATGCCCATGGACTGCATGGTGCTGGCTTCCACGATGTAGTCCAAAGGCACATACCCTCACGCCAGGGAAGGGCGCGGGCGCTCGCCGACAGGAGGCCCGCCCCGCGCCAGGGCTCCAGGACCTGCAGAAGGAAGCTTGCGGCTGGGTTAGATGCTAGCATGGTACCAAGCCCTCCCCACCCCCAGGGATGCTGGCAGGTGCCCGTGGCTCCTGCCACGGCTCCTCCTAAGTCTTCAAGGTCCTGGATGTAGGACTTACATTCACCCCTGGCGGCCTGAGTGATGGCATTAACTAACAGCGGCTACGAACCCGGAGTGCCGACATTGTGCCAGGCACACGCATGCTACCACATTAGACTCTCACAAGGACCCCCAGATTGTCATCACCCATACTGGACAGATAAGGAAACTGAGGCTCTGTAGATAAAGCAACATGACTAGTCAGTGGTGGAGCTGTGAATTCTCTTCAAGGAATTCCTAATCAGCTCAAGGGTCACCTAAATCCAGCTGACTCCGCAGCCGGGGCTTATCACCATTCTGGGGTTCTTCCCTAGGGTGACTCTCATCTCCTCCCTCCCAGCCTTTCCTCACTGTGTCCCCTCCACCAGGCATGTCCCTTCCATCCCTCATGACTTCTGAGCCAAATCCTCCAAAGCCCAGCTCTCATGAGCTCTCCTTGGGCAAGCACCCCGACACCCCAAGCTAGAAGCAATCTCTACCCTCCATCCCAATGCCATTTTTGCACCTCGGTAGCATCCTTCCCCACTTTCTCCCTGGTATCTTCATTATTTGTGTTCATGCTTCATGTCCTCATTAGTCTGGGAACTACTTAAGGGCAGCGACCTCGCCCAGGGCTTCTGCCACTATCTGCATGCCACTCTTTGTGCAATGATTTAATAATAACTCTAACCAAAGCTAATGTTTATTGAGCATGAACGACAGGCCAGGCCTGCTGTCAGTGCTTTGCATATATTAAAGCGTTTATTCCATCCCCGAGGAAGTGCTATGTTTTATTAATTATATATATATATTGAGACGGAGTCTCACTCTGTCGTCCAGGCTGGAGTGCAGTGGCGCAATCTTGGCTCACTGAGACCTCTGCTTACCAGGTTCAAGCGATTCTCCTGCCTCAGCCTCCTGAATAGCTGATCACAGGTGTGCACCTACTATTTACTTTTGTAGAGATGGGGTTTCGCCATGTTGACCAGGCTGGTCTCGAACTCCTGGCCTCAGGTGATCCACCCACCTTGGCCTCCCACAGTGCTGGGATTACAGGCGTGAGCCACCGTGCCCAGCCACAAGGAAGTATTATTACTCAGCCCCCTGTAGAGGTAAGACCATGTAGGCCCAGAGAGGTGAAGTAACTTGCCTAGGACCACACAGCTGAAATGTGGTAGAACTGGTATTCAAATTCAAGTCTTCTGACTCCTGGGCCTGGGCTCCTAACCACTCTGCATACTGCCTTCCCTCAAACAAGCAACCCAGACGCTCACAACCATCTCTCCTTCGCTGGAAGGCCAAGAGGCCACTGAGCCTCCTTGTTGGCATCCAGCATGATTAATATCCATAATCTGAAAGAGTGCCATTTGCTACCATTCCAAATAGGGCTTATCTCCCAGATTTACAGGTGAGAAAATCATTGGCTCAGAGAGGCCCAGTGACTTGCCCAAGGTCCCACAGCTAGCTGAGGGCAAGGCAGGTCTCAAAGCCTGTCATCCCGATTCCAAAGCCTGCCCTCTGCCTACTTCAGAAATATGAGGCTGGTGGTGGCAGGGTTGGAAGGACAGCTTGAGTGACTCACTGCTCACCCAGGCTGCCCATCCAGGGCTGTGTGGCCTGTAAGAGACAAGAGTGCTGGGGCCAGACCAGTCCTCTCCTGCTATGTGGCTTTGAGATGCCACCGGCCTGGCAGGCAAGTCGAGCAATGCCAGATGTCATTAACATGCCCTGTCCTTCTGGCAGATCAGGAGATCAGGACTAGGGCCGGACTGAGAAGACCTTTCTCCCTGGATTTAGGGGGTCCCTCTGGGGGCACAGCCCATGGGAGCAGCAGAATAAAGGAAGAGGTCCAGCATCCTGGGACAAGAGCCTCCTCAGGCCCTGCCTATCACAGTAACCTCCTGGGGAATGCAGCTACCAGCTCCCACTCCCGCCTCCCCATGCTCTCCTAACAGCCACCAGTCTGCTGCAGGGATTAGGGCTGAGACTGCAACCATTCCGTCCTCTCCCTCCTGCCAAAATATAAATAGCTTTGGCTCAGGAGCAAAGGATACATGATCTGTCCTGACCAAGGACCGTGTGACCCCATTCCTGAGCATTCCTTGAGAGGCAGCAAGTCCAGGCCTCAGAACACCTGGGTCCTCATCCCAGATCCACCTTAGGCATGCAGTGTAAGCTGGGGCTATCCAGGCCCCGCCATGAACCCAGTTTCTTTGTATGTAGAAGAGAGGATTCCATCACACCAGCTCTAAATCTTTCCAACTCCATTTACCCCATTCAGTCCACCCAGAACCTTCTCTGTCTTCGCACGACCCACATGGGAGTCCCCACCTGTTGGCCCCCTCCTGAGCTGTCAAGTCAGCTTGACATAACCAGGCTACAGGTACAGATGGACATCATGACCATGGTAAAGGTAGGCAAACTGAGGCTGATCGCTACTCAGGGTCTGCTCCATGGGGGCCTTGAAGAAAGGGGAGATCTGGAAGCTCCACCAGGCTGCAGGCATAGGTAGCATTCACACACCGGGTGCCCTCCAAGAAGAGTGGATCCCCCCAGCCCTCAGTTGGGAGCAGGAGGGAGGTCTCTGAAGATTCGACGACAAGCAATTCAAGTGGCCCATACTGGCTCTCTTGTAACTTGGGGATGAGCCAGGAGACACAGCAAACAAATGCCTAGTTGTTTGTAGCTGGACTGTGGTCAAACCCCCAGCACAGTCTTTGCTGCCCAGACTTCTTGGCCATGGGGACCAAGCAGCTTACCTGGCTCAAGGGTCTCCCATCACCCAGCCCTCCTGCTGCCCCTCTGTTGTCCGGGAGCGCTCAGGTGGGAGGGCCTTGGCTCTCCTTATAGTTCTGACCTCCCATCAAGCCCACTGGTGGGACAGGTGATGCTCACCTAGAACCCCACCCATGTGGCACTGGCCAGGAACCACTTACCCTGCTGCCTTTGGGGCCGGGATCTCCTACCGGTCCAGGTAACCCCTGAAACACAAAACACAGAGGGGCAAGGACATATGGAGACGCTCTACCTGCTGCCAATCCTGGGGTGAGTCCTTCCTCTTTGGGGCCTCTGCTGCTCTCTTTGTAGAATGGGGGTGGGGTTAGATTAGCAGTCTTTGGCCTGACCCCCACAACCCCAGGATCCCAGGGAGGTGGCTGGTGGGTAGGAGGGATACTGAGTGGGAGGAGCCTCTGGAGCCCCAGCCCCACAGAATCAGACCTCCTCTTACTATGCAGCCTCATCCTGTGCCTGCAAAGACAGGCTTCCTTGGTCCAGCCACCCGGAAAGTCCCCTCCTTAGGGTCCACCCAGCAGGTGCAGCTCCTTGGCCCCCAGCCCACCGCCTCCCTCTGCCTCGGGGCACCTGTGGCCATCTCCACATCACCATGGCCACAGAGCTTCCAGAAGCCATATACTGCACCTGCCTGCCAGGGTAACCTTTGGCCCCTGGGCTGCCCTCAGGTCCTGGCTGCCCCTGCAAAGGAACAGAGAGAAACATAAGGAAAGGAAAACCCTGCCTGGCTCTGGGTCTGGGGACCCTAGGAGACTGGGGCTGGCAACGAACAAAGAGAGGGGCAGGAACGTGAGAGGGAACAGGAGGAAGGGTAGGGCCCCCAAGCCCACCCCTCTGTGAAACCGGTCAGACCAGCTCCGAGGGACAAAACCCCCTCTGCTTGCAGCCCAGGAATAAGAAATCACTGAGGAGGCCTGGCTGGTTCTCCCATGCTGGCAGGGCTGCTGTTTGACTTGGGCCAGGCCAGCCAAAATTCCTGCAAACCCCGTGGTGGCGTGTATAATATCCCCTAACATCGCCCGGAACAAGCCAGCTATTCATGGCTCCAACTGGCGTTGCGCGGCTCATGCCAACATCAGGCCGGCATGGACTCTGGCTCTTTTGGGCAAATGTGGCTGGGCGAGAGAGGTGGGGTGGGCTGGAGTGGGCTGGAGGCCCCAGCAGGGTGAGAGGCAGAACAGCCTGGCTCTAGGCTGGCTCACAGAGCAAGATCTAGGGAGGGAGCCAGAGACAGGTAGGGGTTGGGAGGAGGGACAGCGACCAGGGCAGGGCTGAGGCTGAGGCCCTCACCTGTTCTCCGGGGTGCCCTGCCGGTCCAGGATAGCCCTTGTGTCCCTGTAGGGGGAAGAAGCTGCATCAGGCAGGGAGGACACATCTGGGCCTGGAAATTGCAAGAGCCCAGCCTCCCGGCCTGCTCTGTTCAGCACCGTATGTACTGCGTCCAGGATGGAGTGTGCGCTCAGTAAGCGCTCCCCAGATGGATGCAGATACCATGTGACGGTTCGCATATTCCCAAGGTTTTCTCTCTGCTCCCAGTGGCTCTTAGGCAGAGGACATCATGGGGGTCATTCACTGCTCTGGCAGAGGTGGTGAGACGAACTGGAACAGAGCAACTGCGACCAAGAGACAGTGTATCGCAACCATTCGTTCTGAATCCAGAGATAAGGTGAGACCATCTCTCAGGGCTAGGATTTGTCAATGGAGGAGTAGACTGAGTAGGACTCGAGGTCTGGAACGTGCTGAGCAACCACATCACACGTGATGCTAGGATTCCCTCCCCTGTCAGGACCTGCCCCTTCTCATAAAGCCCCCATCACAGGCCTTGACCACATTTATTAACCCAAATAGCTGTTTCCCTTCTCCCACTGGCCCCAGCTCCTATTCCAGGGAGGAATAGGCCACCCAGATACTAATGAGAAGGACTCTGGCAATGCCCCAGTACCAACTTTGACCCTCTGTCCTGATGGCCCAAAGACTATGGTGTAAGGCATGTCCAGGCCGGGCCTCTGGGTGAGTGGAGAGAACCAAGCTGAGTGTGTGCTTTCAGGTGGCACAAGGTATAATCACCTGAGCCATTTCATAAGAGTAAGGAGGTTTCCAAAGGAAACCTCACACTTCAAGTTTCCATCAGCTGGGGGGCTTCCACTGTACACAGGGTAGCCACACTTATCCATGTTAGACCCTCTTATTCAGGGAGCTCTGGGATTGGTTTAGATGCTGCCCCTAACTTACTATGCAACTTTGGGTGGGTTACTACCCTTCTCTGAACTTCAGATTAGGGAGTTAGAACTCTGAGTCCCCTTCAGCTCTGATGTTTTAGAGGCCCAGAGTTTGAAGACTCCTCCAGAGTCTAAAATACACACACCAGACTAGAACACACACACTCCCGCATGCACGCTCAAACCTGTAGACCCTCTCTATGCACTGCCATTTACCCAGGACTACATGCATAACAGATGACTTCATCTACTCCTTCCAACAGTCAGATGAGCTGGGGTGGGGGGCCGACTGTCATCTCCATTTTACAGAGGAGAACACTGAGTCTCACAGAACTGAAGATGCCTGCCCTGAGTCCCATTGCTAACAAGCCACAGGCACTCACTACCAGATCCTTCTGACATCTGGAGCCACACTGGGAACCTTGCAAACATCCCCAGACATGTGCAGCTCCATGCACACGCACAAACACACACAGGCATACACACTCAACACCCCCATCAGCCCCCAGGAGGTGGGGACTCTTCATTATAAACAGCAGAGTCAGTTTGATCTAAGAGGTCTGGAGAGTTTACAAGCATTCTTTCTGCACCTATTCATGTCTCAAGAGCCCTCAGTGACATGATTGCATCTCAGATCCAGGGGCCTATGGAGATTGATGCAACAAGGTTGGGTGAGATTCTTCTAGCTGGGGCGTGTACTTTTTTCCCCAGTGGGCAAACCGGGGCATACAACCTCTTGTTTCAGACCCATCTGGATTCCAGTGCTGCTCTACTAACTGGCTGTCTGGGTGACCCAAAGCCAATGACTTCACCTCCGAGAATCTTGTTTTCCTCAATTATAAAATGGGGCTACAAAGTTGGAGCAAGGATGGCAGGATAGAAAGTGTGTAAAGCACAGTATTTGGCATTGGATTCAAGGGTGCTGTAAAGGTTAGCTGCTGTTATAATCTTCATTTTTCATTCATTCAATAAACATTTACTGAGTTTTCATGCTCCAGCCCCATTCTAGGCACAGGAAGAATGAGACAGACAACATTCTTTGCCCTAAAGGAGTTTACATTCTAATTAAGGAGGTAAAAAACAAAGTGAACATAGAAATAACATCTGGGCTGCAAGGAGAGAGGAATGGGGAGTTGCTCAGTGGGTACAGTTTCAGTTTTGCAAGATGAAACATTTCTAGATATTGATTGCACAACAGTGTACCTAATGCTATCGAACTGGACACTTAAAAATGGTTAAGATGGTAATTTTACGTTATATGCTTTTTAACCACAATTAAAATAAAATCCTTTCAGAAACAGGGAGAAAATGTCTAGTAGTGATCAGTGCTGTGAAGAAAAGGAAGTAAAGTTATGGACACAGAATGCAGCACTGGGGAGGGACGGTGAATAGAGGATGGGATCAAGGAAGGCTGCTCTAAGGAGATGAATGGGATGAACACAGGGCCGGCTCCATGGAGAAAGGCAGTGCAGCAGAGGGAACAGCAAGTGCAAAGGCCCTGAGGCAAGAACGCCCTTGAGTGGCTTGGAGGGAACACAGGAAGGCCTGTATGACTGGAATAGAATGGGCGAGAGGGTGAAGGATGGGGGTGGTCGGAGAAGCAGGAGGCCAGAGCATGCTGGTAGTGATATGATGCAAAACCACAGAAGCGCTTTGAGCAGGGAGGTAGCGCGACAAGATGTAACTAACAGCCATGATCATCATTTTTCCACCTGGAGCTTGCAGATGAGGAAGAACAAGTGAAACCTTTTCCCAGTGAAGAGCTGAATGGAGCCTTGCACTCTTGGTTGTGTGACTCTGTATGGGTAATTATCCTCTCTGAAGCTCACTCTGTCATATTCTACCTGCCTGCAAAGATCCAATGGAGTAACAGAACAAGAATCCCAAGAGAACCATAATGTGGGGTCTAGGGGGCCCTTGGCCATCACCAGCTCCTATGGCTTCATCTGCAGCCACAAAAACCCTGCTGAAAACCAATTCTTCAGCCCCCATACCTCCCCACAAAGGAAGCAGAGGCATTTCTCCAGTGAAATCCCAGGAGAAGATTTCCAATAAACCCTCTTACTCAGGATGCAGCTAAATGGAAGTGAATGATCATCACCGGCAGGCACGGTGGCAGGCCCTATGCCTGGCTCAGCATTGAATCCTTTATATTTCAGTTCATGGACTCCTTGCTATCACCCCTAGAAGGCAGAAATTACCATACACATTTGCCAGTTGAGGAAACTGATGTTCAGAGAAGGAAAGAGACTTTGCTGAGGCCACACAGCTTTCTAGGGGCAGCGCCAGGCCTGTGACTCCAATCCCACATCCTTAGCCATCAAAAAGCATGGGATGAGACATGTTCATTGAGGCCTAAGGCCTGCCTAGAAGAGCCACAAAGCCACTCAAGGAGAGATCCCCTTATAGATGCCCTCCCTGGAATGAAAGTTTCACATCATTGCAGCATTATTCAGGCAGAGGTCGGTCATGAAACCCTGGAATAACTGAGTTGAAAGGGACCTAAACCATCAGTTTGGCAATCTCCTTTTTCATTGGACAGACTGAGAAACTGAAGCTCAGAAAGGGGAAGGGACTTGTCCAAAGTTACCTAGCAAGTTATGGCCAAGCCAATACTTTTCCCCAGACTCCAGACCCACTGGGATATGCAATTTCTAGGTATCTCTTGATCAAGGGACCCTGAAGGGCCTTGAACATTGCCATGAACACCCCAGTTTCTCCTGGATGGCCAGGAGCAGCAGAGCGAGCATAGCCAAGGTGGGAGGTAGGAGGCAGGAGGTGCTTATGCTCCCTGGAAGCATCTTAACAATGTTTACCAAGCTGGGGCCGGCAAATAGCTCCAAATGACAGGGCCCCAGACCTGCAAGAATCTAAACCATTATCTTGTGCTGCGCCCCACCAATTATGGGGCGGGTGCTGACCGCAAGGTGGGCCCGTGGGCAGTGACTTTCCAGTTTGTGATCGGTGCCTGACTGGCACTAAGGGAGAGGGAATGTTTCGGGGAGCTCCAGGGACCGTGGTGTCTGCAAGGGGCCTCTGGCTGCCCAGCAGGCGGGTCTCCACAGGACCTGTGTTTATAATAGAACGCGGTCTATATTTTGGTTTGGGAGCCAGATTAATCATTGCTTACAATGCGCAAGGAGAAACCAGACATCACCTCACTGTTGCTACAGACCGTCTCCCCGTCTGGCTGGGCTGCTTTCTGGGCTTTGGGCAGGGAGGGGAGGGGTCCTGTCCTTGCCTGGGGGTCCTAGGGACCAATATGTACTCAGACATCAGCTGTCCACCCAGGCTCCACCTTGGTCTGAGCAAGGCCTCAGCTCCCGTTGTAATTGAGCTGAAACTCACCAAGCTTGCTTAGCTCTCTGTGAATCTCTGCTGAACTTCCCTACCTCGTGGGCAGCCCACACCCCAGACTGGGCCATCAGCAGGACAGAAAGAATCAAAGAGTGAGAAACACATGACTAGAGTAGAGGGTCTTATTATGTGATGCTGGACAAGGTGCCTCTCTGGGCCTCAGTTTCCCCAGCTGGCCTCTCCAAGTGTCCTGTGGGCTCAGAAACTGTAGGATTCCAAAGTCTGTGGCTAGTCTAAAAGCACAGTCCATCATGACACAGTCAGGTGTCTGACACCAAACTCTGCTCCGTGGATACCTGAGACCGCTCCAGGCAAGAAGGTATATTTTCTGTATGGCTTATTGATTTATCCAGTTGTTCCTTCATCAAACAAATGTCTGCTGAACCCCAGCAATGACCAAGACCCTGTGTTAGGCACTAAAGATACACCAATGAACAGAAAAAACTCTCTACCTTCTAGAAAGGGATGTGGGCATTAAATGCATTTTAAGTGCAATGAAGAAGAATGCTAGAAGAATACAGATGCACCCAGCCACAGGAGGCGGCATTATAAACTGAGGCTTGGGGGAGGAGTAGGGCTTGGACAGGAGACACAGGATGGGATAGGAGGGATGCCAGTGGGTATGGGCTGTAGAATCAGGGGAGCCTGGAGAAGTTTCTCGGGGGGAACTATATGGAATTGGGGGTACCACACTCAGGCAGAATCGGGAGTTCACAGAAAGGCTGGAGATCGTCTCAGGCAGCCTCAATCACATTTCCCCAGACACACTTCCAGATAACCGCTGTGCTCTCCCATTTTATTACAGCTTCCCACAGATAATGGCCAACTCAGGCAGCATTCCTGCTGGGGGCAGGGTGGGGGCAACAGGAGGGAACTGAGGGGAAATCAGGCTGGAGAGAAGCAAGTCAGGTTTTGATTTGAGTAGCAGTTTTGTTCCATGCATCATGTCTATCTGGGGCAGTATGGTAAGAAAGATTCAGGGGCTGTCTCAGGGCTTGGCCAGAAAGATCAATTTGTGATGCTTGCCAGAGGTGAGGAGCGAGGGAGGTGAATGTGGTCAGCACCGCGCTAAGCCCCAGTGGGGAAACAAAGATGAACGGGTTGGGTTCTGTCCTCTGTCCAGTCTAAGCAATGTGTTGACACTAGTGGGTTGCCCACTAGTCCAAAGAGGCTGAGAAGGGAGGCCAAATGGTCAGAGAAGGGAGGGGTGACTTCTGCCTGGAGGTGCTGGGGAGTGCTCTTGGAGAAGATGCTATTCTCTAAGAACAGAGCCAAGGGGCAGGCACATGAGGTAAGTGTGGAGGAGAGGGCATGCCTGGGGAGGGCACAGCAGGAGCAAACACAGGGAGGCAGGAAGGCCCAGGGCACACGGGATTGGATGGGGCCAGGGTTTCTACACAGCAGGGGGCAGGGAGGCAGGAAGGCCCAGGGTACATGGGATTGGATGGGGCCAGGGTTTCTTAACAGCAAGGTTTCTCACCCTTGACTTTGTGGGCTGGACACATCTTGTATGTGTATGGGAGGGAAGGGCTATCTTGTGCATTGCAGGATGTTTAGCAGTATCTCTGGCTTCTACTCATCAGAAGCTAGTAGCACCTCCCTCCCAGTTGTATGTAATGGCCAAAAATCTCTCCAGACATTGCCAACTGTTCCCCAGGGGGGCAAAATCACCCCAAGTTGATAATTACTGGTCTCTAGGAAAGAAGGCAAGAGAGTTAGATGAGAGAGAGCATGGGAGGTGCAAATGGAGTTCTGGCAGCCTTCTTGGCTAGCGGGGGGCGGTTAGCTGGAAACTAGCAAAATGACTAGCACTACCAGATGGGCAAGACCTTCTTCAGATGCTTCTCTTCATGATCATGATCACTATTCATTCATTGCATACATGCATACAAAGTGCCTGCCGTGTACCAGCCCTGTGCTGAGTGCAGGGATATTACATCTCATTTAATCCTCCCAACCACCTCATGATGCAGCTGAGGCCCAGCAAGCTGAGGCGACTTGCCCAAGCTCACATAGCAGGAGAGCGACAGAGCAGGGATTCCACCCAGGTCTATCTAACCTGGTTTGCGTGTCTTCCTCACCTTGGGAACTGGCCCAGCAAAGTCCTTCCACAAGCATCTCAGGCAGTGGCAGAGAAACAAACCTTCTCAGGCAGGCAGGCTCTTTTTAACTGGATGGACACTGTCTTGCCTGAGAAACTGTTTCAGTCAGCCTTGTGGTGACAGAAAGGGCCTGAGGGTCAGAAGACCTGGGTTCAAATCCTAGCCCTGCAGCTTAGAAACCCATGGAAGGTATTTCCATTCAATTGGTGCCTCTCATTCTTGGCTGCAAGTGGGAACCACCTGGAGGCCTTTTAGAGCTACTGGTGCTGAGTCCCACTCAGACCAACTGAGCTAGAATCACCGTGATGGGGCCTGAGCTCCCTAGCTGGGAGCCACTGCTGTAGACTGCAGTCTCCAACCAAAACTCCCTTTCTCTTGCTGATTTTTCTCCATAGTCCTTTCTGTCTTATAGTGTACCTTTTATTTTTACTGTTTTTCTTTGTATTATCTATGTCCCCACGCCCAACAAGAATGCAGGTCCCAGGAATTTTTGTCCATTCAGCTCAGTGGCTGGCACATTACAGGCATTCAGTAATTCTTGTTAAATAAATGAATACATAGGATTATCCATGTTGCCTCAGAATGACATAAAAATTCAATGTGCTGGTGATCACGAAGAGGAAGCTGACCTCACCTCTTATCCACTCACCTCCTTTCTCCCCTCAAGGCTTCCCACAAGAAATAACGCAGAAAAGCCACACTACAGGATCAGAGCCAAGTGGCTGCTGTTGTCACCGAAGACGTGGGTGATAGGAGAGACCACCTACAATGGTGGCCCCAGGCACATTGCCCATGGCAGTAGTTCTCGTCTCTGATCTCCGCCACTGGTCAGGGGTCTCTGCCTTGGGACCTGAGCTCCCCGACGCTTCACCCAGCACCCTCTGTGAGCGGGTGACGCCAGCCTGCCACACACCAAACTCTACTGTGCATGTCTAGGCCAGGGCCAGAGGGGAACTCAGAGCAACTGGCTTTGCCAAATAGTTTTCCAGCTGCACAGTGGCTCTTCGTTAACTTGGAGAAGCTGCCTCTCCCTGCTCAGGTGAGCTGGTTCCTCTTGGTTGGGGGTCCTTGACCCCCTGGACATCTGCTTAATGCAAGGAGCCCTGGCACCCCGGGCAGGAGCTGGTTCCAGTCTGGTTTCCCTATCTCCTGTCACCTCTGCTAGGCTGCCACCCCCATGCAGAACAAGACCACCAGAGACTGCTTTATGAGCTGGGACCGGAAAGAGCCTTTTCCACTCACACCTCATCCATCAGAAAGCGCTAGAGCCCAGAGGGGAAGGAAGTGGGGAGTGCGAGTCCCTCTGTGTTCTCTGAGCCAGAAAAGACCATATTTCCCAGCTCACAAACAGCCACTGCTTCCAGGGTAGGCCTCTCAGGTTGGAGGTATGGCCTGCTCTGGCCATGGGGAAGGGAATGAGGGAACAAGATCCTGCAAGGCCCCCTGTGTCATGGGGCTCTCGAGGCAAGAACTGGGTGGAGCTGGGAGACACCCCAGCTGTCCAGATGAGAGCCAGATGGCCTAGAGAGAGTTCAGCTGTGACCACGGCTGGGAGCCAGGGCAGAAGCTTAAGGAACAGTGGTAGGCCGATGGATTCACCAGATAATCCATCAGCAGTTGGGGATTTTCTTGGAAAAAGCAATTGATCCTTAACCTGCATTGCCTTCCCCCCATTTCCTGAATACCTTCTATGCACAGGCTTCATGCTAGGTTCAGTAGGAAGAGCAACAAACCAGATTTGCACACCCTGGTTGGTGAGGCACACCTGGTAGCTCAAAATAACTAAGCCAAGACAGCTTAAGTGTCCTTGAGCAGAGAGGAGCCTCCTGGCCTGAAGCTGAGTGCTCCAGGGGGACTCCCGAGAGTAGGCACAACTAGAGTAGAGTCTTGAAGGAAGGGAGACACAGGCTGGAGGAGTCACAGAAATCCAGGGGGACTGTAAGCTACAGACCCACTACCTAGGAAATGCCGGTCTTTTCCCCACACAGGTGTTTGGACAGGTAACTCCCCAGCATGGCTGAAATGGGGATGGGATGCGGGTGACACAACAACAGCCAGGAAGGTACAGAGAACCCACTGCCTCTCCACATCATTCCCCTTCCCCTGCAGGGCATCAGCGAGGGCCACATAGTAGACTCTGAGAGCTCATTGACTTGCCCAAGGTCACCCAACCAGGAAATGGCAGAAGGAGGAACAGAACCCAGGTCCAACTGACCACAGGGTCCACTCCCTCAACTTCTCTGCTCCAGGCCTTGCTCCTGGTCACACAGCCCCAGACTGTGCAGGGTCAGAGATGGGGATCATTGTCTCCATCTCATGTAGGAGAAGGCTGAGGGGCAGAGACAGGACTTGCAGGCCCAAGGCAACTCAGCCAGTGGGCGGTGGAGCCAGGGTCAGCACAGGGTACTCCATCACCACAAGCTTTCTTGAAGGTGGCCTCCCTGGGAGCAGCTTGGCCCCCAAAACGAAGTACAGCAAACCAAGGATACTTCTTATGCTACCTCATTAACCACGGTGGGAGGCACCTACTGCAAGCCAAGGGATTCCCTGCCCCCAACAGGCACAACCCTTGGAAAGCTCTCTCCCGTGTGCCCTGTGCCCAGGGGAGCTGGGCTGGGGCTGGGGAGAGGCGGGTGGGCCCACAGCTCTCCTGCCTGAAACCTGGCTTGCTAGGAGGCCCACTGCACAAGGCAAAGCGTCAAAACCAAACAGTACCTTTCGTCCCGGAGGTCCTGGATTCCCGGACAGCCCAGGCAAGCCCATGTCACCCTGCAAGACACAGACAAGGCGGGTGAGGCAGGAAAACGGGAGCAGAGACACGCTGCTACACTACAAAACTGGAATTGTAACTTCCAATGGCTGGTTATTTCCAAATGAGATTCATGGAGTACTAGAGGCCTCAGAGGAGACTCGGGTGCTGCCCAGCAAGAAGAGTGGGTGGTGTACCCCGCCCTCTCCCACTCAACTCAGCCGCTCCGTCTGATCTATTTTATATACTGGGCTTCAGCAGAAGACACCACTTGAAGAACGGGTTCCGATACTAAAACCATGTTTGAAAACTGTGTTCCAGAGGACATGTGCCTTATCAGTCCCATATCAATCAGTCATCTCTCCCTGCAGTCCTGAGACACCTTCCCATTGCTGGGCATGCCGCTGGCCAAGCAGGGGGACATTTCTGCCACCACCCCAAGACCTGAGAACAGGCCACGCAGGAGCAGGAGAGAAGCCTGGGCTCCTGGGTGCCAATCTCATTTTGCCACTTACCAGCTGCATGACCTCCAGCAAGCCACCCCTGCCTGGGCCTCCGTTTTCTCATCTGTAAGCTGGGCCCATCTGCCCTGGCTCATGGGGTTCTGATGGGGGTCAAGTGGTAGTATACGGGAACACTCTCCTGGGACCCTGGGTCACCCAGTAAATATGTGCTAAGGGCAAACACCTAGCAGTGAGGATGTGAAGCAATAAGCCACCCGTGTCTTGGGGAAATCAAAGGAAGCAGCCAATTCTAGGTGCCTTTAAGCACAGGAGGCTGGGCTGAGAAGCAGTGTTCAATCCATTGGGATGGCTCTAGGGCTGTGTCCAGAAGGAAGCCAGGCAGACCCAGGCATTGCTTCCAGGGTGTCTGTGCCTGGAAGACTGACACTTTGGACAATCTCGTGTGGAGTTCTGGGCTCCCCTCTTCCCATCTGTCCTGCACCCTCTCCAAGTCCCTTGCTCAGTTTATGGGGTGGATGCTTCAGAGATGGATGAAAGCCTTTAGCCAAAGTGGTTTTTCTTCTGCAGGCAAACCTGGTTTCATAGCCCTTCAGAGTTAGGGAGCCCTGAATCTCCAGCCTCCTAGAAATCCACAGACCCGTCTGCTGGAGTTAACCTCAGGAAAGGCTTTGAGTGTCTATTGGAAGCTTTCTGGCCATGTGCTACCAAGAAACTTCTGGATGCCCACGGTCACCTAGCAGGCCCTGCAGAAAGCCATGCAGGACATTAGGTAAAAGGACATTCACCAAGAGCGTGTCCATAGGAGAAATCTTTTGTCAGTTGTGTTGGCTGCACTTTGGAAAGAAGGTGGCTGGGAATAACCTGGGGTGGGTTTGGTGTTGAGAGAGGCTAAAGGGCTTCAAGGAAAAAAACCACACCACACCCTGACCATTCTAGATGTTCCCACCTCACTGCCTCTGCCACGCATGGCCTCCGCCAGGACGGCTAGCCGCAGAGTGGGGTGATTTCACTATTGTCCACTCCCCTCTTCCCTGAGAACTGGGGTCCCTGGAAACCTACCTTTGCCCCATCGTGGGCCTTTCCTGGTGAGAGCCCTGGGTCCCCTTTCTGTCCCTGAAACAAAAACAATTCCACTTTGGCCACCAAGTCATCTAGAGAGGATGTCTGTCTCCCCACAAACTCTGCTCAAAGCCCTGCTCCCTTGCTTAAATGCCTTCCCATCCATCCTCCCACTCACACACCTCCAGAGGGTCTTCTCCAATTCCACTACTCCCCTGCTCTAACACCTTCCATAGCTCCCCCTGACTGCAGGGTGACAAAGTCCAAATTCCTCCTTCTGCTATCCCAAGTCTTCTGTAATCCAACCCGTCCCAGGCATCCTATCTAGACTCTGCTCTCCTTTCAGCAGCCAAACCCACAGAGAGGGTCCCTCTGCTCTATCCTCAAACCACAGCCCACTCCCCAGCCATGTCCCACACTGTCCTGCCTGTTGCTCAGGCAGTCACCTGCACCTAGAAACCCTTTCTCCAACCATCATTAGCCAAACCACAAACATTCTTCAGTTCACAGCTGGAATGTGTCCTCCACATCCTACTTGTAGAGCTCTGCGCCCATCCTCCAAGTGACCAGTCTCTGCCTGTGCACATGGCCAGGACTGTCTCCTGGCTTATTCCCCTGGGGCTCTCAGGAGTTTCTGAGAGACATGTCCAAGAGGCATGTCAATACTTTTTGATTTTCCAGAATGTTGATATCCATCTCATTGGTCTCTACATGAGGTTCAACGCACGAACAGCCACTTACACGTGTGTACGGCCCTTCACAGTTGACACTATCCCTCACCTCACTAGATTCCTATAGTCTAGTGAGGAATCACCCTGATTGGTGACTCCCAGACCTGCGTTCCAGGATGCCCTGGCTCCAGCTGGGTTACAATAGGCAGTAACTTGACGAGAAACTGACAAGCAGTGAGTCCCCAGTCAGAGGCAAGCACTCTTTGTTCCTAGCGTAGGGACAGTTCCTGTTGCACAGATCCTGGCTCCGGAGAGCATGGGGCTCAGGAAAAGGGCCCACAAATTCACCAGCCGCGTCTCTCACAGGGTGCTCCTGGCTGTGGCTCCTCTCCTTTGGCCAAACCTGATCAGATGACTCAGGAAACAGCTCTGTGGAAAGTCGGTCCACCCTGTGTCACCTTCTAAGAGCTCCTAATCTTTGTCCCCATTCCTATCCCACCTTGAGCCCTCTCCCCTCCCTGCCTCAGTTGGGCCCAGAGTCAGAAGTCCTGGACCTGCCAGACTCACAGTGGGACCTCAGGCAAGTCACTGCACCTTCCCGAGCCTCAGCTCCCTCACCTTTAAAATGGGGACCACACATGCGCACCCGCGCACCCACACACACATACACGCGCGCACGCACACACATGCACGCGCGCACCCAAACACACAAACACACGCCAGCTTCTCAGGTTTCCAGGCAAGGAGCCAGCGGGATAATGACCGTGGCACATGGGAGGGGTGGTTTGGGCAACTTTAATTAATCCCCACTCGGTTCTTTTCTTCGTTAGAACTCAGATGTTCCAAATCGTGACTCGGTCACCCTCCACCAGATATCACTGCATTCTGAACTAGAAAGTGCCTCTAGGAGGGAAAGGAATGAGCTTTTGCTGCTCACCTACTATGCACAGACACTGAGCTAGCCCCACTCTGTGCACCAACTCCTTTAGTCCTCATAGCACCCATTTGTTCCAAGGAAGGACAAAGGCGGGTTCAGAGAAGCCAAATCCCAGCCTGGGCTGGTGTTCCCTGGCAGGGAAGAGACAAAGGCTGAGTCTGTCCCCAGGCTAGGTCTGATTTCAAAGCCCCATTTGCAAATGGGAGACCTGGGTACTTCTCCCACACTCCCCCTCCCCCCAGCTACCCAAGGCTAAAAGTCCCCAGAACCCCAACTCTGTCCACCTGGGCCCCTCTAGGTCGTATCTTCTGTAGAACCTCACCTCTGGGATTCACCTTGCACTGCAGCTGCTCCTCCTGGACCCCCTCCCACCCTGGGCTGTTCAGAAGCCCAGCTCAATGCCTTTTATGTCCATGGTACAAGGCCAGGCCTAGGGCTACCGAGGATTCCAATGGCCAAAAAAGGACAGCAGCTCTTTCTCAGCCAGCCTGTGCCCACCTCGATCTGCAGCTGATAGAGGAGCTGGGCTTAACAAGCTTTCAGAACTGGGCTTTCATGTATCCTATTCTGTTATCTTACAAAAAAAAGGAAACTGAGATCCAAAATGATGACTTGTTCCCTTGCCCAAGGTCCTTTCCCAGGGCATTTTAGTTATTGATGGATTTCTCTCTGCATTCTCAGCAGCCAGCACAGTGCTTGAGATGCAATGCCTGCCTGAGTATGATACCTCCAAGTACAGATGCTACAAGCCAAGTCTCAAGATGAACAGAAGGCAGGGAATGCCATGGTGGGGAACAGACACACTCGTGACCATGAGGGGCAAACCAGAGAAACCGGTGATGATGATAAACATTAATATTTACTGAGTGCTCTTCTAAGCCCTGGACACATATTAACTCATTTAATCCTCCAAATCCATAAGGTGGTAACGATTACTATCCCCCTTTTACAGAAGAGAAAGCTAAGGCACAGCAGGAATAAGTCACCTGTCCAAGGTCATACAATTAGAAAGTGGGATTTAGTCATTCTATTACAAAGATACATGCATGTGTATATTCACTGCAGCACTATTCACAATAGCAAAGACATGGAATCAACCTAAATGCCCATCAACAATAGAGACTGGATAAAGAAAATATGGTACATATACATCATGGAATACTATGCAGCCATAAAAAGGAATGAAATCATGTCCTTTGCTGGGACATGGATGAAGAAGCCATTATCCTAAGCAAACTAATGCAGGAACAGAAAACCAAATACTGTCTGCTCTCACTCATAAGTGGGAGCTGAACCATGAGAACACATGGACGCATTGGGAAGGAACAACATACTGTAGGGCCTGTCGGCGGCAGGGGAGTAAGGGTAGGGAGAGCATTAGGAAAAATAGCGAATGCATGCTGTGCTTAATACCTAGGTGATGGGTTGATAGGTACAGCAAACCACCATGACACACGTTTCCCTATGTAACAAACCCACACATCCTGCACATGTGGCCCGAAACTTAAAATAAAAATTAAAAAAAAAAAAAAAAGAAAGTGGGATTTAAGTTCTTGCAGTCTGGTTCCAGAGCCTGAACTCTTTACATTTGGATATACTGCAGATGAAAAACTACAATCCAGTGGTAAGGGGAGGATAGGAAGAAACTGGAGAGAACTTCACCTAAACAGAGGTAAATCCTTAAAGGGAGTTACAGGTTTTGTAAGTTGAGGCTGGAAAAAGACCAGGAGGAACCAGATGAAGTGGCAGCTCAAGGGATGCTCAAGGTACCTCTAGACGGGTGAAGGTATGACTTCTGGGATAGAGCACACTATATGTCTTCCCAGCCAGGCTCCTGCAAATCTTCCAATAAGAAATATAAGTTATATACAAAGTCCAACTAACCATTTACACCTTCACAGGAACAAGAATCTTGTTGTCAGACTAGCTCTCCAGCCAATGAGCTTGTGTGACCATAACAGAGCCTGTGTGACCTTGAGCAAGCCACTTTCCCTCTCTGTATGTGAAATGGCAGACTCTGCCTGGATTAGTTAACAGAGCCAGGTGGTACTAGAAGACAGATGGGAGCCTTAAGTGCCAAGAACATAGCAGGAATGGGAACTACGGTGAACACCTTTCCTGCAGGTTGGGTTGGGAAATAGAACAGAAGGCTCGGGTGGCTGAGGCCCAGAGATGGGGTGAGACAAGGGAGGAATAAATCACAAAAGATTTGGAAATTCTGGCTAGGCATGGTGGCTCATGCCTGTAATCCCAACACTTTAAGAGGCCAAGGAAGGAGGATCACTTGAGCCCAGGAGTTCTAGACCAGCCTGGGCAACAAAGTGAGACCATGTATCTACAAAAGCAAAAAATTTAGCTGGGTGTGGTGGTGCACACCTTAGTCCCAGCTACTTGGGAGGCTGGGTAGGAGGACTGCTGGAGTCCGGGAGGTTGAGGCTGCAGTGAGCTCTGATAGCACCACTGTACTCCAGCCTGGAGGACAGAGCAAGACCCTGTCTCAAACAAACAAATAAATTAATGAATATTGAGAAATTCCGGGCTGGAAGCCTCCTATATAAGCCATCCTTGGTCTCAGTATCCAGCACAGGGCCTGGCTCAGAGAAGTCATCATAAAATGTTTCACAAATGAGCAAATGAGTGAACAGAGTCTCAAGAGACAATGGTAGGGATAGGAATGGGTCAAATCTGGCTCCAGCCCCAGAACTTTCTCTGAATTTTCACCAGGCCTCCCACTGTCACTACGACTATTTTCATGGGTCTAGAAGTTCTGGACAATGCAATAAGGCAGGAAAAATAAATAAGAACTACTAACCTTTGAGGAAAATGAGACAACAATATGTTCTTTTCTGCAAATAATATGAATACCTATCTATAAAATCCAGGAGAACCAACTGAAATACTAATAGAATTAATAAGGTGATTTAGTAAGGGGATGGTTATAAATTAAATACAAAAATAAAAAAATACAAAAATTAATAGTTATTTTCACTAGATGAGAGCTATCTAGAAAATACAACGGGGAGAATATTCCATTCATGACAGCAGAAACTAAGTATAAACCTAATAAGAAATGTACAGGGCTTATGCAATAAAAACCATTAAAGTTTACTAAGAGATATTGTAGAACTTCAACCAAATAGGAAGACATGCCATATTTTTAGATAGAAAAATGTAATATTTTAAAGATGTTAATTCTTCACAAATTAATATATGTATTTAATTACAATTCCAGTACAAAGCCCACGCGTTTTTCAAGGAAATTGTTAAGATAGGTATAAGGTTCATCTGACAGAATAAACAGCCAGAAATGTTTTAAATAAAGAGAAGAAGAAGGATACATAGTACAAAGATAGTAAATGTCATATAATTGGCATTTTACTAGCATAAAAATAGATAAACAATGAAACATAATACAATGGCTTGTATTAGATCCTTGTCTATTATAG